CCTCAGGTCTGCATTGACTTCGACAAACGTTCGCTCGCCGAGCGAGCGCCATCTGCTCTGCGCACCGCGTGTAGGTGTGGAGACTGCAGGTCGCCATTGTGTCCCCAGACGACCTTCGAGGAAGGAGCAGAGAAGACACACGGGAAACCGGAAGATAGACCCCGTTGCGTAAATGCTGTGGTGACATTTGAATAAGATTTACTACTTAAATGGCCCTTAGTACTTGCCAGTGTTTCAGATATTAACTTATGAACTCGCACAAACCTCAAGGGACAATTAGGGTGGTTTCACAATAAAGCAAAGTAGAGAGGATGGGACTGCCCACTGCTGGCACGAGGAGAGTGGCCCAAGCCTTCCGAAGCCTCATACAGCTTCCAGGACCAAGTTTAATGCCTCCTCAATCCGCACACTTCTCCTAGGCCACCCTGGAATGCTGGTGACCTCATGAACCCATCCTGCAATGTCTCACCCCTCACTCCTGGGGCCCTGAGATGGAAGGGGTCTCCACCACGGGGCTTTATCTCATCTCCTTCCCACCCCATCATCAGTTTGCACAATCATAAATGATTTTTATGGTTTATGTAATTTTTATGATTTATGTAAAATGCTGAAAAAATGCAGCTTCAGTCTTCCATCCCCGCCCCCTGACTATTTCTGACCAGGTCATGCCCTCTCAAGGCCCTCCTATGTGGAAACTTGGGGGCTGCCTCTGGTGGCTCTGAATTCCTTGGAACCTTTCTTCGATGGCTCCTCGGCATGTTACAGTCCCCGAGACCTCTCGGGTTAAATGTCAGTGTCCTGTGGTCGGGGGCCAGCTTTACACAGCCCAGCTGTGACTAATGTGGGTCTGCTCGGTGCCCGAGGGCCTGCCCCTGTAGCAAACCCAGTGACCAGAGGGAAGTGGCCAAGCCAGGGAAGTGGCTGCTGTTTACTGAAAAGGGGAAATTTTGGCACTGACCTAAGTTTCCACACTTCCCACCCTTACGGATGGGTGGGGAGGGGGGTGCCCAGGGCTCTAGAGGTCAGGGGAGGGTTCCAAAATAAGTGAGGGTCTGTGTGATTCCCTGGCCTCCCTGTGCCTCAGTTTCCTCACCTGTAGAATGGCGTAAAGACAGCATTTACTTCCTAGAGCTGTTATGAGGCTTGCACAAGACAGTGAGTACAAAGGACTTGTCCCAGGCCCCGACGTGCAGTAGCCTGGCTCACTCAGTCCACAAACAGCCTCAGCCCTGCTCGTTGGCTCTGTTGGCCGTTGGGGGTGCCCACAAAAGGCCTGGACAGCGAGAAGCTCTTGGCCTAGTCAGGGGGTGGAGCTTCCGAGAGAGCCCGGCCAAGAGACCCCCTGCCAAGATGTGCTGGGGGGAGGGTGTGTGTGTGTGTGCAGGGGGCAGCTTCAGGAGGCCTCATTTCCCTACCAAATTTGCAGGCAAATCTGCACACCTCGTGAGACTCTTTCTTAGGGCAAAGGCACCTGACATGCTGACCAAGCCCCCCCCCAGGGGACCAGGGGACTAGGGCTGGGACAGGTAGAGGCCTGGGTGCCCCTGGGGGCTGGAGGGTGGAGGGTGGGCAGGGCACTTCCCCCCTTCCCCGCACACTGCAGGGTTCTTGGGAAGAGGACCTGACCGCCAGACCATTTTCAGATATGATGGAAGTTTTACCAACATTGCGTGAAGCTGATGCCGTATGATGTTGTATGGGTAGTTCCTTATACATTTGTTCATTCTGATTTTGTAATTTTTTAAAAGATCTTACTTCTTTTTTAGAGAGAGGGGAAGGGCAGGAGAAAGGGAGAGAAACAGCAATGTATGATTGCACTCGAGCGCCCCCTATCGGGGACCTGGCCCGCACCCCAGGCATATGCCATAGACTGGGAATTGAACTGGTGACCCTTTGGTTTGCAGGTGGGGCTCAATCCGTTGAGCCACACCAGCCTGGGCTGATTTTATACTTTTGTAGTTTTAGATTTTGAAGCCATTACTAGTATGGGTTTTTTTTTGGTTTTGGTTTGTTTTCAGGTCTCAGACATGCGTTGCAGGCCCTTGTCAAGTTCCCAGTGCCTGGCCCTCGTTCTGTGAATAACACAGAAGAGGCTGTGCTTTGCGGGGTGGGTGGCTGGAAGGGGCCTCGCTGGGTATCGCTGTCCCACCCCAGCAGCCACGCTGTAGAGATGACAGGACCAGCTCACTCAGTGACATCATGAGGACACACCAAAAGAGTCCCGGAGACACAGCCTGTGAGCAGCTTTCTGGAGACACCTGGGTTTCCTCGTCTGAGGGTGAGCCAGCCAGAGCACCCTTAGAGTGAGTACCTTATGGACAACCCACAGTCATCTATTGGTCCTAAAGGAGAAGCATAGCCTTGAGGGAGGAGAACCCAGGACAAGAAAGTTTGGAGGAGGCAGGCAGAGACTTTGGATGCTTGAAACTTCCCAGCCCGGTGGTGACTTGGAGCTGGGCAGACATCTGTGCACGCTGGCTCCCAGCCACCGTTCTGCCTGGATCCGCTCCCAGCTCCCAAAACCCTGCCAGGTGGGTCCTCTCTCTCCTCCCTGTTTTTACAAACGAACAGAGACGCCATGGAATCCTAAGCCCATTAATTGGGCCCCAGAGCCTGAAACCTCTTAACTCCTCTGTCTACACCTCGAGGCACCTCAGGGTGGAGGAGGGCGGGGGCTGTTCCTGGATCCCCAGTCCCTGGGCCCGCCACCCCCTACTGTGGGCGACCACATGGTTGAGCTGAACAGTGGGAAGCAGAGCACTGTGTGAGAGTCACCCCACCCGCCCTTCACGGAGCTCCCGTGATGCCCCAGGTCAGGGCTTTGCCCTCCCTCACCTACGTTTCTTCTGAGGGTAAATTTAAACCCCTGTTTATTTGCCTGATTTCAGAATCGTCACCCATGTCCCAAGTTGTCCTGGGCTCTGCCTCCCATCCTGTACACAAAACCTTTGTCTCCTTATGCAAACGCCCAGGTTCCTAAAAGCGTCTGGCCTAAGAGGAAGGTGGAAAGAGAACACGTCACTGGAAAATTACAGCAGCGCATTTCTTTGTATTTGAATACTTCCAGGACCTCGTGTTGGCAGCCGCCCGGCTCTGGGTCTGACCCCAGCCCCTCGGCCTCTTTTGCACCGTCGACCACCTTGGTGTCTGGGAAAGCCGTGGACTTCTCAGAATGGCGTTTTCAAATGTGCAAAATGAAATGCTGAGAACCACAGCGGAAAATAAATTATACTGAAAGGTGGTTGTCAAAATATTTGCGATATACTGATACGATGTGCTGTTTCTTTGCGTGTTCAATAACAAGATCCAGCATGGGGTCTAATGGCTGTCATTTTGAGGTAATCACGAGCAAAAACGATGTCTCCAGATGTCCTCAACAGCTGTCACGGGACACGGAAACCTCTGCCATTTGTGTTGGTGGCTGAGCCATGCGGGGAGGGGGGGGGCGGTGGTCGCAGTCCTTCCCAGCTTGGGACCGGGACTTCCGTTCTGACCCAGCGTGTGCCTGGCTCGTATCTGTGGCGGGAAAACCAAGGACCAACTGCATGGTGCATGGCCACCTCCCGAGACTCCGGGCTGGAGTCCACACCTCCCTGTCAAGGCCGGACATTAACTGTCCATAAAAGTGACGTTTACCCAGGCTGGCCCTCCAGAAACACTTGCTGTGAGCCTGTGCTGACAGGGTGACCTGCAGGACTTCACTCCATCCGCCCGTGAGGCAGGGGGACACCACGTCCCCCGGGGTCCAGGTGTGGATCACGACCCTCAGACAGGGAAGGTGCTGCCCAGGCTGAGGTCCCGGCGCTTCTTGCCCCTGCCTTCCCGCTGAACCACACCCGCCGCACACAGGTGTGTGTGACCTGAGAGCACCACGGTGTAATGACAGTGGACAGTAATGATGACAATGGTTACCGGCTGGGGAGGACCCAGAATTGTTCCACACCATCCTCATCACCCTCAGCATCCTCATCATCAAGGTAACGGCCAATTCTAATCTGTTGTTATTCCCAACACTAAGGACCTAACAACAGGTGGCACTGTGGTCCCTGTTTCAGAGACAAAGACACTGAAGCCCAGAAAACCTGCTGTCTGCTCGACATCATTTAGCTGGTCTGCCAGAATCAGAACCAGTGAAATAGGGCTGTAGCACAGCCATTATTTTTTGAAATGAACTGTTTTCTTGAAGTGGAACGTGAGCCTAGAAAAGTGCATAAACCGTGAGCACGGGGCTCCATGAACTTTCCCAAAGCGAACGCACCCATGTCGCCCGCCCCTCAGACCGGGATCCAGGCAGGACATCACCGCACTGGCCGCTGCTCAGCCTGGCCAGTCGGGGACGCCCCGGGGGCTATGACGGCCTCATGCGTGTTACCATTTCGAGTGGTTCTGTCTTCTTTGCACTTACATAGATGTTCCCTCGTTCTTAACCATTACGCTGCCACGCTTCGTCCCCATAACGACCCTAGAGGAGTCTAGAAAACACATCTTGAGCCCTGGCTGGTGTAGCTCAGTGGATTGGGTGCTGGTCTGCGAACCCAAGGGTCTCTGGTTCGATTCCCAATCAGGGCGCACGCCTGTGTTGTGGGCCATGTCTCCCAGTAGGGGGCGTGTGAGAGGCAGCCACACATTGATGTTTCTCTCCCTCTCTTCCTCCCTCCTCTCCTCTCTCTCTAAAAGTCAATAAGTAAAATCTTTAAGATCTTGAGAGGAAAGGGGAATTAATCAGCACGAAAGTTCACCAAAATGCAAGTGGCTTACACGAGGGAACCGGATGTAGAATTTAAGTCCAAGGTTCTGTGGACAGTGGCCCTGCTCTGGACTTCAGTCAGGGCTGGCGTTTGGGAAGGAGACCAAGCCCAGCAGGGCAATGTCCCTGCTGTGTGCGGGTCAGGGATGGCCTCCCTCACTCCCTGGCTGTAGAGGTGCCCCTCCCCCCAGTGCCACCAGCCAGCCCAGAGGTGACAATAGGGCTCCTGTGTGCTGCTGACGGTTGAGGCGTTTGAGGGCCCAGGCAAATGAGCGGGCGCACACATGCAGATATAGAGGCGTGTGGGCTCGGGCCTGGGCCCCCGCCTCAGCACTCGCCAGAATGGAGGGCAGCCCAACGCAGCTCTGTGGGGGCCGGGGGCCCGAGGAGGCGGGGGACAGCCAGGCCGTGACCCAGCTGCAGGAGCTGGCCCTGAGGTGGTTCATGGAGACGCAGGCCCCCCTCATTCTGCACCACGGAGCCCTGCCCCCCTGGTTTCACGGATTCATCACCCGCAAGTAAGGCTGCCCCTGTCCGCAGCCCTTCGGGGCGGAGAAGGTGGTCCGGGAACTGTGGGACGAGCCTGACTCCTGCCCCCTCCCTGGGCTGGGCAGGGACCCCGGGAGGCGGTGGGTAGGGGGACAGAGTGGGGAGCACCCCGTTCCCCGGGGCACCGGCCCCTGCTCTGCATATAGACTAGGACTCGAAGGGGCTCTGGGAACAGGTGCGTTCGGGCCAGCTCTGAAGGACTTGAGGAGCACCTAGAGGGCGTGACACTGAGCACGCAGGTCCAGCAGCGTCAGCCCCGGGTGAAGTGGGGACTGTCCTGTGGGCGCACAGTTACCCCAGGAGTAAACGCCAAGGTGCGGGGTTGGCACTCTGAGTGGGCTGGCCCTCCAAGCCGTCTGGCCAGCCCTCCTGGCTCGGGGAGGCCGGTCCTCGGTTCGCATGCTCTGCTGGCACTATCTCGGAAGTTCTCGCTCTGTCGCTTGCCCCGAACACTGCCAACCCTGTCGCTGGCCCGGCGTGCATACAGCAGGCACTCCGCAACCGAGGAGAGTCCGTGGCTCAGGCACGCCCCGGCCTGCGGCTGCCAAACCAGGTGGCAGCCGGAATTTCCCACCGTGCCTGCGAAGTACTTGGCACCAGTTAGAAATTAGCCGCAGACACAGCGGCCTGGGGCTGACGAGGAGGACAGGACAGGGACTGTCACGTAGAGCGCGTCCCACACTGAGAAGGGACCTCGCAGACCTGGAATCCGCGTGGATTCCTTCTCACTGCACAGCCCTTCTGCTGGGTGGCCAGGTCAGGGAGGCTGTACCCAGGGCTGGCCCGGGGACATGTGGCTTCAGGACTCCAACCCGGAGCCACTGAGCTGGACCTGGACAGACCCCAGAAGGGCGGAAGGGCTGAGCAAGTGTGCGGAGGTCTGGGGGGCTGCCGCCGTGCTGGCGCACCCCCTGGGCAGAGACCCCCCAAGCCCAGCTCAGGGCGTGTGCTCTGCCCAGGCAGGCGGAGCAGCTGCTCGGGGACAAAGCTCTTGGCTCCTTCCTCATCCGCCTCAGTGACCGGGCCACCGGCTACATCTTGTCCTACAGGTAAGGGAGGACTCACTGTGCAGGTAATGCTGTGCAGGTAAGCAGAGGCCACCCCCCCCACCCCGGCCCGAGCCGCCTGGCTTTCCTGGGCCCTGGCTGCCTCACTCCCTCACTCTCCGTGTTCGGGGGACATTTCTTCAGCAGCACTGGCTGCGTGCCCCGCTGGAGTCCCAGCTGGCCATGGGGGTAACAGGGCAAGGGCAGGGAAAGGCTTCACAGGGGAACCTTGAGCCCAGGATAGAAGGAAGAATAGCAAGTTGCTAGGCAGAGAGGGAGGTCTGCCTGGGGTTTAGGAAGCGTTTCCAATAGACAGGACTGCATGGGCAGAGGGCCAGGGGCGTGGGAGACCAAGGTGTCGGCAGGGCCGCTGCCTCGGAGGGATGCCTGGGAGGAGGGCGGGTGCAGTGGGGGGGGCTGGACCCCCCTTTATGGCAGGGCAGGGTCCATGGTGGGGTGGGCCAGGCTGCCTCATGCGGGGCCGGATCTCATTCTTAAGACTTTGGTATTTTGTTTGTCCTGCATTTCTCACTATTTTCATCTTCTAAAATAGTGGGTTATAAGCCTTGATGATTGAGTTTTGTGGTGCCCTTTAAATTTTGCACCAAGCGGGGTCCGTCCCTCGCCCCACCTCACCCGGTCCTGCCCTCCCCGGGCCCCTTTAGGCATCCCGGGAGCCTAGCCCCCAACCCTGCAGGCGCCGCCTGGAGCCCGAGGGGTCAGGCCAGCCTGTCTGTGTTGCAGGGGCAGCGACCGATGCCGGCATTTTGTAATCACCCAGCTCCGAAACCGGCGCTACCTGGTCTCTGGGGACACTCAGAGCCACAGCAGCCTGTCTGAGCTCGTGTGCTACTACCAGGCGGTGCAGTTTGAGCCCTTTGGGGAGACCCTGGCTGCAGCCTGCCCCCGGGTAGGCACCCCTCCGCCCTGGGGTAAGGGTGGTGGGTGGGTTGCCCAGGTCTGGGGTGTGCACACCTTGGGGCCACCGGCCTTTCCTTCCCTATTTGCTGCTGCGCGGGGGCACGCACCCCGAGGGTCACAGCCCCCATTTGAAAAAGGGAGACTGAGGCAGTGTCTTCCCCACGCGGGCGACCCGGCGAGCACGTTTCACTCCCTAGCCAGCAAGCAGTCTCCAGCAGGCGCTGGAGTCTGGGCGGGTGTGAGACCTCACTCCGCTGTGCCCACTGTCCCCAGCTGGAGGACAGCGATCTCTACGACGCCATCACTCTGGGCCTCCAGCAGACCAACCTGGGCCTGGAGGACCCGCCTGCCACGGCGCCCCCCACGGGGGCCCCAGACAAAGCCAGCGGCCCCCGACCCCCTCCTAAGCCCCAGGTCTCCTTCCTGCACATGAAGAAGACCAAGGACAGGAGCCCCGAGAATGTGTCCAAGGAGCAGAGCGTGGAGGTGAGGACTCTGGGTTCCGGGTGCGCCCACACACAGGCCCCTCGGCGGACCCCCGGGGGGCTTGCCCTGCCGTGCATGGCCTGCGCAAGGCAAGCCAAACTGGGTCACGTCCTGTTCGGCCTGGCCTGTCTAGCTGGGTGATGTGGGGGCAGCGTCTGATCTCTGGGAGCCTCGTTTGCATTCCTGAGGTTCCCACGAGGCTTGCCTGAGAGAGTGGGCACAGGACGGCTGGGGTCTGCGGTAACTGTGGCTGGGGGAGGGGTGTAGGGGTGTAGCACCGTCCCTGATGCTCTTCCACAGCTGCCTGCAGGGGTGTAGGGGGCGGGGGGGTGGCTCAGAGGCCCCTCTTGCCCCCGCGATCACGGCGCAGGCTGAGACCTTCCCCAGCTCCTCACCGGTCACCCAGGGCCTCCACCTCCTCCTCTCAAGCCTCTGGAGTCCCCGCCTCTGCTCCTCCTCTCCCTCTGACTGGAACTCTCTCCCAGCCGCTGCCTGCCCGCTTCGCTCTCGGTGCGTCCCGCTTCCGGCTCCCACGCCACCTCCTGGCACAGGCACCCAGGCCGTCCAAACGCCCCCTTTCCCGCAGGTGGCTCTGTCCCCTGTGACCCTGCTTCGTTCCTCCTCATTTCCGGCTGGGACCAGACAGCATGTTGCCTGGTGACGAGTGCCACGTCACAGTGACGGGCGATGCACTGTCACCTCTCACCTACGACCACTGAGTCCAGACACAGCCCGGCACCGAGCTGGGGCGAATGATTAATTTGGGGGGCATTCGGAAGGTTCTGGGTTCCCGGGGAGCAGGGGACCACCCCAGAGGCAGGAGGAGCTTGGGTGGTAGGGACAGCTGGTGACCCCAGACTTTGAGTGAAGACCCCTCAGAGTCCTGCATGGTTGCTGGCTGGGTCCTGAACTCATACCACCGGCCCTGTACCTGAGTCAGGTAAACCGAGGCCAAGTCGGGGTCGCAGGTGGTCTGAGAATGCCTCGGTTTACCCATCGGCCTCTTGGCGGTGGCATCCTTTACAGGTTCTCTGTCCCTCTCTCCCCAGCCCCCCACCGGGGTGCCGCCCTTCCCTGGGAGGGGTGCCTCCCATCCGGACCAGCCCCTTGATGGCCCCAACATCGTTTATGCAGAACTGAGGAAGAGGAAGCAGGCACAGCTCGGTCTGGGCACAGAGGTGGCCGGCAGGCATGGGCCACCTCCAGCCGGCAGCCAGGCCGGCACCCCTGGCAAGGGGTCCCCGAGCAGACTCTCAGACGGAAGCCAGGACGGGCCTGACAGCCCGGGGCCGGCCCTCTCGGGGGGCAGCCCAGACCAGGGCCCGGCCGTCTCTCCCACTTCCTGGGGCCTCCTCCTGCCCCCCCGTTCTGAGCCTGGAGGACCCTCAGCTGCCCCCTGGAGCCCGGAGTCCCTGAGGCCCGGCCACAGGGCTTGGCCCGGCTCCCCCGACAGCGCTGTGGACACCTATGCACTGCTCCTGCAGGAGCCCGGTGACGTGCCGGACCAAGGCGGCAGCACCTACGAGGAGGTGCCGGTCTGCTGGGGCAGCCCCACCAGGCTCCTGCTTCCTCGCGCCGGTCTCCCCCGCGGCAGGCTGTCCGGGACCACAGACTGTGCCTATGCCAGGGTCTCGGCGGCCCCGGAGCTCCTGGAGCCTGGTGATGCCCCCCCACACACACCGGCAGCCAAGAGCAAGGAGCCTAGACAGACACACAAGGTGGGCTCTGTGGCTGGTGGGGGGGGGGAGTGGCAGGCAGTTTTCAGGGAGCAGTTGGTGGTACACGGGACCCGTGGCCCTCGGGCAGGGGCAGGGCAGGCCACCCCCTCCACCATGGGTACCCAGAACTTTCCAGCCCTCACATGGGCCCGGAGGTGGTGGGGGAGGCTGCTGTTAGACTTGGTGTCAGATATCTGCTTCCAGGCCCTTCTGAGGTCTTCACAGCACACCAGGGTCCCTGACCCTCCCTCTTGGCCACTTCAGGCGTCTCTGAGCCCCTTAAGAGGTGGAGAAAGGGCTCCATGTCTGACTCGTCACAGCTCAGCCATTCCCCGGCCATGTGGCTTTGGGCAAGAGTTTCCCCGGCAAGAAAAGGCCACCAGGCTGAGTGAGACGCATGGTGGGCTACCCAGCTAATTCAAATTCTAAACAAGGGATTTTATTTTAGCATGAGTATGCTCCTAATACTGCAAATCATTCATCCCCTATCCGAGATGAAATTGAACGGGTATCTGTTACTCCTACTGCCCGCCTATAGGAGGCGCTGGTCCTCAGGCTGTTTGCGGGACAGCTGACCCGAGCAGCGATTTTTCACCCGCTGTGCCTCGGAAATGGTTAAACCACGTGACACGGGACTGTTTAGTTGGGGGCACTGACCTCCTTTCCCTCGAGTAAAAAAAATGACAACCGCCAGCAGAACAAGAGCCATCCGGGGTGAATGAGTCAAAATTATACCCAGCTTTGTCAGATCAGCAAAAAAATCTATCTTCCGGTGTGCTGCAGAGCTTCAGTAATTAGTTTCTGTGCGGTGAAATGCCCTAGGTTGAAAACCGCTGGCCGAGAGGACAGGGTTAGGCGCCGGCACCAGCTCAGGGCACAGCCCTGAGGTCCCTCCGTGAGCAGAGCTGCTGTTTGGACCACTTCTGATAAGAAAGGAGGGGGGTGGTTCCTCGGCCCTGGGCCCCAGCACCCCCACCTACACCCGGAGCTGATGAGCAGGCGGAGTCCACTCCGTGTGGGGACAGCCCCTGACCTCCTGCTCCAGTTGGAAGGCCTTCCTTCAGGGAAGCTCGGCCAGCCCCTCCCTCGGGGCATGGCTGTGGCCAGGAGGCCCTCCCTCCCCTGGGCCCGCGGGCAGATCCAGCCCAGGGAACAGGCCCAAGAACTACGGTAGCCACACCCAGGGCTGGGCTGCCCCGGCCACAAGGCCCCGGTGGCACCATGTGCAGTCCACCCTGTGCCACCTGGGACATCAGTGCTGGGGGTCTGGGCACCCCGGGGACCCCGGGCTCCAGCATCCTCTCCCTCCTTGCAGCCTGACAGGCTCCGGAAGCTGTTCTTTGCGGACAAGAAGCACAGACCCTGACGGCCTGGCTCCCAGCAGCCCACACCGTGGGTCTCCCAGTGCCCTGCCCTGCAGGGGTCCCCAGGAGGTTCTCACTCGCCCAAAGGCGCCCCTCAGACCGCCCCAGCCTGGGACAGAAGCAGGCTCAGAGACACAGCGGGAGGGGTCTCCCACCCCAACGGAGGAGGGGGACTCACGCTCCTCCCCTGAGACCCAGGCTCAACAGATGGCCTTGGCCTCCCAGGAGCCTCAGGGCACCGGGCACTTGGCCTCTCAGGACCTCCCTCAGGTCAGGTGGCTCTGCCTGGGCCCCTCTCCCCTCGGACCCTTTTTTCTGTTCCACCCACGTCCCCGCCTCCCTGAGGGTGACTGTCCACCTGCTGCTCCCGCCCACTGCCACAGGCATGGGAGGCACCCGACTGGTGGCCTCCCCGCCCATCCTGGGCAGAGCAGGTTTGGTCCCCACTGGTGGGCACTGTCCCCTGGGTGGCCTCGTGGCCGTGCAGCGCCCCCGCTGAGAAACCCGTGCACCCTGGGGGGGCACCGTCAGGACCGAGTGTGGCTGCCAGCCTGTGCCCAACATTGTCACCGGAAGGATGGCCGTCACGGAGGAGGTGCACACATCTTTCACCGGATGTCCGTCTGTCCTGCGTGTGGCTCTCTTGAGGATTTGGGCACCGAGGCACCTTGGCTCCAGCCCTGAGAGAAGAGTCGGCGCCGAATCGGGAGGCAGGCCTAGCCCAGGGGAGAAGCGCTAAGAGCGGCGGGCTCCCAGGACGAGGGCCAAGGTCCCGACACCGACAGACAGACACAGACACAGGCAGGGGGACAGCTGAGGGCTTTACTAGCAGCAGTTCGAAGATGTGCGCACAGCACTCACCAGGTTCCCAAGGCTTCAGGTGGGGAAGGTCGGGAGATGGGGACAGGCTGCAGCCCAGCTGTGGGGCTGTGGCAGGACTGCACAGCCATTAACATCTCCTCTTTCTTTCTCTTTGCCCTGGTGACCAGGATGTGTTTCCCGCACGTGGTCAAGTCAGTCCCCCCAGCCCGTTGGGTGCTCTGTCTTTCCCTCCCATGGGGACATTTCTGAGGCAGGAAAAGTGGGTGCAGGGGAGGGTGGGGGCCCAAGGGGAGGCTTATAAGGGGGCTGTGTGTCCTGGGGCCGAACCCCAGGGGAACCTGGGAAGGGCCCTGCTCCTCACCTTCCCCCTTCCCTGGTTAAGGATTTTCTTTTTTGCTCAAAGGGCCAAGATATTGTTCGTGGGTGTAAACCCTGGAGGCTGCAGCTCCTGTGCTGGGAGCTTGGAGGTTACAACTGTGTAGATGGCCGAGGAGGACGGTGGGCTCTGGGGCCTTGCGACCCTGGCCAGGGCCTCAGATCCGGATGTGGAAGGTGCTGGAAAGAGAGAATGGGAAGAGGGGGTCAGGGCCTGGACAGTTCTCAAGGGGGACGCAGGGCCTGTGGTTATCAGCGCCGAGGGAAGGATGGCCTGCAGGCCCGGCTGTGGCTGGCCCTGCTGGGGACGGGGGACCTCTCAGTCACCCCCCTCGGGAGCCGGGCTGAGACCCCACCTCCGTGGCCTGGGACCCCACTGCTGCTCTGAGTGGTGACAGGGCCTCAGCCCCGCCCCGGGGGCCCAAGGAGGCTGGGTACTGGCTGCCGCTGCCCACGCAGCCCCGGGCTGCACCTGAGGAAGTCGGGGGACTTGGCGATCATGTCCTCGAAGTCGGACAAGCCCAGCTTGCCGTCGCCGTCCAGGTCGGCCTCCTCGATGACCTTGTCACACACGAGCACCACCTCGTCCTCCTCCAGCTCCGACTTGGTGAGCCGGGCCAGCGTCATCTCTAGGTCCTCTTTGCAGATGAAGTTGTCGGTGTTGAAGTCTGCAGGGGAGGCGGGGCCCACTCAGACTGGGCCGGTCACGCCGCGTCCCCACCCCCATGCACCCTGGGGACTCTGGATTCTCATCCCCTGCCGGGCATGACGGAGGGGCAGCCCCATAAAAACCTGCCCCCAACCAAGACGCGTCAACCACCCACATGTGAAGCTTCCTGGGAAATTGGGTGGGTCCTCACCCCGCAGTGACCCTGTGGTCCTTGCAAAGCTCAGAAATCCCAGGCCCAGGGAGGCTGGGCTCCTGAATCTGGGCAGAGGGCTGCTTGGAGGATTCTGCCGCGACTCTGAAGCCGCATATCCTCGATGGCACCCCGTTGCCCCGGCCCCCAGCCAGACTCGCCGGTCAGAAGACGCAGGCTCCCCTCAGGAGGAGCCCATGGCTGGCCAGGGCGCACAGTGTGGGGAACTCAGTGTCACTCTGCTGGGCAACAGGCCTGCCACAGCAGCTTCAGTGCCCTTCCGACCGCTTCCCTGCTGGACGACCAGGTCCTCGCTCGGACGCTGCGTCTGCCTGGGGGGCCCTTCGCACCCATCGGTCCAGCAGACGTCCACTCAGCCTTCACACTGTGGCTCCAACCTCACCTCCCGGTGGGGGCTGCTGCCTAGACACAGGGCTCCCTCTAAGCAGCCCCCTGCCGCTGCTCAAACCCCGACACCATGGTGGTGACAAGGGGCCTCACTGTCTCCATGAGCGCAGCAGGTGCCAGCTCACTGGGTTTGCACAGCAAAGCGGCCCAGTAGGTGCAGTGAGAACCCCAGGGCAGAGATGAAGGAATGGAGGCGTGGGAAGGACAAGTGACCTGCCTGAGGTCACATCCCTGGCAGTCAGTGTTTCCTCTCGGAGCCCAGCCCCCCAACAGGTGCCCACTCTGCCCAGCTCTGCACCCAGGCCTGTGCTGACTGACGGGCTGGGGAGAGGGGGACACCTGTGTCTGTCTTGCATGAGGACATTGGGGTACAGCAGGGGGCGACCCTTGTTGGAGGGTGGGCCCCATCTCCCCAGGGACAGACACTCCCAGCCCAGGTGAGCAGGGAGCCCCTCTCTGCAGCCAGCAGCCTCGCCCAGAGGCAGGGCTGCAGGGTTCAGGGCACCAGGGGTGACGGGAAGCTTTTTAGGAACCAGCGACCTCGGCTGGAGGGCAGGGCGGGTTCTGTCTCTGACGTGCAAACACAATGGGGACCAGATGCATCTAGACCTAAGTCCTCTAAATAAACATGAAACTCCCCGTGTGAAAAGCAGGGGCCCTGGTGCCTGGCTGATCAACGTCCCTGGGGACAGGACGTCTTTTGGAGGCTCTCCGGGCCAGGACAGGTCTCAGTCCCTCCCTGGGCCTTGCTGTCCCTGTCCAAAGCACTGTGGAACGGCCAGGGCTTTGCCAGCGCCCTCTGGTGGCGGTTTGGGCAGTGACGGGAGGGCAGGGCTGGCAGGAGAAAAGGAGGCTCACCTCCCACAGCCTGGGGACCTCTGGGCGCTCACTGTTTGGCTGAGGCTTCCGCTCCAGCCCCAGCCTCAGCTGATGCCCCAAGACCCTTCTGGAACACAGAGCTGCCCTGCCCCACTTGAAACCTCCGTGGGCCCTGGTGGCCTGGGCACCAGGCCCAAACTCCTTGACGGGACCCCACAGCCCGGCCCTGGGGGGCACCACATATCCTCCTAGGCCTCACTGAGACCTCTCTGCACGTGCCCTCTCCTCCCCACCGAGGTGGGGCGGGTCCCTCCTCTGCTCTGAGGGCCCCGTGGGGTCTCCTGGGCACCAACCATCAGTGCTGGCCACCCTGCTGGGCAGGCATTCTTCTAAGTCTCCCTGGTGTCCCCAAATCCCCCGGGGTGGAAGCCAGCAGGAACTGGATGGCCCACTCACCTGAGTACCCCCCCCACACACACAGTGGCAGGGGCCCCCAGTATCCGCTCCCCCCGCAGGCCCTCATTACCGTAGATCTTGAAGGCGTAGTTGGCCTTGAGGTCTCGGGGGGCCGACTCGCAGAGCACGGAGAACATGTCCACGAAGTCGTCAAAGGTGAGGTTCCCGTCGCCGTCCTGGGAGAAGGACTCCACTATCCTCTCCTTGAAGGGATTCTCCTGGACACAGAACCGCGACAGTCTCCCAGGGGCCGGTTAGCTGGGAGAACCCCAGGGCCAGACTGTGACCTCGCTGGGGCGTTAGGTCCCGTTGTGTCACTCAGGTGAGCACAGAGAGCTGGGCCGAGCCAGGGCGTGCTCCCTGGAGGGTGAGCTCTGGGGAGGCGGGGGGAGGGGCAGACCCAATGCTCCGGGGACCCCACGGGGGCGGCCTCCGCCTTGATGTGTGAGAGCAGAGGGCGTCCCCAAGCAGGCGCAGCTCAGGCTGGGCCAGGCCAGGGCAGTGGGAGGCAGGAGTGAGACCCACGAAGGACTGGATAACTGGACGGGACAAGCAGCAAGTCAGAGAGCACAGCAGACCCCAGGCTGGCCATCGCCCAGCTCCTGGATTCTCCTAGACCAGTCCCGAGGCCGCCGACCCCCTCCTCACCCCAGATCACTCGGGGACACCTCCTGGAGGCTCGGGGACAACCACCTGCCTCCGGCCTGAGTGCCCTCGGGCCTGGGCTCAGTCCCCTCTGCAGGCCGGACTGGGTGACTGCGCCAGGCCGAGACTGGCCTCACTGTCCCTCAGGACTGAGGTTATGACTGGGGCACAGGCCTCTGTGGATACCATGTGGGGACCTCTGAGTCACATATCTGAGGCCTGGCGAAAGCTTCTTGGCAAAGTCCCACACAACAGCTTTTTGTGCCCCAAAAGCCTCCTCCCTGGCGGAGGGCACTTCACATGCCATTACGGGTGAGGAACTCATGAACGACATCTTTATGTCAGATACACATGTGGGTCAAGGATCCACCTGGGAGCTTTCTGGAAAAACACGGCCTTGGGTCCCCAGACCTCCCAAGCCTGAGTAGGCGTTTTGACAAAATCCCCAAGGGAGTCCTTGCAAGTTAAATCCAGAAGTGATGCCAAGGATGACCCAGCTGTGAGAAGCCACAGCCAGACAAGGCGGGAGAGGAAAATGGTCTGAAAAAGCTGAGGAAGAGCTGTGAAAGACAGCAGACTGGCCACTTAACAAGGGGGCAAGCGGCCCTGGTTGGTGTGGCTCAGAGGATTCAGTGCCAGCCTGCAAACCAAAAGGTCATGAGTTCGATTCCCAGTCTGGGCACATGCCTGGGTTGCAGGCCGGGTCCCCAGTAGGGGGCGCTCAAGAGGCAACCACACTTTGATGTTTTTCTCCCTCTCTTCTTCCCTTCTCCTTTCTCTAAAAATAAATAAATAAGGGGCAAGCAGGTGACTGCCGGCCCAGAGCCTCGCACACTGCTCATTTATTCACACTGAAGGGAGGAAACTGAGGCACAGAGAGGTTCAGGGTACGTTCAGGGCCACACAGCCACGATGGGCAGCCCCTCACCTACCCGGAGCTCCGGCATCTGGATGATGAGGTTCATGGGCACATGGACGATGGGGCTCTTCCTGTAGTCCATGGGGACGAGGTTGGGGGCCAGCTCGTAGAACCTCGCATGGAGCCTGGGAGGGGAGCAGAGGAAGCCCTGCAGGGGGCGTGACCCCACGCCCAGGCCGATGCCCCTGCCAGCTCCCCACCACTGGGCTGGGGGCAGCCTGCTTCGACGCCGCTGCAGGGTGACGTAGCAACAAAAGCCAAAAGCTTTCATAGTCTGCACACCTTCTGACCCAGGAGTCTCTGTTAGACATTTATGCCGGGAAATAATCCCAGAGGTGAGGGTTGGATGTCACCGTGTCACCGCCGGGCTAATATAATGGCAAAACGCTGAAAATCAAAATGTCCAACTAAATGCATTATGGAGGTGGTGAGATCATTTTTTCTTTCTTATCTATTTTTACCATTTGCCTAAAGAAAAGCAATTTTAAAGAAAGGACTACACACCACAATCCAAATCTTCAATAACTACACACGAAGGGAAGATATTGGCAAAGTGGCGTACCCAAAGGTTCAATCTACTGAGGGGTTTATAGTCATCATTTCAAGGGCAGCGGGGGAGAATAGAGGTTATTTTTTTTCCCCTCTCTTGACTGACTTTATTTTCTAATTTTTCTATGGTCATGTATCACATGTGGAATAAAAAAATTAAGAGTGAGTAAAACAGATGATACGAAGTAACGAATAGGCAAAGACCCAGGGGCGGCTTGCTGGGGGGGGGGCTCTCTCTGTGCTGCCGAAGGGACAAGGACTTGGCCCACTTATTATGGAGGAGGTGGGGTGCTGAGCTCTTACCTACAGGAGCAAAGGTGGCGGAATGGGGGCTGCCCACCCGAGGTCAGCGTGGAGGTGGAAGGGCTGTGCCTCAGGGAGCAATAGGACCCAGGCGGGGGGGGGGGGAACGAGGGCAGAGGAGAGAGGTCCCTGATGCTTATCTGCGATTCTGATTCTGTATCTCTGAGCTGGGCCCCGAGCTGCCATGAAGAACCTACAGCTCACCTTTCCTCCTCGCCATCCGGTTGGTGCTCGGGGTGCGGCTCCCCCAGAAACCCACCTGGATGGGGGTGGAGGGAGGCGGAGATGGGGAGCAGTGCTCAGAGGTCCTGGAAACAGGGCCTGGGTCAACCACCCGCCCTGCCTCTGGGCAGGGCTCTGGGGCTGGGAGCACAGTCCCATTTGATAGAAGAACCTGAGGCTCAGCGAGGCTCAGATGTCGCCCGAGGCTGCCCCAGACCTGGGAGGAGGCAGCGGAGCCCAGGTGTGCTGATGCCAAGGCAGGTGCGGTGGTGGGGTGTCCTTGCCCACCAAGGGGGCGGGGAGGAAGAGTGGCCTGTCTGAGCCGAGGGGTCGGGGCAGTGGCCCCCCACAGCCCTCTGGGGAAGCCACCACCGGCTCCCACCCCAGCCTGCCTGTCAACCTGCGGGGAAAGTGATCCCGAGCCCTTGAGGCTATTAGTGCCACCCGATAGCCCAGGCAGGGGGCCAGGTTTCCTGGTGTTCTGTGTGCCCCGCTCACCATCTGGTCCTGGCTGCGCCCTGAGACTGCCAGCCCCTTCATCTCTGTCTAGCCCCAGCCCCCCAACTCCTAAAGTAAAGGGGTATCCTGGGAAGGGAAGACACACTTAGGGGACAGCCGAGGGCAGTGGGGCATCGCAGAACATTCAGGCTCCCAGGGGTCAGAGGTCATCAGAGCCACAGCCTGAGGGCCCTGAGGGGCCCGGGGTCTGACCAACAGGGACCCCTCATCTGAGAGGCCCCAGGACACAGGGAATCAGCAAGGGGCCTGGAGTCTGAGGCCCCATCTTCAGTCCCTAGCTATGTGATGCTGGCCACACGGGGGATAAAGTTGGATTCTCCCACTACAAGGTGACAATGAAGATTACATGAACATGTGCCCGAGACCACCCACCACACAGCCGGGTACACGGCCAGCAGATGTTCGATTCCTGGCAGAAAAATGTGGGTCCAGGAGGGGCGGGAGGTTCCGCCACTGGGCTCCTGACAGAGACGACCTTCCGCCCTTCTTCCTCGGCACAGCCTGCGCCGCCCCACCCGTCCCCCAGGCCCCGCCCCTCGGAGGGGCGAACAGAATCACACTTACTTGAGGATGTCATTCTTATTGAAGAACGTGCAGTCCTGTAGAGAGAACATGCACCATCGGTTGAGCGGTCCCAGCTCCTCCTTCCTCAGACCCCCCCACACAGGCGGCCCTCGACAGTGCTGGGGTCGGAACACTCTCGGCCACCCAGCCCACTGGGGACAGCAGTCTCGCAGGTCCAGAAACCGCCTGAAGCTCTGGACCTGACCCAGGGGACTTAGTGCAGGGACACAGCTGTGAGGGAGAGCATCTAAGGGGTCGGAGGGGCAGTGGCTGGGAGGCAGCCTCCACCACAGCGCCAGCTGGGAGAAGGGAACCTCATGCTCCGAGACCCAGAGTCCCAGACACGCAGACTGTGGGGGAGTGGGGATCAGCACCTTCCTGGCAGCAAAGCCACAGGAATCGACAAGGTCACATCGGGAAGGCAGTGGAGAGGCTGGTGAGGGGGGTGGGGGGAGAAGATGGTGGCAGTGAGTGACTGGAGGCATCCTGTGGACAGGGGAGGGACATCAGCTGTTTTCAAAGCCACTTGGGTGCTGCTTGGTGCCGCCCAAGCTGAGGACCACACCTCGCAGTCCATGGGGGTGGAAGGGCTGTGCCCCAGGGAGCAACCGGACCCAGCTAGGGGGCAGGGCGGGGGCAGAGGGGAGAGGTCCCCTGACCGTTATCATGATTCTGACTCAGTATCTCTGAGAGCCTCTCTGGGGCCTGGTCCCAGGGGGCTCTGACTATCCAATTCTGTTGCATCCTCCTCCCCAGCCTACGGGAGCCCTCGCTGTTTCCCGGGCAGAGACGGGACCCTGAGGCTCAGCAAACTGCAATTCTTTCTCCTTGGAAAAAGTTGCGTGCGAGGGGTGATGCTCAGTGTCTGCTGAAAGAAAGAGAAAGCAGGGAGGGAAGGGGTGGGGTGAGAAAAGCAAGGGGTTGTGGCAGAAGGTGTGGGTGGCTGGAGTTGGACCTTCTGTCCGCACGAGACTGAGGAGGCCTGGCCAGGGCCCTGGCGGTGGAGACGGGAGGGGTCCCCAGGGAGGCTGAGTTACGGGACGCATACTTCACTGATCAGCTGGAGGAGCAAGCAGCCTGGGGTCTGGGCAAGGCAGCCAGCAATGCTCTGGAGCTTGAGGGGGTCTGGGGGATGGATCTGCAAGGCAGAGAAGTGGTCTGGAAAGAACCCTGAGTCTTAGGGATCACTGCCACCTGGGGAGGGAGGACAAGAAACCCTGCGGATCACTTGGGGAGCAGCTCTAACTTAGGGTGGCCCACAACCCCTGGGCTGGCCTAGTGCTGTCTGGAGAGTCAGGCGAGGGGGGGTCATGTGAGGCTCTCAGGTTTCACGGCTCTCAGTTCTCTCATCCCAGCAGCCTGGCAGGGTCCAGCCAGGCTCTGGCAAAGGAGCAGAACCCAACCAGGGGCGGGCTGCAAAGGGTAACCCGATGCCAAGCTGGTCTGAGTGGGAACCCAGGACCCTGCCCCCACGGGGCTACTCTTTACTCCTCAGCCTGGTCTACCTGCTGACCTGTGCTCACCTCTGGGCATTTACCCAAGCTGTGCCCTCCACCTGGAACCCCTCCTGCCGGCCCCCATAAAGCAGGCCTGCTTCAGGGCTGCCTTATTTCTGAACCTTCTAGCAAAGCAAAAGCCCCTTTCCCTACAGGTCTCCCACTCCCACTAGCGCCCTCCCCTGGCACACACTTCCTCCAGTGAGGCTGCACTGGAGGCAACTGTCCCTCCTGATGAAAAAGGATACACACAACCCCACCACCCCCAACAAAGAGTGAGCCAGGGATTCATGATTCAGATTCCCCTGTGAGACCCATGGCAGGGTCTTGAATGGGTTTGTTTACATGCTTGTAAAATGGGGCCAATTATCCACCAGCCTGGGATGGAAGGAGCTGACCATAAGTAAATGCAGGAAGTACAATGCCCGGTATGCAACAGGCGCTGCAGGAATGTGTGGGTCCCCATTCCTTGTCAGGTCCTCATGGGGAGCTGGGAAATCTGTTATTCACACTAAGTCACCCAGGAGGAGGGGCTTTCATTTTAGGGCTGCCCACGGCAGAAGACCCACATTTCAAGACCAACACCAAATACTTATTCCTGACGGCGACGCGGGGCAGCTGTGGAGGCCCTGCAGGTGGCATGTCCCCACAGCGCACTGCACACAGGCGACAGCCCAGTCAGGGCCTCTGCCTGAGGGAGTCGTGGGGGAGTCACCGGAATGGGGCTCTGAAGGATGAGAGCCACCCCGGAAGGGCAGGCACCTAGAAGCGTCATCGGCAGCTCGGTCTCCCATCTGGGACCTCCAGAGGAACGGTCCAAGGCGTTTGTCTACAGGGTGCTCAGTGGTTGGGGGAGCAGAGTGACCAAGTATGTAAGGCTGGTAACAGGTCGCCTTCTTGCTCCACTATTTCCATGCTGGGCCAGAGGAAGACTCCCCAAGGATAAACAAGACACCTCAACTTAACAGCCACTTTTGGGGGCTGATGTACCTGACTCCCAACCCAGGTAGGACGCAGCTCGGCTGTGCTTTCCAGAGGCTCGCCGTCCCGGGGAGGCTTGAAGTAGCGGCCCACCCAAGGTCATGCTCCGGGTGAAGGCAGAGGCCAGGAGTGACCCGGGAAACCGGCAGCGATGGGAAGACGCGAGCGGGGGCGCGGGCTCACCTGGTAGTTGTCCAGCTGCTCATCAGTGAAGATGGTCTGCTTGTTCCCCATGATGCGCGCGGCCAGCCGGGCACCGCCTCCCACCGCGCACGACGAGCCCTGCACGCATCCCGCCGCGCAGTCCACTGGAGGGGGTGTAGTCGGGGCGAGGCGTGGTCTGGGCGTGGGGCGGAGTCTAGCTATGGGGCGTGGCTTGAGGGAGGGGCAGCGCCGGGGCGGGGCGGGGGCTGAACGGGGCGTGGTCCCCGAGAGGGGAGGGCCTGAGCAATGGGGCGTGGCGGAAGAAAGATGCTGGTCCTTGGGTGGGGCGCGTTGCAGCTCCTCTACGGGGCGTAGGCTGGGAGAAAATGCCTTTGCTGCTAAGTCCTGCTCCTGCTGGTGCGGGCGTGGCGACCCCGGCACTTTCGGCAGCGGAGTTGCAGGCGCGCCGCGGAGGGTCTAGTGTAGACACTTTCGAGAGCTACACGGGGACGAGCTGAGGGACCTGGCTACCCTGACCAAGCGGCAGGGTATGCCAGACTTGTAAGCGCGATCCTAGTCAGGCCTTTCTCCCGCCTGTCCCTCACGGAGAAGGAGGGGTCACCCCGGCTGCGTAAGGCACCACTAGCAACAAGGCAGGGCATCTCAGGCCCCTAGGCCTCTTAGGTGGGAGAACAAGATTTGCTCGCTTATCTTTGAATCCTTGAACACAGACCAGAGACTCGGAACGATTTAAAAGACTTACTGTGTGCAGAGACTAACTGTGACAAAGGCCAGGGAGTTTTCTGGGGCTTTTATGCAAATACAGTCCCCACCAAGTGCCTTCCAGGGATCCAGCTCACACTTGTGTTATTTCTAACCGCAGGGCAGCCAATTCTACAGGCATTATCTCCAACTCACAAACGAGGACACTGTGCTGGAGTGGTTCAGTAACTACCTCAGGAGCTCATGGTTGAGAAGAGGCAGAAATTGTCTGGACTCAGAGGCCGTGTCCTCATCCTTTGCTTGTATTGGACACGTGGGATAGGGGCCTCAGACCTGGGAAAGAAGTTAGTATATGTGACCAAGAATTCAGAGAATGTGGGATTTTAGAGTAGAGACAGGCCTTTATAAGATTCCCCCAATCTGCACTTCCCCCTTCTCCCATGTTAGAGCTGGAGAAGTTGAAACTTCTCCAAACCACACAATCACTTTTTATAAAGGTTCTCTTTCTTCCCCGTGAACAGGCCAGTGTTCTGTGTTCAGAACATGCTCTGGCACATTCTCTTACAATTGTTAATCTCTGTTCATTTGAATTGCAGCCTTCTGGGTTGAAAAGCTAGAACTTCTGCAGAAGACTGAGTTTTCATTTCTGGAGTCTCTCCTTCCACAGATGAAAAAGAAGCACCACTCTGACTAGAAAAATTCCATAAGAAACTCCTTTTGATCGCTGCTACTGAAACTGGAAAAGACACCAGAGTTCGGGCTGCCTGTCACTACCAAACCCAATAAACTGAGACAGGGATTGAATCTTTATGGGTGCTTTATTCAGATGACCAGTGATCTGAGAAGATGGCCAGTTCATACCCTAACAGACCATCTTGTCTCGTCTTCCCAGGCCAAGGTTTTTGTAGCAGGGAATAAAGGTATGGTGAGGGGTTTTGAATTTCAGGGAGGAGTTAATTGTTAATTGGATTAAAAAAAAACACACAAAACCTCCAGCATTCTCCCCCTGGGTAGTGGTCTTAAGCTGTGCCCCAGGCAGTGGTCTTTAGCTGTGTCCTGGGCAGTGGTCATCTCACCCTGGAGCACAATGGCTCAGATATCATCTTGAATTGCTTGCAGTCCTCTGGAGGAACAAAGGTGGAACTGGAGTCCGGGTATGCGCCACCCTGGAGTCAGGGTGGGGCATACCTTCAGTTCCTGGAACAAAGCTTTTACATGCTTTGATTACTAAGTTTATTACCTATTACTTAAAATTAAATTTTCCATATCTTAAGTCCCCTATTATTGCTAGTGCCCAGAATGAGGCTCTCTCTGGAACTAACACAACAATGCTGTGAGGAGTTCCCATGTTACAGATGAGAGGAAAAGTGACTTGCCCAGCACCATTCAACTAGAAAGTAGCAAAGCAATGCTCAACCTCATTCTCTGACTCCAAATCAAGTGCTCCTGGGGTTCCCAGATGTTGGGTGTGGTCCCCAGAGAGACAGTGTGTGTATTTGTTCCTGGGGATCATGGATGGAGGGACAGCAGCATTGATTATCTGCTCTGTGCCCATTTACTGGAGATTATTCCACAAATGCTCTTAAGTCTATAGAGCTTGGTGTCCTAATCACATCTCACAGATTAAGAAATCGTCTCAGAAAGGTGACTTGCCCACGGTCATGCAGCTGGTAATCCGTGTGTTTAAATCTGGGCCCTGACTAGCGCAAGGGGACACGTCATTACCGCTTCTATAGGCTTTGAGAATACAGTGCACCACGGAACAAAAATCCTGCCCTCTTGGAATTTACCCCTGGGGAGGAGTCAAACAGTAAACAAATAAATAGGTGAAATATACATGGTACGTCAGCGAAATAAGTTCTACAGAAAAATCAGTGAAGGGGCATAGACAGTAGGGAGGAGAGGGGTTGCCATTTAAAATAGAGTGGACAAAAAAGGCTTTACGTTGGCCTTCAGGAAAATGCAAATCAAAGCCGCAGTGAGATACCACTTCGCCCACTCTAGGAAGGATGTCTATAGTCAAAAAGGCAGATAGTAAGAAGTGACTAGCAACTGGAAGTCTCAGAGCCACAATCCTACCTAAATGGTGAGTCAATGAATGGAGGAGCCGGAAAGCCTAGAAGAGCCAAACCGCGCAGCTTCCGGGTTCTGGCTGCCTACGTCACCACAATACGAGCCTCGCGATTGGCTAGTGGAGGCGGTGCGTGTTACGAACGGAGGAGGAGAGGCCAAAATTCCGGGGACGGGACTTCTAGGGGGCGGGGTCTCCAAGGTGAGTGAAAGGGAGCAGGCTTCGCGACTGCGCAATAGAGTTGCTCTGTCGCCTCGGTGAGGAGAGAGACGCGATGGCGGGGCCCGCGTGGATGTCCAAGGTGAGCACCCGGCGAGCCGCGGCAGCGTGGATCCGGAGGGCTTGATTCTGAGGTGGCCCACGCGCGGCGTGTGAGCAGCCCGCATAGGGAGGGCCGCGCTGGAGGGGGATGACAAGGACAAGGGGGCGCGCGGCCCTGCTCCCCGCGGTACCCCAGGCCGGAGACCAGGCCCCGCGCAGATCTGGACTGTCTGAGATCAGACCCACTTGGCGCTGACTGCGGGGCCTCCTCGGGTTTGTTTGGCAGGGCCGGGTCACTTAGCAGGCCTCGCACTCTGGGCAGGCGAGGTCCCGTGGGCGACCCCAGGCTGCTTCCTGCCAGATTTCCCCGCCCCTGCCCAGCACTTGCCCGTCTGCCCCTGCGGCTCTGCCCCCTTCGAAGGACATGGGCACCTTCAACCGTAGAATTGCCATCTGAACCCTTGTACAGGAGAACCAGCAGCTCTCCCACCTTTTTGGTGAGGATCTGCGATCTAAAGAGCTTCCGCGATCCTGACAGCTGGGATGCCAGGGCGCAGCTGGGCTCAGACCGCGTCTTTGCGGCTTCTCGGTTTCTGGGTTGGCGCTCAGTCGCGCCCTTAGAGGTCATCCTCAAGGTTACGCAGGAAGTCTGTGTCAGACCGAGAGGAACCCAAAGGACTGTGTGGAGGATGTTCCTGGTTCTAAGTCCCATTCTGCCTGCTCTGGGACCAAGGTCACACCACAGGTTATAAGCACGGAAGGAGAAACAGGCACTCAGGTTTCCTGGTGCTGGTCAAGAAAAGTCCCCTAGAAATCTACTATAAAAATCTTAATTCTTTTTTTTTTTTTAAGATTTTATTTATTTATCTTTAGAGGGGAAGGGAAGGAGAGAGGGAGAGAAACATGAATGTATGGTTGCCTTTCATGCGTCCCCTGCTGGGAACTGGCCTGCAGGGAGCCTGCCTGCAACCCCAGTATGTGCCCTGACTGAGAATCGAACCGCGATTGTCTGGTTCGCAGGCCCACGCTCAATCCACTGAGCTACACCAGCCAGGGCGAAATCTTAATTCTTTTTCCTGTAGATTTTAATACTTTTTCCTTTGTTTTTCCTTTGTTTTCCTTTGTTAAAGTGAGGTCTACATGCTCTGTTATTTGGTGGAGAAAGGTCTACACTGGAATGTAGGAGTCTTAGTTTTAAATCCTGACGGTGCAACTAAGCGGCTGTGGGACCCTGAACAAATTACTTAACATCTCCGAGCCTTAATATGTCCATGCATAAAATATCCATACTTGCTTCACAGAATTGTTTGGGGCTTAAATTTTTAAAATGTGAAATCACTTGTTCCTGCAGAAGGAACACATGCCTGAATCTTTCCTAAGGTTCAGTGGATTATCAGTGGATTTACTTTTCAGTCGTCATGCAGACCAAGTTTCTTGGACGTCACTAAGGGTTTTATTCTGTAACTGGGTTCTGCTTGGTACCTCTTCAGATCTGGATTTATGTGTGATGATGACTGTGATGTCACATTTGCTCCCGAAGGGGAAGCAGCTTCTGTGTCACCATCTCAGCAGAAGTCATTCCCTTAATCACTGAGCTTACACTCTTAGCACCTCATTCAGCTGTGGTAGGTATGTGAAGCCTTCAGAGGAGGGACTAAAGTCTTCCTTCTAACTGTTGCTAATCAAAGCACTAGTCGATTTGTTTTGCCTTTAGGGTGGTCTACAAGAAAAAAACCGTGTGAGAGCCCATTGGGGTGTGGAATCAAAAGATAAGGGAGGTTCTCCTCTGGCATGGACTTCCTGTGGAGACTTTGAAAGTCCACTGACCTCTGTGGGGCCACTTTCTCCCTTTAGAGATTGGAGCAGAAGGTGCCTCAAAGATATCTTAGGAGGAAAATCCATTGTTTGACCTGAGAAAGTATAGTTTCTACCTTCAACGTCTTTTGACAATTACATTCATAAAATTGCCTTTGGAGTAGTATATAGTACTTAAGTTCTCAAAGCAAAAGGTAATCTGAATGCTGTATTTTGATTTTCAGATCCGAGGTAGCATGCCACATTGAGCTAATATATGAGAAAGTATTACTTGGAAGTTCCCGAATATCTCTGCCTCTTAATGCATGTGGCGTAATTTTGTGCGTGACATTTCTTTGTTGACATTAATATAGGTCTCTCGGCTGCTGGGGGCATTTCACAACCCAAAACAGGTGACCAGAGGTTTTGCTGGTGGTGTGAGTATAATTACATCTTTTAATTTTTCCTTTTAGAAGTTTCTCAAGAAAGATGCTCTAATACATTATATGTAGCCTTTTATGTGCATTTATTTAAAATTAGGGAAAATTGGCCATACTTATACTGTATATTTAAATTATTGGCTAACATGCAGAAATCTATTAGGTCACATTTAAAAGAATTATATTACAGCTGGCTATGTAAGCCTGTAACATTAATATCTGGAAAGAGCCTTGTTAAAAATAGATAGAAATTTCCCTTGAGCCTGTTACTTTGCTTCACGGTCTCATTTCGGTAAGACAGTTTTTTCTTCAAAACGATTACATGTTGAGAAAAAAAATCATTGAGAAGCTTCAAAACCTGCTTTGCATTTTTATTTTGTGAGCGTCCCTAAAAACAGTAGATTGTTTGCCAAACAGAAGCGTCTCAAACATCTTGTAAGTCCCGCAAGCTGATGCTTTCCTTCCGCAGCCTTTATAGGCTGTCACGTCTGTGTGTTTCTCATGAAATCCACTGCTTTTGGAACTCAGAGTTCTCTGCTTTAAAAGCTGATACCACATTTTTAGAGCATTCTAAGACTGTGGGTCAGTGACTCCTCCTATATGCTTTTATTTTAGCCTTCTTGCAGAATCTGGTTTGGATTTCATGATTCCTATGCTCCCATATCACATATTATTCTATGTGGCATCTATAAGGCTAAAGCATATTTTTTTTTTTTTTTCATTTACTTTCTCTACTGTAGAATAAAGTAGGGTTTCTTTGGGTGGCCTGATGGCATTTATTGCAACATGTTGGGAGAACAGGAAGAAGCAGCCAGAGGTTCTGGGCTCTGCTCCTGCAAAGATGCAAAGTGCACTTGCACTTGCAGCTGAAGGACAGTGAAGCGAGCATTTTACACGCGTTTTGGAAAGCTGATGGAATGATCATTGCACCCTGCTGTGACTTAGTTTTCAGGCTCTCCATTTAAAAAAAATTAGCCTGGTGGGGAGGGGAGTATATTTGAAAGAAATATGAAGAGAAACTAATTTTCGAAAAGATTTCTTCGGTCGTACAGAAAAATTGAATTGGTTCACCTGCTCAGGGAGTATCACTGGAAGGCAAAAGACCAGGGAAACTTGAACCAGTGATTTAAAAAAAGTAGCACAGGCAGCTGAAACTGGAAAAGGCCAGGGACCTTGTCTGGGCCAAACTTCCAGGTGGAGGAATGTCTGCAACACTGATGTAATAGTTTCCAAGTGGAGAGAGAGAGAGTCTGAATATTATCTTAACTAATTTAAACCCTCTCATCATTTCCCTTCACACATTTTTATCTCTACATTTGAAATGCTGGCTTCAATTGGTTTGGAGCCTCTGAAATAAATCGTTGCAGTTACTTTATAAATACACTTGTCAGTCTGAGTGTAACTCAGACTTTGCAGGTATGATTACATGAGCTATTCTCACCGGTTACGAGTCAACTTTGCTGAGTTTATTTCAATTACATTTGCCATTATGGAGCCAGTTTTATCGTGGAACTCAGAAAAACAGAGACCCTCTCTGTTGAAGCCTCGTCTTCTCTGAGACCTGCTTTTGGAAGGAGTCGAAAAGTGTTGGATGAGACTGACCCGGTTTGCGTGAGACACTCAGCTGTCCGGGACCCCAGTGGAGGGGAAAGCACTTGTCTTCATGGAAAGCCCACTGCTTTAGGGAGAGAACACTGTTGAAAACTTTTTCCTCTCTCTGCTTTTACAGACTTGAAGAAATATCAATGGGGAAGCCTGGTGGTTTACTTTTGTTTTATCTAAAGACCGTCACTTGAGTTGTTTTTGTAACTCTGAGTTCAGCTACAGAGTAGAATTGTGGAGTCTCTTGAATCTTGCCTTTTTTGATGAGCCTGAGGGAGGGAGGTCTGTTTTCTTAACGGCCTTTGGGTCTTCTTGAGACTCAGCCCTCCCAACACATATAAAGTGGATTTCTTTGTCAATGATATTCTTTTTTAAACCTTCAAAAATCAATTCTTACTGTCGTCTTCGATGATTTCTCATATTCAGGTTCAGACAGTAACTTTAATTCCAGGAGATGGTATTGGCCCTGAGATTTCAGCCTCGGTTATGAAGATTTTTGATGCTGCCAAAGTAAGTGGACTTTAAACATACCTTAAATAGCAATTTGTAGAAGAGTTTCTTGGTCTGTGGGAGTCTGTGACCTCTTACGATGAATCCTTTGCATTTGCATGGAGTTGGTATGGTCTGCTCATCTTCACGATTTTAACTGGAACATCAGTGTTTGCCACTGTCACTGTTGGTGTCTTAAGCCACCACAGCAGCACCAGTTCTGTGCAAAGTGATGAAAGCAGAACTGAGGTCTCTCTGGGTCTCATTCCTGCCTGACTTAGGTCTTCCAGCCAGGCCAAGTCGCCCGTCTACCGCCTTCCATCTTCTTGCCCCAGAGAACAGAATCGCTGTTTCAGAACACTGTATAGCAGATTTCGAAAGGTTAGGAAAAATTCTGATGTGGTATTATCATCAAGTGTGAGGTATTCTTCTAACAGCCCAGCTTTCATTTTGTTTTGGGAAATTAGGAAACTTGGACTGTTTTTGACATGGTGCTTTATTATTGCTGTTCATAGCTGCAGGTGATAAATGTGCAAGAGTAAATTAGTGGTGGTTACGATCCCAACAGGTGTAAGTCGAGGAATGCAGTTTATTTAAAATATACACACATTGTTTTTTTGCGTGACCTTGGAAATAGAGCTCCTGCAGAGAAAGTGACACTGGTCCAGGAGCACCTCAGTGCAACAAAAACAGGCTCGTTCCCTGCGTTGTTCATGAGGCACGCTCGGTGCGCCAGCAGCCAGACGTGTGTGTGTGTGCCGAAGCGTGGGTGGGAAGAAAGGACGACGCTGTGGTTTATGCCTTCGAACTGCTGCCTTTGTAGGTTATGCAATATAGCTTTCTTTTTTAACAGCTTACGGAGAGATAATTCACGTACTGTGCAGTTCACCATTTAAACTGTACAATTTAATGGTTTTTAGTACATTCATCGAGTTATGCAACCCTCACCGCAATCTAATTTTAGAATATTTTCATCACCCAGAAACCCCATATCCATCAGCAGCCGCTCCCCATTTGCTGACTCTCTCACCCTACTCCTGCATCCCCAGCTCATGCAACCACTAACCTACTTTGTCTGCATAGATTTGCTCAGTCTGTTTCATGTGAATAGAAGCTTATGATATACAGTCTTTTATGACTGGCTTACTTCACTTAGCATAGTGTTTTCCTGGTTCATCCACGTATCAGTTTTGTGTAACATCTCTCTGAACTGTACTTTTCTGCTGATGATCATACTCTAATTATAGCCACATTAAGCGCTGTGGAAAACCGGAGTGGGCAAGTGGCAGCTAGGGGCCTGACTGGATGGGGTGGACAGTCCCTCAGGGCGGGCTAGAGAACGACATCTGACCTCGAATACCAGGGACTTTCTGGACCTTTATGGAGTGCATTGTCACCACTCACACCAAAGGCGAGGGAGTGCGTTGGTGGTGGTGTGGGACTGTCACTCACATCACCTCTCCCCACACTGTGCTCTGCGGTGTTGGCCTCCAGGCGCCCGTTCAGTGGGAGGAGCGGAACGTCACTGCCATCCAAGGGCCGGGAGGAAAGTGGATGATCCCTCCGGAAGCCAAGGAGTCCATGGACAAGAACAAGATGGGCCTGAAAGGTAGCTCTGAAGGGGCGCGGTGATGAGTTCTGCTCCCAGCGTTGTATTTTTGAAAGTTTAAGCTAAATACAGCTAGGCTCCAGTGAAGCCACTCACTCATAGTAAGATGCTGTGTTTTCACTTGGGGACATATTTTCCACAGTGAAAACACAGAGTATTACTGGCTAATGTCAAATACATACTTATATAGTTTGTAACTACATATCAAGTATATACATAGTGGATCCATACTTAAGGTCATGATTCAAAGTCCTAGCCCATGGGAGGCTTTAAATCCAGACGGATCACATTGGAATCTCGTCTCTGCCACATACTGCCTGGGAGGCCTGCACGAATCTCTTACTCCTGGTTTTGAAAAAGAATTTTGGTTTCTTCCTCTACTTTTAAGTGACAGTGACAGAGTTGATACTTCATAGGAAGATGGTGAGGATTAGATCGTGTCGCACTGGGTCCTCAGCCAGTAGGTGCTCAGGGAACATTCCAGAAAGCTCCCTTGAAGAGATTTCCTTCTGTCAGTTGAATCTGGGGGACGGCTACAGTCTGAGGCAGAACCCATGTCCAGGGAAGCCCGGGGGCGGGGTCAGTGGGCACTGAAGGATTGCCAAGGGTGACCAGCCAGGATGGACTCGCCCACAATGAAGAGAACATTCAGCTCACAAACAGAGCACCTTCTGTCCTTTCAAGAGACTTGCTCTTTTGTGAAAGTGTCCCTTAGTTAATGAAGCATGCGTGTTAAAAGAGGGGTTCTAAATACAATTCTGATGGAAAATTAAAACCAAAAAATTGCAATTTCAAACAAACCTTACGTACTTGTGTTTATAAAGAAGAGAAGATCCTATTGTCATCTGGGTGTTCTTTCTCACAGGCCCTTTGAAGACCCCAATAGCTGCTGGTCACCCATCCATGAACTTACTGCTGCGTAAAACCTTTGACCTCTATGCAAATGTCCGACCATGTGTTTCCATAGAAGGCTATAAAACCCCTTACACTGATGTAAATATCGTCACCATTCGAGAGAATACAGAAGGAGAATACAGTGGAATCGAGCATGTGGTACGTTCACTTCAGATACTTGTTATTCTCAGTTGGGTTGCTTCCCCAGCACTTGGGCAGCTGTTCACACTCCCGTGAAAACAGCTCCAAGGCAGCCTGCTGTGACCTGAGGTGTGGGCGCTTGTCTTGGCCCTGGGTCTCTGGGCCATGTGCTCACCTGGGCGCTCAGAAAACGCCACGGGGCTGGGAACTTTGCCTTCTGTGTAAACTTTGAATCCTGGCTTCACCGGGGTCCTCTTGGGCAGGCGATCCTCTCTGAACCTCAGTTTTCCTCATCTGTGCAATGAGGCTGCCAGCGCCTACTTCCTAGGGCTGGACCAACATTCACCCCACTGACGCACCGTATGTGTGATGCTGGCCATGGCTGCCGGTGCTGTGTGAGCCTGCCACTGACCACACGGTTCATACAGCCACCCAGGGCCGGGATGTTGCCACCCCCTTCCCAGCAAGGCAGGACTTCCTGTCTCGACTTCCTTCTTCCAGATCGTGGACGGCGTTGTGCAGAGTATCAAGCTCATCACTGAGGAGGCGAGCAGGCGCATCGCAGAGTTCGCCTTTGAGTATGCCCGGAACAACCACCGCAGCAACGTCACCGCCGTGCACAAAGCCAACATCATGTGCGTCCCTGTGGGCTCAGCACCCTGTCATGCTTTGTGGGGGAGCAGGGGGGTTTACTTTCTTCTGTCTGGCTTGTGCACTGATTCCTGGTGTCTCCAAAAAATACCCTGTTTAACAGTGAGAGGGTCAGGCACACAATTCTCTTGTCACAATCTTCTACTTGTATATGCCTCCGTGAGTGAATGAGTGGAGGAGATTTGGGGCGGGGGCTGGTTGGGAATTCAGGTCCTGGAGTTTAAGGGGGGACTAAGAAATAAGAGAAGGAAGCTGCAGAGTCTGGAACCCCCGTAGAAATGGCATAGCAGGAGTGTTTGTGAGACGGTCACATGCTCAGGGGCATGGCAGTAGTCAGTGCTCACAGTGGTCGCCTTTGTGGTGCATGATTCTAGCCCGTGAAGTTCTCCTCAGCCCCAGCAGTTAAAGGCCATAGCGCATGTGGAAAGAAACAGGTTTCCTGACCTAAGAACGTGTTGGGCGTGAAAAAGAGTCAAACCACTCAAATCAGTCAGCCTTTTTAAAGCGATTTTAGCATTTTCTTATAAATACCGATTTCTTATTCGTACTGGGTAACACCACTGCCTAAGAAGTCATTTTACTGTAATTGAAATCACACATCATGGCTTTCGAAACTTTACTTCTCTGATTTGATGCTTTTCTTCCTGCAAGTTTTTGCTTTCAACAATTTTTATTTGATTAAATACAGGCGAATGTCAGATGGGCTCTTTCTGCAGAAATGCAGGGAAGTTGCAGAAAACTGTAAAGACATTAAATTTAACGAGATGTACCTTGACACAGTTTGTCTGAACGTAAGTATGCGTTCCTGCTGGCCTGCTCCTTTCCGTGGCATGCGGTGTGTCCGTCTGCTGTGCAGGTTTGACTGCTGGATGCACATGTGTGTTTCTCGTAGATGGTCCAAGATCCGTCCCAGTTCGACGTTCTTGTTATGCCAAATTTGTACGGAGACATCCTGAGGTAAGTCTGGTCGCCCCCTGTAGTCTGTAGTATTTTTTATAAAGGTCCAGAAATGTTTGCTATGGGACGGGAGCTGAGCTGTAACAGTTTAGGGAGTGGTCTCATGATTCCACGTGGGCGGGCTCTTCCCCATTTCTGTGCCGTCTCCGCTCCCATTCATTGCTCCCTGATCACTAGTTCTGCACAGTCTTCCTGTGTTTTATTGGTTGACCTCAACGTTTTCTGTATCACTAGTAGGTGGGTGGTCATTTTTGTAACTTTTGACGTAACTTCAGACTTACAGAAAAGCAGCAAGAATGTTACACAGAATTCCTGTGTACTCAGCACCTGCATTCCCCAGATGTCAGCATTTTATCACTTTTACTGTATTTGTCCCTCTCTTTACACACTCACACTCATGCTGTTGGCCAAAGGGTGATTTTCCGAGTCCATCATTCCTCCTTACATTCCTCACTTGGTGTTCTGCCATGGGACAAGCTTTTCCTTGTCTCGTGTGTGTCTGTGTCAGTCAGTCAGGACTCATTTCTTTTGTTCAGCATCACACCCGCCGCCATCGTTCATGTGGAGACTTGGGTTGTCTGGACCTGGCCAGGGGCATCCCTCTGAGCTGTTGCTTGCTGCCTGGCACGGTCACACGCTCCAGGATCATCCCGATGTTCCTAACTAGTGCGGGGATCGGCCATTTCTCCAAGGAGCCCGGTGCCTTTCAGTGGAGGATGATATTTAAAAGTGGAAGTCTGGGTGCTGCGTGAGACGTTTTAGTTTTCAAACCCACACTCCTGGTGTTCTTCACCCCCAGCGACCTGTGTGCGGGCTTGATCGGAGGTCTCGGTGTGACACCAAGCGGCAACATCGGCGCCAACGGGGTCGCGATCTTTGAGTCGGTAAGGATCCTGCTGACACGCAAAGCGGCAGTTGGGCCAGAATGGCACGAGAACCCGGGAGGGGTGACCTGCGAGAACGTGTTCCAACTTCTGAGTTTTTCCAGTTGTCAGAAGAAAATAATGTTTTTTTAAATACAGTGAGTTTTTTTTAATATAAGCATGGTTCACTCACTCCCCTGTTGTTTGTATTGTATCCTTCATATTTAAACTTCCTCAGTTGAAATATTTCAATGAAAGCCGGCAGAGAAAGGTGGTCCGTAGTTTTGAAGTTTCTGGAAACAGTTACTTTTGCCCCTCATTTTTCTGCAGCTTTGTTGCCAGACCTGTGCCTGGTGAGCTGGGCGTGGCCGCTGCTAAGCGACCACGTCCACCAGTCCAGAGAGAGGACCAAGAGCCCCACACGCCCCTCACTGCACTGTTTCCCCGAGGCAGGTTCACGGCACAGCCCCGGACATCGCCGGCAAGGACATGGCCAACCCTACGGCCCTGCTGCTCAGCGCGGTGATGATGCTGCGCCACATGGGGCTGTTTGAGCACGCTGCGCGGATCGAGGCGGCCTGCTTCGCCACCATTAAGGATGGGAAGGTACCGTCGCGGTGCTGTCCTCCTGCCTGTCTCCCAGGGTTTCACCGGAAAGGGCTGAGAGGCAGGGAGTGAGCCGTGGGGGGAGCAGAGGTTCCACAGTCAGAGCTGGTCTGGGCCCAGGTGTCATGTGCCTGGCAATGTGATTGTGGCCAGGGCCCTGACCTTGGTCTACGCACCTTTTTTCTCCCCCCGACAAAAGTCTATGGTGTACCTTTTAAGGTGTGAAGCATAAAAAAACTGAGGAATAGGACGAGGTCCTGGCCTCCAGGAGCTCAGAAGCCAGCAGTAGACGCATGCAGCTGTGTCTCTGACACCGTGGTGTCACTTGTTGTACGAGGTGCGTCAGAAATACAAAGTGTTAGCAATGGCTGATGTTAACCCAGTCCTTACACGCTGGTCTTTGAATATGTCGTCTCAGCAAATCTTTATTAATTACTCTGTGAGGTAGGTCCTATAATGAATTCCGTTTTACAGATGAGGAAACTGAGGCACAGAGAGATCAGTTATTTTATCAAAGGTCTCACAGCTTCGTAGGGTAGAGCTGGGGTTCTCACCCAGTCCGGCTCTTGCCCACCAGGCTTCCCGGTTTCACCTGTGGCCCCGGAAGGGTTGCGGTGGAGGAGGTGGTGGCTGCTTGCTTCTTACAGGAAATCCCAGCCTGTTTTTAACAGCCCAGTAGTCCTATTAAAGGGCATATGATTTCATTTGTTGTTTTTTCTGACTGTATTTGTGAATTTAACCTGTTCACAAATAGCCTTAGCAGAGGGGTGGCAATTACACAGCAGGCCCCTTTAATTAAGCAGGACATGGTGATGCAAGTTCAGTGTATGGAGGTCTGTGTGGGGCTGCAGAGAGGAGAAGCTGGAGAACAGCAGATGCGTGGGAGAATTTTCTGCCTATAGAGGGAAGTTTAGTCGTTAGTGATTCAAATTACCTCAGTGTTTGTTTCCCAGCCTCTAAAAACAGATCAAAATATGTCAAGTTTTTTCAACTTTAGAAATTCCCCATGGGATTTACGATTCCCCCGTTTAGATATTAAATGTCAATAATCAGACATTTTCCTGGGAATTTGCCATCCTCCTGGGGTAGGCAGATGTGGTGAGGGGGGCTGGCTTTGAAATGAACTAAATGAGACAGCAGCCGGGTAGCCGGGTAGCCGGTAGCCTGCCCAGCTGGTGTCTCACCACGCTTTCAACAAAAATATCCCTGCTTTGGTTTACTATGAGATACATTTTTTACTTTTGCTTTTTCCTTTTCTCAGAGCTTAACAAAAGATTTGGGAGGCAATGCAAAATGCTCAGACTTCACACAAGAAATCTGTCACCGAGTGAAAGACTTAGATTAAGGCTTTACAGGCGGCATCCGCATCAGTGCCTGCTACCGAAGCCACACGAAGGTGCGTGAGAGAGAACACGTTCCATTCCGAGTGCACCGAGTCTCCTTGCTTCTGATAGTGACCTCTAGGTCTGGCCTCTTCACAAAGTCTGCGAAGGGTGCAGGTGATGTCCCTAGGTGTGCTTTCAAAGGACGTTTCCAAGTGCTTGTTTTATTTATTAATGTCTATTTGGTATACATTTTTTGTAAACTCTTTGGTGGACTGTATCATTTGCCATTGTTAACCATTTTACACTTCAGTTAAAACCGTTTTCCTCAGCTGTAAATATGGTACAGAATTAATAAGAGAAAACATCTAACTTTCTAAAGAAAACGTTGTCATTAGTTTATGAAAAATATAATAGAAATAAAACAGAATATTGACATAATAGCACAAGATGACATTCTTATCAAATGAACAGGCACCAGAGAAACTTCCTAGGAAAGTTCACCTCACAAACTGACTATGGTGTATTTCTTTATGATATGGAAAATTAAGACAGATTTGTCCTTTATATGAATTACTGACTATGAATAAAGACTTCAGATCCAAGAAATACGAGAGAGATAACTTTTGTTAATAAGGAATGGTAATACATTGGCTACAAAGACACAGCTACGCTGTTCAACTATTTTGTTACCTGGAGCCTTTCATGAAGTGAGGGGCTGAACTTTCTTTTCACTGGACACACACTAAGCATCATGGGTAACAGCCACGAGGGCCCCAACTGACAGTCGGGCATGGTGGCTGACCTGTGTGCGGTCACACTTCTGCAGTGTGCCCCCCTCCAGCCGGTCCTGCCGAGAGGCCTGACCACACCATTAATTTTGTGTTTCCCTGGCGGCCTGCCCTCCCCAGAAGCAGCCCCAGGAAGAGGCCAGGTTGCAGAGCGCAGACGCGGCCTGAGCCGGGTCACAGCCCCTGCTGTCAGGCACCACTTCCCGGCAGCACGGCTTTTCTTCCCCCTCGGGCGCTGAGTCCCTGTTCTCACGAACAGGCACCCTTTGGCCCCAAACCAAAGGCAACTCATGTCCCTTGTTCCTCAAGTAATGACACAAACCGGAGGCTCTGCATAACGGGCCCAGGTCACGGGATGTCTTAACCACAGGTATCCCTGCCTGGGCGCTTTTTAAGGCTTGAAACCAGACTTTCGATCTCACGTGTGTTTTCCTGTTTCAGCTGTTGCTTCCTCTGTTTTGTTGAAATTCGTGAGTTATTCTTGTGTTCACACTAATAAAGAATTCCAGAACCGACTGAGATGTGCGCTGTCTCAAGGTCCAGGGCTCGGCCCCATGGCTGGAGCGGCTGCTCCGCGGCAGGGCCCTGAGGCGGGGGCGGCAGCCCTCGGCCGACCCAGGTGCCCAGCGTCCCTCACGTGCCCGCGGGGCACTGCCCTGCAGGTGAACGCCCACTACAGTCTGTGCTGGTCCCACTTGCTCAACCGACAAGAAAAGTCACGTACTTGTTGACGGTTGTTAAAAGTTTAATACCCGAATCACACATTAAATACAAACTGGAAGCAGCAGTCCTACGAAGCAGCAGGTCAGTAGGCACGTGTTGGGGATGGCTTAGGTGTGGAGTGGCCGGTGGCCCGTCCAGCACATTCCAGGGTGAGTGAGTTACAGCCACTGTCCTGGTGGCACCTGCAGTAACATGAACCGACTCCCCCCTCCCCCCCTCTGTCCACACAGCCTGCAGCTGGCAGGCTGCTCAGTGAGCTACTGGCCCATAAATTCTACCTGGAACTAAAGCCATAAAGTATCAACCCTTCAGTTCTGGAAGGAGAGCTGGTCTCCCATCACCTGAACAAAAGGTGGCACTTAAAACTATGCACGGAATTGCTGGCCGTTGTTGGCATGAGACCTGGGAAGTGCAGATGCCGGTGCCATACCGGACCTGAGACCTAGCAGACCTGCCAGAAGCTGCTGTGCCCAGACTGAAGAGGGCGTGGACAGGTCCCTCGGGGAGGCCCACCGGCCTCAGGACGCAGGAGGCCCTCCCGTTATTTATTTTGCTCTCGGTAGAAGGAATCGATGATGTCTTTATACTTCTCCAGAACTGTGAGTCGCTTCAGCTTCATCGTAGGACCTGAAGCAGATTGGAAAGCATGAGTGCAAGGGGCCTCCGAGAAACCTGAGGTGCGTGGTCAAGACCCGGACTCGCTGAGCCTTGTAACTCTGGGATTAAGCTGGACGAACGGGCAGCCAGCCTCCGAGCTGGCCGTACGTGACCCCTCCGCCGGCACTGGCCGCAGTGCCAACAGCACACAGGAGTGGTGTCGGCCACTTTGGAGAATGGTTGCGACAGAGCAGCTTCTCTCACGGATGTGGAGACGTGAGCCACCTCCGCCTTGCCCTCGACCTGCACCTGTTTCCGATCTCGATGCGTTGTCTGTGCTGTCTTTTGGATGAAGCAATGACTCAAACAACCCAAACTGCAAGACTAGGCTCGGCCCCGGGCGCTGCGGCTGCTATGCTGCGAGCACGCATGCAGCTGTCGCGGGGCCTGCGGTCTGGCCAACAGCCACGGACACGGAGCCCTTCGAGCTCCAGGGGCTGCTGCCCAGCCAACACTTGCTGTAACCGGAGAGACCCTGAGCTGGATCCACCCAGTCTAGCTGCCTGGATTTTGACCCACAGGCATTAGGAGAGATGCTTACTATTTTAAGCTGCCTAACTTGGGGGTACTCCGTTACACAACAGTAACTAACGTGCAGTCACACCTGCGCTCGGGGGCAGTGCGTGTGCTGCTGGACACTGTGCTCTCCGACTGCCTGGGATGGGCCGGGTGCCTGGCTGAGAGGCCTCGGCTCTCCCTCAGAAGCGAGGGTGAAAATGGCTCAGACCCGAGGTGCTGGGCAGCGGGAAGTCCACTTTGTGCTAACTCGCTCTGAACTGGAGCGCTCAGAGTCAGAGTCACTTCTCCCAGCACTGCGGAGAGAGGACCTGCCGACGTTCCAGACCTGATGGCAGCTCAGTGTCACTGTGTCTGGGGTCAGCCTCAGGTGGTGCGAGGGAGCCCCCCCCTCCCCCTGGGCCGTGACAACACCCCAAGCTGCCACAAGAGAATCCATGTCCCCAGCTGAGGCTGCACGAGAGTCCCTCTGGTTCTGTGGGCCACGGTCCAGAAGGGCTTCACCACTGTCCCTGCCAGATGAGGTGGCATTGCAGGAGGTCACAGTGGCCTCACCCCTTAGAGCCATGGGCTCCACCCCAACTACCAGCAGGGCCTCTGTGTCTGCCAGGTGGCCCCATAGTGATCTCGGGACAGTGGCCCCAGAGTCAAAGCAAAGTCACATGTCACATGTTCAAAATGACACATGGCAGCACAGCCTATGCCCTGGGCAGAGCCCTCCCCAGCGAAGGGCCGTCAGGGACCTCTGCTCACCATGGCTGCTTCTTGACAGGCAGCTCCCAGGCCCGCCCCTGTCTTCCCACATAGCACCTGGGCCCTGGGAAAGGAAGCCACAGCAAACCTACCCAGCTCTCCACCGGAGATGGAGAAGTCCCTCTCGAGAATGGCCCACTTGCGGATGTGGTAGGGTCGGGCGGCCGCCTGGCTGTTCACCCTCTGGATGCCCTCTTCAATGGCGCGGTACACGGCCTCGTCCTTGCTCCCCACGATCTCGGACACCGTGGTGGCGGTGCTGCCCACTCGCTGGCAGAACTCCACGGCTTGCTCGGTCAGCTGGTCAGTGGGGTCAGAGGTGTCTGGGTCCAGAGTGCACTGCAAACCAGAGACGGGGTCAGCTCCATGCCCCACCGCTCAGGATGCAGCCTGGGCTCGGCCGAGCGAGCCTGCAGCTGTCCAGCAGGTGGATCGTGTAAGCTGCAGTTCTGGGGTGCAACCACCACCCCGACTGCAGTGAAAAGACAAGAGGCCTGAGACTCACACCCCAGGCAACAACACCCCAAACACTGCCCCGCAGGCCACACTCCTGCTGAGCAGACTGAGCTGGGGACACAAAGACCCCTGTGGCAGCAGGCATGTCCCCGCGGGGCAGCTGCCCCTCAGTGCCGCAGCACTGCCTGCCCCAGAATGAAGTCCTGACGCCCAGGTATGTCCTGTCTAAACGTGGCTTCACTTGGGACAGACCCACAGACACACCTTCAAGGTGAGCAGCATGGACAGGAACTTCCTCTGGTCCCCGATCAGCATGGCGCTGCTGATGATGGGCAGCTCTGTCTTCACGGCCTCCTCGATGGGCACCGGCGGCACGTTCTCCCCACCGGCCGTGATGATTAGTTCTGGGGAGGCAAGGCCAGGCCCTGGATGAATCTGGACACAAGCCTCGGCCACAGCCCACAGGCCAGAGCCGGGGGCAGCACCATCGGCCATTCGGGGAGGCCAGAGGTGCCCCTCTGTGGCAGTGGAGCAGCAGCACCCCCAGAAGCCCCTCACACCTGCTGGGGACAGGGGGACAGGGGGAGTGCCCGGAAGACAAACGCTCACCGGGCTCGCTCTCCTGTGGGCACCGGCTGAGACTCTCTGTCTGCTCTGACACCTACCGGACCCAGGTCCTCGCTGACCCTCCTACCTCACCCGAGTCTCCCCCACCCCACCTCTGCTGAGTGACCACGCCCTGCCCCTTGCACAGCACTCACCCTGTGCAGACTCTGTGCTGAGTGCCACGTGTAACAAGTCACTGAACCCTTGCTGCAGGCCTACACAGAAGCAGGCACTCTTCCCACTTCTGACAGGGGGTCAGGGGCACAGAGAACTTGTCCACAGTCACGTGGTCACACAGCAGAGCTGGTGCAAGTGCAGTGTGGCATCCTGCCCTGCCCTGCGGCCTCTCCCCTTGCTGACACCTGCCCTCGGGACACCCTGTCCTTTCCTCCCAACAGGCTGCCCCCTGTGCAAGGCCAGCTCGACCGTCTCCATCACGAAGCCTGTGTGACTCTCCTGTCCTCACTAACTGCTTTCCCCACACTCTCCTGCTCCTGCCCGTCCACGGCCCACTGTTTCATCCGCATGCGTACTGGGTGCCCGTGTGCAGGGCCGGGAGCCGGGCTCTCAGCACAGTGGTCTGTTCGCAGAGTGACGGCTTATGTCCAGGCTGGACGGCGACGCCGGGGCATTTCATGAACACAGCCTGACTGACGTAGCTGCACTGTGCTCCTGCACACCCCCCCCCCGGAGTCTAATTCAAGAAAGATGAGCTGGTCCCATTCTGCACACAGGTCCTGTGTTGGCCTCGGGCACAGAATGGAGCGAGACACCAGGCCATCCACCTGGCCAGTGGATATTAGGTCACTGGAGTGAAGTCGGCAAAGCCCTTTCCACAGAGGAGTCCCAGCTTCCTCCCTGGGAAAGCCGAGGTCTCTGTGAGAAATTTCTTGGAAGTCTCACGCTCTAAAATTTCATATCCAAGTTGCGTTCTACTCTACATCACATCCATGTTTCATGTAAAAACACGTATTTATGCCTTTACATTTCCTGGGAAGGCTGGCCTTGCTTGTCCGGGAGTCTGAGTCCCAGTGGCACCGTCTACCAGCTGGGTGTCCTCAGACACCCGGGCTAATGATCCCGTCTGCCCCACAGACGCCAAGGGCGAGGAAAGCGGCCGCCGTCCAGGTGGCGGCGCCCAAGGACTCCCTGCTCCTCGCAGGTGCTGGTGGCCGTGGAGCCCTCCCCCACCTTTCAGTCGTCCTGTGATGTAGAGGAAGCCGTCGTCATCCAGGCGGCCGAGGTCGCCGGTGTGCAGCCAGCCGTCAGCGTCGATGGCCTCACGTGTCTTGTCCTCCATGTTCAAGTAGCCCATGAAGACGGTGCGGCCCCATACGCAAATCTCTCCGGTGCCCTCGGAGTCCTGGTTCACTAGCTTCGCCCGGCAGCCGGGCAACACCTTGCCGGAGCTGGGGGTAGGGCCCGGAGGCCTGGTCAGAGGGGGCCGGTTCCTCCAGCCCCGGGTCAGCCCCCGAGAGCCTGGGACCCCCAACTTCTCTGTTTCCACTGATACCCACAAGGTACCTCCCAGGCCTTTCTGTTTTAACAGGGGACCCAGAACTGAGAGGTGTGGCCAATCATGTTTTCAGGGGGATGAATGAATGAATGGGTGTCCCTAATGGGACAACCTGAGTCTCCATCACAGGCCATCAGAGAAGAGGGGTATTTAAGCCCAACGGATGGTCCTCCGCCTTACCCACAGACTCAACAGTCCTCTCTGCCCCCGGGGGAGGCTGGTCTGTTCCCGCACTCTGACCCTGAGTGGCGCCTGGACTATCAGTGATGGTGGGACACTTGTCACACCCTCCCCACGGAACCGGGTATGAAGGAGAATTCCTCTATCAGAGCCCTGCTTCCCGATCTAGGGCCCATGAGTCGGCTTCCCTCCACAGACCATGGGACACTGGCAGAGACCACCGCCTCGAGGCTGAGGCCTGGCCAGGGGCCCAGGCTCTGGGGCTAGTCAGCAGGCAGCACTGAGGGGTGTGACGAGGGAGTGTGCGCTCGGGCACTGCCTCAGGCGCACCTGCATGGCCGGTAGTTGCAGGGGCTGGACATGAAGTGGGGGCCCGAGGTCTCGCTGAGGCCGTAGCCCGAGTACAGGCGGATGTTGAGGCCCAGGAAGAAGTGCTGTGTCTCCACGGTCATTGGGGCGGCTCCGTAGAAGCACTTCTGGCACTTGGAGAGGCCCAGCGCCTGGCGGACCTTGGCCAGCACCAGGTAATCTGCCAGCCTGGCTGTGAAGGGCTTCAGGTCTCTGGTGGGAGAGGGAGGGTGGGCCACAGAGAAACACGCAGGTGAACAGGGCAGGTCATTCAGTGATGCACACGGGCCTGGCCGTTCTCTGTTCTGATTGGTTGGTGCCGACACCGAACCCCTCACTACGTTTTAAATATTGGCCCTGCCTATGACATGCACACCCACACAGGTGTGTGCTTGCGCCTGTGCGTGCAAATAAGTCTTCAGCCCAGAAGTCAGGCAGAGTCAGCTGTGCATGGGCACATGTGCACACAGAACACGGGTGCCAAGATCGGAAGCATGCACGCATGGACACACCTGCACAGGCGTGTGAGAGCCCATCTGAAACCCATGACTGGGTTGTCATGCACATTCACTCCATGTGCGTGTGACACGAAGTGGAGGCACAGACACATGCACACCACTCTTCATGAGATAAGATGCACTTTCACAGGCTGCCCCAGGAAACATCTGGAAAAGGTCCCTAAACCAGAGCAGGCCAGGTCTGTGCCCCTGCCCCTCCCACAGCACTGGGGGCAGTTTAAGAGGTGATTGAGAGGTGGCAGGAGAGATCTGAGTGGTCACTTGAAGGCTGGAAAAGCCCATCACTGTGGCCCCTTCTCTGGCCACCTGCTGAGGTCAGGAGCTGCTCCCCGGGTAGTAAATGAACCTGGGGCAACCAGTCAGTCCTCCTGGAACCCAGAGAGTCCTGTGGGGCCTGGGGAGAGGCCAGGGGCTTCAGCCCAGCCACAGTCAGGGCCTCTGCCCAGGCTCTGGGCCCGGAGAGGCCTGACCTAGCAGATCCTCGGTTGCATGCTGGGGGTGTGACCCAGCCCTCCGTACCTGGCCGAGCAGGTGAGGTTCTGCTCCAACATCACTGACATTGCCCACAGTAGCATCTTGCGCCGGATGAAGCCAGACTGAGCCACCGCCTCCTGGATGCGCTCCATGGTCTTCTCCCACACCCGAGGCACCCCCATGTGGGACGTGGGCTGCACCTCCCGCAGCGTGTCCACCAGGCTCCCCTGCTCACCGCCAGAGGGACAGAGGCCTCCTGGTTCAGGGCCAGTAGGAGCAGCAGGCCCTGTCACCAAGGTCACCCTGCACACACCACAGGCGTCCCACACAGGTGTGTGCATAGGTGTGCTGTCAGCTGCAACTCAACAGCCCTCTGTTCACTACTCTCTTCTGCCAACGGAATCCTGGTGTAGTTCTGACACTTCCCAAGTCCTGCGTGGTAACTCCTCCTTAGCTAACTCAAAGTGACTTCCCATCCCACTAAGCAGTGACTGGTTTAGGAGTGGACATGTGACCCCATTTGGGCCAGTGAGATGCCAGATGGGGACAAGTCGACTGCAGGTGGGTGGAGGGCACTTTTGGGAAAGTCCTTGTGGTTAAAGCAAGGATCCGAAGAACAGGTGCAGCTGCTCAGGCAGACACAGGGCAGGCAGCGGCCATCTGCGACCACCCGTGACCTTCCAAGGATGGCCCGTCCTAAGTGGCGCTGGGCCCCCCAGAACTACTCCCACCCGACTCTCCAGGCAGTGCCGCTGCACCTGGAAGAATCCTGACTGACAGGCGCACGCCCAGGGCCCTGGCACACTCGCTCGGACACCCACCCACGCGGGCACCGGGCATGCTGACCTGTAGGGCGTCGGGCTCAGCAAAGCAGACCTGGGCCCCCCACTGGGGACCCGTCCACAGGTCATAGATCTGGGCGGCGATGTGGCTGAGAGGCAGGTAGCTGACCACCACCTCCTGCTGCACCTCCAACGGCTGGATGCCGCCGGCCTGGCTGCCGTACCGCGCTGTCCACGTGATCTGCAGGAGGCGTGGGCGGGCCTGGCAGTGTCTACCTGCCAGACCTGGACGTGCTCACAAGGGCAGGTCCCCGGGGGCTTGGGCTGTTTCTTTGGGGTGCCCTGGGGTGCTTGCCCTCCTGGGCATCTCTGCAACAAACCCCCAGGGACAGGTTCCCTCCCTTCGCTGGGTTCAGTCTGGACCACGGAGGCATCCCTGCTCCCCGAGCTGCGGGCCAGAGGAGCCTCCCCGAGGCTGCTGGGGGCCACCACCCAGACCCAGTGCAGCCCAGCCCACCCGGGAAGGGGCGCCAGCCCTACGTTGTCCTGACTCAGCATCACGCCCTTGGGGCTGCCAGTGGTGCCGGACGTGTAGACCAGCACGCAGCACTGGCTGGGCTGCTGGGTGCAGATGATGGCGTCCAGGTCGTCCTCGGGCACCTGCTCCCCCAGCTCCATGAACTCCTCCATCTGCAGCCGGAGGGTGAGAGCAGGCCCTCCGGGTCAGCGGTGCAGGCCCAGACAAGCCCTCTGCTGGGCGCCCAGGCCCTCTGCTCGTACCGTGTACACGCCAGCCATCTTCTCTGCAGGGGGTTCTCGGTAGGTCACTACTGCTTTCAGGTGGGGCAGGCTTTTCCAGATCTGTGTTGGCAGGAGAAATAAATGGAGTTTCATTAAAAACAGTCACCTCCAGAGAAGAGCCCCATCTCTGGGTGTCAGTCTGCCTGGCAGACACTGTGGGAAAGGTCGCTGACCTCCCCCAGGTAAAGGTAACAAACGGAGAAAGGTCGATGGGAACATCACAGTGGATGACCTTGTGGCCACTGACAGCACCCGCCTGGTGAGGTGGTGCAAAATGAAGTCAGCAGCGCCCCCTACAGGGTGTTCTGGCCCCACAACGTTGACTCTGTAATGCGTGAAGCCAGTGCTCTAACAGGAAGTGCAAGGCTGAAGGAACAAGCCAGCTGGCAGCTGTGAGAGGCAGTCTGTCCATCCAGCACGGCTGACCGAGACTCTGGCGGCTCTCTCACGGGAGCAGTGTCAGCTGAAGGCAGCACTCGGGGCCCACACCAAGCTCTGAGGCAGTGGGTCTGTCCAGGGTGGGGCCTCCCTGGTCGGGACCACAGGGCCCGGTGGCTCTGATCTGAACTGAGACCGCCACATGCACGGCCTGGATCCCGGCTCAGCGGGCCAGACCCGGCCGTGAAGAGGCAGTGTGGGGACTGGATGTGAGGGGCCTGTCTGACTCATGTTAAATGTGACAAAGTTACTGTGGTTATTTATTTATTTTTTAAGTGTCTGTTTTGTAGATGCATGCATGCTGAAATTTTCAGGGATGGAAATGACAATGTGAGATTTGTCTTCACATACTTCAGCACAAAAGGCGAATGAATCAGTGAAATGAGTGGTGAAACATCTCCGACGACGGTTAAACCTGGACGGTAGACCCGCGGGGCCCACCGGACGCTCCTACTGGTGATTGGACACTTTGGTAAGGAGTGTAACTTGGGTGACTGCCTAGAGCGGACATTTCTGAACTGTGCGCCTGTGTCTGCAGTTGCAAATGGCGCTGGGAGGGGGCGTGTGGATTCAGTCTACATCTCTGGGGTGGAGGTCTCTCCCTGAGAGACAGGGCAAAGCCTCCTGGGGGACCTGGAAGCACCTGGCCCTCCCCACCGGAGCCTGGCAGGGCACTGGGAGAAGGGGGTCGGTTCTTGGCAGGGGTGGGGCCCTGGGAGCCACAACTGAGGAAATCAGGGCCCCACTGAGCTCTAGCCCAGCTGGCAGACCAGGAACCTGCCACTCTCCTGAGAACTGGCCCCTTATCGGTTTCATGAAGGGCCTGGTGTGTGGGGTGGGGAGGGTGAGGAGGGCGGGTCACCCCGGGCCGAATCATCCACACCCGCATCCCCTCTCCTCATCCCAAGCACTGGTCCCAGTCAGACACACGGAGACACTCAGAACTGGAGACCCTGAAAACAGAGGCTCCCCAAGGGGTGTCAATGGATCAGGACCCCCAAGCAGAAGGACAGTCCCCTCGCTGGTACAGGGAGCCCTTAACAGTCAGAGAAGGCAGGTCTGTGGTGCCTGCGGCAGAGGGTTTCCACGCTGACTGTCAGCAGCATTAAAGGAGCACACACCAGGATCGGAGCCAGCCTGTGCACGGGGAGCCTGGGCAGGCTGACCGAGCCGCAGAGGGCCCACACGTGGCTGGTGCATCCAGACACCAAGGTGTCCCCAGGCCACCACACGCCTGGGTGGTGCATGTGGGGACAGGGTCCCACGTGAGTGAGGTGGCGTCAGCCCTCTAGGGAAGACCCAGCTGGCCCCACAGGCGTGCTTCCCCGCTCTGTCCCAGCTGCCCACCCTGAGGCCCCCACGACGTCGGGGCAGCCAGCCCTTCCACCCCAGAGGTCCCTCACCCACAGGGGACCTGGCCCTGAGTAAGTCACAGGAGGCGGTGGGGTGGTAAGAGTCCCAGCCCAGGCCCGGTCACCCACTTCTGGAGTGACACTGGGGCATGTCCCTGGGACCTTCTGGACCCCGGTGCTGTGACCAGCGCACGCACGGGCTTGTGGCGGAGGAACGGGGCTCTGCCCAGAGGTGGGGGAGTCCTTTGGAGCTGGAAGTCCCCAAGGACACCCAGCCTTAACTCCTGCACCCCCCAGACCTTCAAGATCTTCTCCAGCTGCTTCTGCGTGTCGACCACGATGACGTTGGCGTGGCAGTCGAGGGCGATGTACTGGCAGGCCTCGGGGGAGCTGGTCGTGTAGATGCCAGTGACGATGCCTCTGCAGGGCCCAGGCTTGGGGTCAGGCGGCTGCAGGCGGCCTCCCCACCCCTTAGCCCGGCCTCGGAGAGCCCCCCACCTGCCCCACTCCAAGCAGGCAGGGCTCCCCCCGCAGCTCCGCAGAGGGTCTCAGGGAAGAGGTGGGATGTTGAGGAGGGTGGTGCCTTTCTCCACTCCCTGCAGGGTCCCCCCTCCCCCGGACCCTGCCTGGCCCCAGTGCTCACCCTGCAAACACGGTGCCCACTGCCGAGATGAACCACTCGGGGGAGTTGAAGCCGAGGATGGCCACGCTGTGTGCCCGCTCCAGGCCGAGCTGCAGCCAGAGAGACGGGCCAGGTAACCTGACAGGGAATGGGGCCTCCCATTCCCATCAAGGCCCCTCCCAGACCTTACAGCCCCTCCTGGGGGCCCACTCAGTCCAAGAAGGCCCTGTGGGTCCGGCACCCAGCAGCCCTCGCTCTCCCTCCCAGGGCCTCTGCAGGCCAGCACCCGGCTTCCCAGTCCACCTAGCATTGCAAGTGATCGCAAATGGGGGTGGGGGCCTGTGAGGGCCCAGTGCGACTGGCAGGTTGGCCCAGGGAGGGAAGGGCCAGCCTCGAGGGGCACTCACCTTCAGGAAGCCTTTGGCGGCCTTGCGGGCCAGCAGGTAGTACTGGGAGTAGGTGATGTGCTCCCATGAGCCCTGGCGCTTGAAACCCAGAGCATGGAAGTGCCCATACTTGTCCACGGCCTCCAGGAACATCTGATGCACGGTGTTGGGGCGCTGAGGGCAGCCGGAGTCAATGCGCAGGCGGACCCGCCCGTCAGCCCGAGTGGTCCACAGTGACTCCTCTGAGAGTGGGGAGACCACAGCTGGGGCCAGGCTGGCTCAGGGCCCACCCGGACACCTCTGCTCCTCCTCTGAGCAGGGCTTCTGGCCCTTTGGTCCCAACAAGGCAGACAGGCCCGGGCCAGGATAGGCGGGAGGCTGCCTGGAGGAGGAGGGCTGTCAGCCTTGAAGGGTGGGAAGGAAGAGAGGGTACAGTGGGAGGGGTGTGGAGCCTTCACCCTTCACCAGTCGCCAGGATCAGAGAGAAGTGCTACGATCTGTTACTAAACCCTTTCTCTGCCAAAAGTTTTTACCTGGAGCACTGACCACCTTTCCTTAAAAACCACAAAACAGTACTTGTTCTAAAAAGACCGAAGCAATCTAGAAGCATGCGTTCCAAACAGGGGAGGCCCTGCGGAGCCCTGCCTGGTCAGCACTCTGACACTGCCGTGTGGGCACCGTGTTACAGAAATGCAGGTACGAGGAGACAGGTTTTACTTTGTTGCTGTAATTTTTTACCCAAAGGGGGGGAAAGGATCATGTTACTACTATATTAATTGAGAACAGCAAACCCAAAATGCCCTTGGGGGCCAGGTGAAATGTACCCGCATCGTGATAAATAATGTATGACTGTCAATAATGAATGAAGGAGGTGACCTAGGACGTGCGGGCGAACCCCAGCGGCACAGGTCTCTGGCCGCTCTCATGTTCCGGTCTCTGATGAAGACGAGGCCCGGGGCCGGCCCTCACTGAGGACGCGTCCCCGCCTGTGCGGGGGCAGCCGGGCATGGTGGGGACTGCGGGCGGGACGGCACACGCACGTCCACGGGGTGGGGGCTGTCACATTAGGACTGAGCACCCGTTTGGAAAGGAAACAAGAGTTACCTGCCAAGTGGGTGCTGATGTGCAGTCACCTGGCTTTTAATGTTGGCTTACACTTGAAAAAACACTATGGGACCTGAGGAAACACAGCCATGAGCCAACCTGTGACCTCGAGCAGGGCTGCCTCTCTCACGGTGGGTGCGGGGGCACAGCACCCCGCTGTCTGGCCACCTCACACTTTCCTCGGCCACCTCTCCAATGACATGCAGCCCAGGCCCCCAGCTTCCCAAAAGGGCAGATTTCTACAGGGGAGCTAACTGGGCCAGAAGAAAAACCATGCACAATTTTGATGGACCTTCTGGGCAGAGTTCCTTCAGGTTAACTTCTTCTGCCCCATTAACCAACTCCTCCCCAGGCTGCTGGCCCTGGAAGGCAGGGCCCCTGGCTCCCCAGACCTGCGAGCAGAGGTCAGGGCACCCTCGGGGGAGGACAAGAGAGCCTCTGTCCCACCCCAGTCCTGGGACAGCTAAACCAATCGACCAATGACCGTGTGTCCAGGGTCCCAGGCCTTCCCTGCCCCCAATACCTACTCCCTGCATGCCCGAGAGCCCCGGACAGGCCTGGGAAGGCCCCGCCCTGCTCATGTCCCACTGGCCCTGGGCCGCTACAGCCCAGTGCTTGGGGGCCTCGGCCTGGGCGGCGTGGGAGCTGCGGGGAGGGAAGTGGGGTAGGGGGCTTTCCCAAGGCCCAACGTGCACTTTCTGCCCCTCCCTCTCCCTCCCTTCTTGCTGTCCTGTTGCCACCAGTCTTGGCCTGACCCTGGCCTGTGTCCCATCAACTGCCTGTTGTGCCAGGGAAAGGGCACAGGCAAGGAACAAAGGCTGGCCCCGTGCATCCCTCAGCCCCACTGGGCCGGTGACCAAGCTGGGCCGAGTTCCCAGCGAGTGTGGGAATTATCTGGAAAAGTGGGGGTGGCGAAGGCCCACCAGCCCAGCCCCAGCAGCGGCTCTGCCAGACCCCCTCCCCTCCCATTCCGGCAGGGGTTCATGCTCAGCCTGGAAAGGTCAAGACAGCAGTGTGTCCCCAGGGCCAGCACAAGGCTGCCTTTGTGTGGAGGTCAGATTCTGGAAGCTCTGTGGCCCGACTCAGGCAGGCTGCCCCCTGGGAATGCATCTGGGGGTCCGGGCTCAAGGACCCTCGAGCTTCTTGTGAACTCAGGGAGACCGAGGTGCCTCTGAATTCCTGAAGGCAAAAGGCTCCGAGAGCTCCCAGGGAGGCTGCCAGCTCAGCAGTAGGGGGGCAGGGCCCGGGGGACCCCACTGTGCTCCGTGTTCTCTGGGCTCCCCACGTGCAGCGTGCCCACCTAGAGATCTGCCTCTGCGGGCTGTGGGCCCCTGAGGAAATCACTGGCCCTCTCTGTGCTCGGTTCCTCCAACGAGATGAGAATGAGCAAGTGCCCAGCCCGCTACTGCCATGAAGACGAAAGGAAGGAATGCAAGTCAGTCCCTCCGACCACACGGTGCTCTCGCTGTGAAGGGGGCAGCTGTGAGGGAAGGAGGACTTCCCTGCTCACAGTCCCCAAATGTCCCCCGAGTCTCTGCTGCAGAGGGAGCTGCCTTTTCTCACGGCCTGCAACATGCCCCGTGGAAGGGCAGCCTCAAGCCCCCCCAGGCGTGGCTGCTCCAGTTTCTTCCCCAATGCAGAGCCCGGAGAAGTCCCTGAAGCTGCAGGGGAGCCGTGGGGACGAGGGACTCTGAGCCTGGTGCGAAGCAGGCTCCCCGGTGTGCCGACTCTGGATTTCGCCGCAGCTGCATCCCAGACCCCCGGAGGCTGTGTGAGGTGGGCCGCGTGGAGCCGGAGCTGCACACCAGGCCTGAGGGAGCCGATGGGGCTGCCTGGTGTTGCTGGGGTGGGGCCGGGGTCCCCTGGGGCATCTGTCCTGGGTGCCTGCTGACAGCAGTGGTGTCAAGAAGCCCCCTCGGCCCCTCGGACTGTCCTTTCCTCCTCATCACCAGCCTCGAACACTGAGCTCTCAGGGGCAGACCCCTCGGCTCAAACCCAGCCCAGAGCGGGGGTCCTGTTCTGGGAAGCCTGCCCTGGCCACTCAGGTTCCAGGCAGCAGGCCTCCCTCCCCCAGCCCGCCGGTGCCCCGCACCCGGGCCTGTCCACCCTCAGAGGGCAGCTCCGGAACGGTGGAGAGAAGCTTGTGCAGCTTGGTCCCTGGGGGCCTGGCTCTGCCCCTGATGGAGGCACTGGCACACGCTCGGCGGGCCACCCTGCCAGCTTCCCAGGGTCCCCAGGAGCCAGAATGGCCTTCCCCTGCCCAGCAGAAGGCTCCCACCCCACCCCTGGGTCCAGGGCCTGTGCCTCCCCTGCCCCCTGCCAGCCCTCGATGGGACCTGCTGTTCCTGGCACCCACAGCCGCAGGGACACGCAAGTACAGCTTGCAAAGCTACTGAGGACACAGGACTGGGACAACCTGTCCCTGCCTGGGGACACCCATGCTTTCCTGGGGCTCTGGGGACACCAGGCTGTCCCCGCACTGGCTCCCTGCCTGCCCCTCGAGTCCTGCCACAACGGCCACGACTCCCCAGGAGCCAGGGTTCCCCCATGCACCCGGCCGCTCTTCGAGCACTGCAGCGAAAGCAGCACAGACAGCTGCAGAAACGGGGCCTGGACCTGCGGACGGACCTGCCAGAGTGACCCGGCCCACCATCGGGTGCCCTGGCCCCGGGCAGAGGACATAGGAGGCCCCTCCCGCAGACAGCAGCCTCGCCACGCCTCGGCCCGGTTCCTTCTGTCTCCGAGGACGGGCATGATAGGCAGCGTCCACACCTGAGAAGGGCACTGCCCAGGCCAGCTCCTTGCCAAGGCCACGCCGAGACCTTCTGATGTGCCTCGTCACTGCCCCGTTCAGAGACGCTCAGCACTGGGCTCCTGGCAGGCCCCACTTCAAGGGCCTCCCCCATGCCCCCGAACCCAAGCCCCTGTCTAGCAGGAGGGGGAGGCGAGATGCTCGGAAACTGCAGGACAGCATGCGAGGCACAGGACCAGTTGAACCCTGCCACTGACAGTCAGCCCCCGCCACGCCACGCCCCACAGCCGGGGCAGCCCGCAGCTGGGACGACTCACAGCTGGAGACCCAGCCCCTGGGGGAAGCCCTGTGCCCCGACAGGTGACGCAGGCGGGCGACTGGGCAGCAGCAAGGCTCCATCCCAAGGACAGCACAGAGCGCAGAAGCCGTGACCCTCTGCTGCCACCGTGTCCATCCTCCTGCACTTCTGCTGCTGCTGCCACAACACCAGGCAGCCGATGAGAGTGAATGCGGTACGACTGTCTGGCGGGGAAGGTCACGCAGGAACCTGCCACCTGTCGGCCTGCAAAGCGAGCTGTGCCAGCTGCGGCCGGCAGGCCCGCCCCTCGCCCCGCTGCTCCGAGGGCAGCGTGAAGGCCCGCTTCCCCAACTTCTACAAGAAAAAACCTTCCCCCATCCCCTTGCGTCACACTGGGCCCTGCCGGTGCTGGCGATTCCCCCCACCCTGTCCTCGAGTTCTGCCCCGGTGCTCCCACCCTACTTGCTTCTGCCGGGACTCTCATCCGCCCTCAGCACTGCCCGGTTCTGCAGTCCAGCCGGCACCTGGCCCTGCCCAGGCTCCAGGATGACTTACCTGGAGAGTTCGGCGGAGCATCCTTTGCCTTCCCTGGGGACGAGAAGTCGCAAGCGTGGCTCAGGGAGTCTTTGGAGAGTGTGTGCCCATCAGTCAGGGAGCTGGTAGGGAGGAGAACAACTGTCAGGGCAGGGCAGACGTGCACCTCAGCCCTGGCCTCCACTCAGGCCAGTGGGGGTCAGCGGCTGGACGCCTGCAGGGGCTGACCCCCACCCCACCACCCCAGCCCACCCCTCTCTGCAGGTTCTAAGGGCTCAGCAGAAAGAGAAACCACGCCCAGCTCTGCTCTATGTTGCTGTTTGACTCTGGGCAAGTGCATGGTTCTCTCTGGGCTCGGTATCCCCATCTGGAAAGGCAACTCCTGGCCTGGCACTGGAGGATTCTGGGCGCCACCCCAGCAGAGCGCGGGCTTTCAGAGCCGGGAGGAGTCCCAACCCCTCACTCCCCACAGGCACTGAGAACAGCCATGTTCGGACACTCAGAGTGGAGTGACAGCATTCCCAGGCTCTCACGGGTCCTGAGCAGGCCCAGCGAGGACCTCTCCTCTTTGGTGGTGCCTGTGGGTGGGCCCTCCGTCTAGTCACCCACGTGGAGGACGGCATGGGACCTGGGAGGCCTGGGCTCACGCCACGTGCCCTTGTGCCCGTCCCAGACGCCCCTTGCCTTCCAGGCTCGGTGGCCCTGGACTCCCCTTCCAGCCAGCACAGCCCTGGTGGTCACTGGGCCTCCACTACCAACCTGGGTCCCTGCTCCTCGGCGCCACACCGGGGAAGACCCCACCTCAGGTGGGTGAGCAGGCGCAGTCTGGCACACCGGCACAACTGAGCAGGGAGGCAGTGTCACCCAGCCGAGGGGACACTTTCCAGCCGCCAGCTCTGCAAACAGAGCCCTCCAGAGTGGCGTGGCTAGCAACCTGTGCGGCCGGTCAGGGCGGCCCCTGGCTCCGGGGCACCTGTCTGTCGGGGCGGGGGCCCAGGCAGCCAGGCCAGTTACCTGCTTCTGAGATTCGGTCTCCCTCCTTGCAGGTACCACGGGTTCAAACTAAATTTGCAAATACACCTGGGCCCACTGGGTGGCAGTCTGCTTAAGAACCTGAGATAGGTTTTAAAGCAAAAAACATCAGGAGGTTATGAAAGGAGAGGGATGGAGAGAAGGGGGAGAAGTAGGGGGCTGAGCTGTCCCTTCCTGGGAACTTGGTGAGCAAGGCCTGGCCTCAGCTGCCCTTCTGTTGCTATGGTGACCGTTGCTGTGGTGACCCGACGAGGGGATGCTGTCGGAAGGGTGTAAAGCAAACAAAGCGGGCTTCTGGGGTGAGGCCTACTGTGCCAGGCGGGGGAAACGGAAGGTTATGAACGCCACAGAACTTGTCCTGCTGACTCTGGACCACTGGTACTGCCGCTCCTCTCGGGGGTTGTCAAGAGGAAGCCACCTCCACTTTGGGATGACGACGACTACAACATGACTGAAGAGCCCCTGAGCTCTGGGCTCAGACAGTCACGGAGAGTGGGGAGACCGGGCACAGCTGATGGAGGTCCCCACGCTGGTGTAAGGTCCATGCTGTGTCTCGGGCCATCCTCAGGAGACAGGGCTGGCCGCAGGGTCACCAAGGGTGTACAGCTGACCGGCCTGTGCCATCAGCAGCTGGGTAGCCACCCCCGAATTAGCGGAGGCCGGCCCTGGCTGTAATCACCCGTCTTCCTCCCGCTTCCTCACGAACAAGTCTGTTTTTGAGTCTTCACCATCAAAAGGGACGGGCGGCACTTCTTCCACCCAATAAACTGTGTGTAAACTGGTTCTAGTTTTAAAGTAGTTGAACAAAGACTAAACAAAAAGCTACTAAGGAAGCAGAGGCCAAGCGTCCATCCTCATCGTGATGCGAACCCTCTGTTTATGGGGAGGAGGGGCTGCGGGAAGAGCTTTGTCCCCGCGGGCCGTTCCTGGGGCATCTGGCAGCCCTCTCCTGCGACTCAGACACTGCTCTCGTCCACTCCCCGGCCTGTCCTTTCCCTCCCTCAGCGGCAGGGTGGACCCTGGCCCCCTGCCTGTCCTCCGTGTGACAGGAACACCTCACCCTTGTGGACGGCCCACAGAGGGTGCTACTGACCCCTCCACCTGGTCCACACCTAATTCCCCGAGTGGGTGAAGGGTGGCCTTGCCCTTGCTGGAACCTTTCAGACCAAGCCCCTGCAGTGGGACGTCACCCCTGCCCGTCATCCGAAACGGAAGTCGCCAAGCCTCCCTGTGACTCCTCCAGCTCACCCAGGGTCACGCCCTGTCACAGCCCACACTGTCCCGGCCCATGACCCCGTGTGCCCTTCCCAACATGGCCACCGCCTGCATGTCACCGAGGGGGATGCTGCTGTGGAGTTCCGGTGTTTCAAGCCCCTCTTGCATGGCTAGTGGCCAGCTCTCCCCACGGCCAGCGGGCTGGCCTGCAGCAACCCGGCATCCCCTACTCTACAACCGACTGGAGAATGAGGTAACCGCATTGGAGGACCAAGCCTGGAGGACTGTTGGGGAGCAGTGTCCACTGTTCTGATTCCCCAGGAAGCACTGGGGGCCTCCCTGGTTCCTGCTGCTACCCCGCCAGGCCCAGTGGCAGGGACAGTGTCCTGACAGGTGAGGCGTGACTCCTGCTGTCAACCCTGAGCTCACCCACAGCGAGGAGCGCAGGGTGCCTGCCACTCCCGACAAGCAGACTCCTCTGAATGCAGGGCTGTGGGCCTGGCTGCCATCCAGGGGCCGAGTTCCCGGGGCCCCAGGAAGCCGTTTCCCTGGGGAAACAGCTGAGGAGGCTGCCGCGCCCACGTCTACTCTCCCATTCATAGGCGGCGGGAGGTCTGGAAAGGATCGGCTTGCTGAGGACGGGTGTGTGCTCACTCCCAGCTCACTCCCAGGCTGAGGGCACCGAGCCTTACCCTTCTTCACTCACAGACACAGCACTTCTCTAGCGCCTGCCCCGCACGCAGCCCAGGGAGCAAGATGACACTCCAAGGCCCAGTCTGAGTGAAGACACGGGGTGGGTGGGGGAGGCCGAGGACTCTGGGACAGCCCTCTCCCTGCCCTTCCCGCAGCCACCTCTGGCCCAGGGGCGTCTCCTGCCTGCACCTGTTCTCGTCAGAGGAGCCGACGGGAATTGTATGAAGACAGAGCCCGCCAAGCCTCCTTCGGCCCCTCGGCCAGGGAGCCCTCCCAGGTTGTCCCCAGCACCCTCTCGTGCTCTCAGCTCAGGTGTGGCCTCTGAAGGCCCCTGCGGCTTGGGAGGCTCCCTGAGAGCAGGGGCACAGCTGACTCCACGCTGTCCCCCGGCCCCTGGCCCCGAGCACCACCGAGCTGCCTCGTGGGGCTCAGCCAACCCCCTCTCACATCCTCACCGTGTGGCACCCGTGCGTCGAAGGGGGCCCTCTTTTCCCACATGAGCCCTTCGTGGGGGACCGTCCACCTGCTGTTCCCTTCTGCTGCCCTCTCTTCCCGTTCAGCCCTCAGCAGCTAGACCACTGCTCTGTACGCAGTAGGTGCTTAACAAATGCTTTCTTAACACAGCATTGAGATCCGCCAGAGTCGGCTTGCCTGGGTTCAACCGGCTTTACTGGCTGGGGGCCTGTGCACAAGTCGCTGGACGTCTCTGGGCCTCCCTATTCTGCCTCAGTCCTACGGCTACTGGGAGGATGACGTGATGTGCGAAAACTGCCCAGGACACAGCCAGCTGTCATCACCCCCACTGGGGGGCTCCCAGGGATCTTTGAGGGGGGAGTGAGAAGCAGGAGGTTCTTTGGTGAGATTAGGAGGGCGACCAAGTGCACGGACATACCCCAAACCCACACCTGCGGGTTCAGGTGCCAGGCCAGGCCCAGGTATACTCCCTGAGTGGCAGCGAGGGGCCAGGGGCAGGGGACCCTTGTTCCTTACACGGTCCTCAGGACAGAGCTGGCAAACCTGAGCAGGAGCACCTCCGGCATGGTCCCTGAGGGGTGGCCGCACCCTGCAAGCTCACCCAGAAATGGGCCTCAGAGAACGTGTCCTGGTGTCCCCTGGGGGGCAGTGTCAGCCCCAGAGAGGCCCCGTGCCACCAAACCGCCCTGCAACAAAGACACGGCATGAGTCACGGCCAGGCTGGCCAGGGCTGTCACCCTCCTTCATGGCCGTGACTCACTGGGCTGAGCACCCGACTGTCATCCGCTCCCTCCTGAGCCCACACAGCCTTGACCTCGATGCTGCCTCAGGGATCCTGGCTCTCTGACCCCAAGGCCTGTCACCAGCCCCAGCCTCCCTGACACTGCTTCCAGTCCCTGTCTCTGTGTTTGGGGGCGAAGGAGGGAGGCCTGTCTCCCAGAACCATGGAGAATACTCCCTAAGGAGAGTGTTGCCTGCTCTGTGTCCTGAGAACCCTGTGTGGCAGGAAGGCAGGCTCTCAGCTGCAGCCACTGAGGCTGTGAGCAGCCTCCACATGGCCTCCCCAGGCCCCTCTGCCTGCGACCCCTGTCCCTCACTTCTCTTAGTCCACACGCCTGGGTCACCTCGAAGGCCAACCCCACCCGCCTGAAGACCCCACAGAAGACTCCCGAGAGCATGCCAGGAGGGCCTGGCGACAATAGGGCTCACCTGCTTTCTCCTGGGGGCCGGCAGGCTGGGAGCTCTGCATCCCTGTGCGGGCTCGGCAGAGGCACCGTGAGTGTGGGAGCCGCACCGCCAGTGCCCTGGGTTCCAGGTAATGAGACAGTGGGGTGGGTGTGAATGGGGACCCAGCCCAGTCTGCCTGGGGCTGCCTTCGAGGTGTGGCCCCAGATACCTCTGACCCACCTGGCACGGGCCCCACTCACTGCCCACCAGTGGGACTTACCTAAGAGGGACCTGCAGGTGCGGGTGGGGCAGGCGCAGTGCTGGCTGTTGTCCTGGGCAGAACCACAGGGACAGTCGCTGCGGCAGCCTGACTCGCCTGGAGCCACCGGCGGGAAGCTCGCCCTCCCGGCTTTTCCTTACTGAGTGAGCTTGTGCTGTGCCCAGCGCCTCACCTGCACAGGCCCCTTGCAGCCTCTCAGCAGCTTTGATGAGGGTTTGGTCAGAGCCCCATTTTCCACAAGAGGTGATAGAGGCCCCGCCAGAGGCGGGATCCGGCCCTCGAGACCCAGGCCCGACTCAGAGACCCTGACTCCGCGAGCACACTGCCGACTTACCCACTGTGTGCATCGTCAAACCCAGCCAACCGTCTCATCCTCGTCCCCGGAGTCCCCGCTCCATGGTAACAGGCATCCCTACACCCTGCCCTTTGCCCCCAGTGCCCCCTCCACTTCCTCCCTCGCTGCAGACACACGCAGGTTTGTGGCATCACACCTGCATCTTCTAAGCCCAGGGCCCCTGTTTCGTGGAGCCCTGCCCCCCAGCCACCCCGGAGGTGCCCGCCCCAACGCCGGAATCCCACACTGCCTCTGGGGCGAGTGCCATTGCAAGAGGTGAAAGAGCGAGGCAGCCGCTCATTTGAAGGCCGAGGCGCAGGGCACAGGGGCAGCAGTGGGGACGCAGCTGTGCCAAGGCCCTCCACCCAGTCAGAGAGCAGGCGATCCCCACATCGCTGCACTGAGGCCACAGCGGGTGCACCAACTTCCAGAAAATTCTGCCCTCCACCAGAATCCAGAGCCTTAAAGGCCTCTTTCCCCAGCGACCCTTGCCCATGGCACCTCAGGAGATCCTGACAATTGGGGCCTGCGGTGCTGGCCCGAGCCCCCCATGGGTATGAGACCCTTTGAGAACCTGCGTGGAGACTGTCTGCCCCCATCCATCAGTGTACCCAGATGCTCTTTGCTGGTTCGGGTTCCAGAGATTTAGCAACGGCAAGAGGTGGCCCTGGGGAGATGCGGGGGCGGGGGGGGGATGGCAATCATTTGGGGGCTTGCAAGAACCCATGCCCCAGTCGCTCAGCCCCACCCAGCAGCCTGATGGCCAGGCTGGATGCAGTTTCCAAATTGACGAGGTCAGGCAAACAGGCTTATTCCTGGATCAGGAGGGTTCAGGAAATGTGCAACCGCCCCGCTCCCTGCCCTGACAGACCCTCCTCCTGCAGGAAGCCCCATGCTTCTTCCTGCAGCTGCCCGGCCAAGCCCCTCCCAGAACGCTTGGTGTGCAGGTGCTGGGTGGTGCCTTTTCAAAACACAGTTGTCTGCTGCACGATGGAAATCTCAAGTCCACCTTCCTGGAGTTGGAAGTGAACTCTGCCTGCCTCTTGACCGACCGTGACTGCCAGCGTAGCACGGGCTCCACACAGATACTGCAGGGACAGAGGTGAGCAAGGGGAGCCTGGCCCCACCTCGAAGGCTCAGAGACGACAGGACTGGCAGTCAATAAACAAAGATGCCCCCGAGGTCACTGCGGAGCACCGGACCCAGGCTGGGGCAGGGAGCAGGTGCGATTATTCAGGTGAGGCAGAGGGCAAGCGCCCTGAGCGGTGGGCAGCGGGGAAGGCCGCTCAGCAGGGCGAGGATCCGGGCCTGCAGGAGAGACCCAGCTCATGTGGGGCTTGCCAAGGTAGAGCACTTCTGGGGACCCACAGCCTCCTGGAACGGAGGGGCGCGGTTTAAGATGTATCCTTCCAGGTGGGCCCTTGGCCTTCTCTCAGCCCCCAGTCCAAGGCCCCAGCCCTGAAGGCCTCCCCTTGGCTGCTGCCGAGGGGGCGGGGTGATGTGGCCCACTCACTGCTGATCCAGCTGGCAGTGCCCAGTGTCCAACCCCATAGAGCCGAGTCACACAGAACAAGCACTGGTCATCAGGGTGGCCTCGAAGCTGGAAGGAGGTGGCAGGCAGTCTGACCGTGCCCAGGAGAAACTCTCTGGGCACTGAGACACGAGGATCGTAGCCCAGCCTCTGCCTCAGCTGGGGGACCGTGGGCAAATCCCTGGTCCTGTGTGGGACTCAGTTTCCTCAGCCATGTCACAGACAAAGGGCTTTCCAACTTCCCCGGGGTTGCGATGGGTGCCTGGCTGGCTTCCCGCTGGGCAGGGCCAGGCCGCCAGGCCTGTGGGGCGAGGGGAAACAGCATGGCAGGAGCCACGCTAGTGCCGGCCAGCAGTGGCCACGCGCCCAGCACTTGCTGTGTCCAGCACTGCTGCCTACACCTGAGGCGCTTAGTCCCCACAACAGCCCGGTGGTGCAGTTGCTGCCCATGTCCCCACTTCACGGATGAGGAGACTGAAGTGCAGAGGGATCATGTAACTCGGGCAAGGTCTCCTGTTGGCAGAGTTGAGGTACAAACTCAGGTGAGTGGGTGTCTCATGCTCTTAACCAGCCAGCTGGACCCTGTGGTCTCCGGGGTGATGCATGTGGGGGAGCAGTGGAAAATGAGGTGTAGAGGGGGTGTTCCATGATCCTCTGCTGCTCTGCTGCCCATCATTTGCCTGTAGACCCTAACAGCATGCCTGTCCCTCAACTGTGTTTGGAAGAGTCTTGTGTGTAAGCAAGGCACATGTGACAACTCACAATGAAGCCACGATGTTTCAGTGACGGACCTCAGTGTGACAGTAACCCAGTAAGGTCATGGCGGAGCCGAAAACTTCCTGTCACCCAGCGACGCCGCAGCCCTCCAACAGGCAGCACACTGCACCGCTCATACGTGTGCGATCAGGTGCAAACAGGCCTGCTGCCGGCGAGGCGCACGAAAGCACAGCAGACACGACTGGATACAGCACATGCCTATCGCCAGGGACAATGAATGACTGTGCTAGGGGTCTGTGTGTTTCCGTCCCTGAGTTTTTATCATGTTCTAGAGCACGCTCTCTCTAAACGTGCAACAGCCTCGCTGTGAGCCTGTGAGCTGTGCCACACCAGCAGCACCCTCATCCGGCTTGTGTTTGCTCTCTCGATGGTGTCATCTTCTCCTGCGCTTGGTTCAATCTTGTCTTATTTTGGGCACTAATGCACTGCACAGGCTGGCAGCCCAGGAGCAACAGGCCATACTGGACGGCCCAGGTGTGTGGGAAGCTCCATCTAGGTCGGAACTGCCCTCTCCATGAGGGCCGAGGACACCACTGGGCAGTCAGCTGTGTCTGTCATCGCTGCAGTCACGCATTGCTTAATGACGGGACACACTCTGACAAACGAGTCCTGGTTCTGGGAGGACTCCTCTCTGCAGGCAGTGCTGGGGGAGGCTGCTGGGCGCCAGGTGGGGTGTGCTCGGTTGCTCACCACCCTTCCCTGAGCCAGACTTGACCCCGCAGGTTCCCTCCTCTGGCCTCCCGCCTCCAACCCACTCCAACTGATGCCACTGCCAGACACCGCCCCAGCCAGGCTCTCCCAGGCTCCTGCTGCCACCATGTGCCCCGGGGCCCCTCTGTGCTCCTCCTGTGGCCCTGGCCATCCCCATGCCTGGCTGCCCCTCATCTGGCCACACCAGCCTAGCCAGACCCAGGAGTTTGCCTGGCCCTAACCTGCCCTATCTTAAGCACACCCTCAGTCCACATGGCCACTGCCCACCCCTGGGCACTCACACCTTCCACACCCAGGACAAGCTGCCCCCTTCTCCAGGTCCTTTGGAGCCCTTCCTCCAGCCAGGGCCGCATCAGGTCCACAGAAGCAGGAGTCTCCACCGCACGCGCACTGCATGGGTACCCCCGATGGATGGCAGGGGCCACAGCCACAGCCTCACTACCCAGCAAGGGGCTGGACCTCAGGCTCTTGGAGGCCTTGCAGGTGAGGAGGCCCTACTTCTGGAAGCCGGGGTCCACTCTGGGTCCTCTGCCCAGCTGTGGGGGGCTCTGTGCCCAAGGTGCATTCATACTAATTCCCTTCCGCTCCGTCCTTCCACCTTCTACCCCCCCCACCCCGCCCCCTACCCCATCAGAGGCAGCCGCACGCCACACACACTGGCCCTGCAGAGGGCTCAGACCCAGCCCTTCCTGTCCTGTACTTCACCACCGCCCAGACCTCTCCCGTCCCTGAATTTCCTGTCCTCCCACATGTCTCCTCACCGTCTGGACACTATTCTCTCTGCCCGCAAGCCCTTCCTCTCCTCTCTCACTGACGCTGCCCTTGAACGTCCGTCCAAGGCCTGTGTCAAGTGTCTCTCCTGGGCTCGGGGGTTCCACACGCTGGGGAGTTCTGGGACGGGGCAGGTCCCACTTCTCAGGGTCCCCCCCACCCGGATGGACAGGGCCTGGGCCCCTCCCTCTGAATCACAGATTAGAAGGACACACACAGTAGAAAGGCGGTGGAGAACCTTGACCCTCTGCTCTCAGGCAGACAGGGAGGCTGAAGCCCAGAGAGGGGCAGTGACCTGCAAGGGTCACACAGCAGACTGGAGCAGACCCTTTGGCTCTCCCAGGCCTTGCCTGTCATTGACGCCATGTGCCTGACAAAATGGGGGACATTCTTAGTGACTAGAAAATTTCTCCTCCCTCCGCCGAAGCCCGACTCTCACTCCTGCATGTGAATTGTCACTGCACTGAGCCCCCCTAGGCCACACAGATGGGGGACAGTGAGGAGCAGCTCCACACCGCACACGTCGCAGTCCAGACCCTCCCTTCATGCCCAGACAGAGAAACCGAGGCTCAGAGAGCGGAGCAGCTTGCCCAGGTTCACACAGCAGAGTTCAGGCCCTGGGCCCACGCTCGGAGGACGGAGACCCGAATGCCAACTCACCCGGTCCCCAAGTTTTCCTGGGTGGTCCCCAGGCTTACGTCCGGCTGGCCGTCCTGCAGGACCTCTCTGCTATCCGGCATGCTGGGGTCCTTGGGGGGCGGCTGCATGCAGCCCCACAACTGTGCGGTGTCCGCCTCGGGAACCTGCCGGAGAGGGCTCAGTCTCGCACTGTTCGAGGCCAGTCTTGAGTGGGCAGCAGGGGCGGGCCCCGGGCCGGGGGAGAGGCCACTGCAGAGGCCGTTTCCTCCCTATTTTTAGAAGCTCACAACACTCCTCAGTGGTGAAGCTGCTCCGAATTAAAACTTTCCTCTCCTTGGTGGTTTTGTTCCCCTCACGAGGAGGAGAATTTCAATGAAGCCAGTGTTCTTTTTGATGCAAATACACTCCCAGTCTCCCAGGAAGCCTGGCCAATGGGCTCAGGGCTTCTGGGTCCCCAGAAAACCTCCCCAGCACCAAGCCGCACCCCCACTGCCCGCACTCTGATGCTTCGCCTTGTGGGCACTGGATAAGGCCCCGGGAACGAATTTCACCCACTCGGCCCGCCTACCCCAGACCCACGCTGGAAAATGGACGGTGGAGGAAGACCCCCGGGTACTGCCCCTACAGGAGGGCGTTTAGTTAGGTGACATGCTATGGGGGACCTGGACGGTGGCCGTCCAGGGCACCTGCACCTCAGCATGGTCTGTCCTTTAGCTACAGGGAAGTGTAGCAGCAGATGAGCTGGTGACCACACACGACGAGGGGCAGGGAGAACAGAGGGCTTCCTCTGAGCAGCGGACGTCTGCCCCGGACTCACCGTGTGTCAGTCCCTGGGTGCAGCGGGGGTGGTTTACAATGACAGAAGTGTATGCTCTCAGGGCTGGAGGCCGGAGTGCCACATCGAGGTGTCACCAGAGCCTGTCCCTCTGAAGGCTCCAAGAAAGGACCTTTGCTGGTGGCTGTTGGCAGCCTCCATGTTCCACTTGCGAATGCGTCACTCCAGTTTCTCCTGCCTTCTTCACAGGGCCGCTTCCCCTGTCATGTCTCAGCTAATGACATCTGTAAGGATCTAATTTCCAAATAAGCTTTTATTCCAAGGTTCTGGGTGAATGTGAATTTTGGGGGGGGACATGATTCTACCTGGTATAACTACACACAGGAGAGGCTGGTGGGAGTCCTTTGTCTGCAGAAGGGGTCAGTGAGTCCAGTGGGGCTGCTGGGGAAGAAAGGGTTGCTGGCTGGAACCGGATGTGCTCCGGGGACCAGCAGAGTGTGTCAAGGTGGGGCCCAGTCCACGGTACGCTGTCCAGACAATCCAGGGATGATGCCGGTGTCCTTACCTGGAGCCTGGACAGGCCCAAGGCACTGGCACCGTGTGGCGTGTGGTGTGTGCATGCATGAGCACGTCCCTGTTGTGCCTGTGTGTGTGTGGCAGGTGTATATGCATATCTCTGTGTGCAGGGTGTGGGCGTGTGTCTACATGTTGGTCCGTCTGTATTTCTGGGGTGGGGGGGGGCTCCTGGCTTTTCTGCAAATCCTCAAGGAGGATGCACCAGGGAGGAACCCCAGGAAGTGGCAACCCCCAGCCTCTGGCACCACACAGACCTGGTTCAACTCTTGCCTCTTCTGATCATTTGCTGAGTGACCTTGGGCAAGGGACTCCGACCTCTGCACCTGAGCTTTGTCACCCGAGGGTGGGTCTTGGAGGTGTCGCTGAGGAGTGAGCTAGGAATGCTGAGAGGCACCCAGCACAGAGCCGGGTCGGCAGGGCTTCCTCGTGCCACTGCCGGGTGCTGAGGGCGCACCCTGGTTTCTGCACTTTCCTGCTTCCTTCCCTCCACCGGTGCCCGGTGGGGGCCGTGTTCCCCCGTGGGTCCGCACGAAGGCAGAAACAAATATTCACAGAAACCAAGATTCCAGAAGCTGCTGGCCCAGAGTGGGAGGGCGCAGGGCGCACAGGGAGCCAGTTTTTCCACTCCTGGAGATAAGAGAGGAGAGCGAAAGTAGATGAGAAGTGAGATGGAAGGAGGAGGGCGTGTGGGGCAGGGAGGAGTGAGGAGTCCTTGAAACGGGAGGGGAGGGGCTGGAAGGGACTCAGAAAACAGTGTGGGCTGAGGGCAGAGCCCTCCCCAGTTGGGGGACCCGGGTGGTTTGCCCGCCCCCCCACCAGGAAGGCCCCTGTAGGACCGAAGTCACTGCAACCTCACCCAGCCACTGTGGCCTGCATCCCACTCCTCTGCTTGCCGCTTCTGAACGGATGGTCCCTTGGCCCAGACGCACGATGCCGCCTATCAGCTGACTCTCCTTCACCTCCCTGTCGCCACCCGATGCAGCTGTGTCAGAGAGGCCTTCCTGCCCCATCCAGCACCAGGCCCTCACCACCACCGCACCCCCAGCACTGTGTGCTTTATCACCTGTCTGTCGCCTGGGATGCAGGCTCGCGGGAGACAGGGGGTTTTGTCTGCCCCTTCAGTTCCTTCTCTGACCTTCTCTGCCTGGCACAGAGCAGGCACTCGGTAAACCTCTCTCCGAGCAATGACCTGTGACCAATGAGTGCAGCCGAGGCTGCCCACTGAGCACTGTGGCAGCTCCTTTTCGAAAGGATTCCTGGGAGTCCTCAGGCAAAAAGGGGACTCCCTGGGCAAAAAGGGGATATCATGTAACAGGCGGTGTGACCCAGACGGTGGTGACTCAACGTGAAGATATGCTGTCTGGTTAACAACAATAATGATGGAAAGAAGGGTGCTTAGGAACGCCAAGGAAAACAACTTGCAAAACCAAATCACGGGACAAGTAGGAAGCAGCCTCTATGCCCCGCCCACTGGGAGGGAAAGCACTGCCGCAGCCAAGTCCTTGCTCGCCCCCTGGCTTTTCACTGTGACAACTGACACCCATTTTCCGATCCACCTTTGAACCCCCTTTCACGACTTTCGCCACACCTGCTTCTGGGACTGTACATCATTTATTCCTGTTCTTCACCTCGATTCACTTTATAATGAGAAAACTGACTGTACCTTCATCTTAAGCAATTAGATCGTGAAACCACAAACTGAAGGGCTCATAATGTATACACATACGTGTCACAGGTGGGCACAGGTAACCGGGTTCCTGGTGATCGTGGACAAAGAACTGACCCGAAAACACAGTTTATAGCAGACAGAGAGAGGGGTATTAAGTGCTAGTGCACTCCACAGAACATGGGAAGAGGCCAACTCTGAGCAGAGACTGACCTGTGCTAGAGGGATTCCGTTCTTACAGGGCAGATCCTTCCTGGCTAGTTTTGGCTGAGTTTTATCGAGCATATACAAGCAGTTGCACTATTTTAAAGCTACTGTGCATGCAGTCTCCCGTGATTTTCCATGACTGGCCACTGGAGAAGGGGGTCAGTTGCATGATGCTAATTTATTATAATGCATTATAATGAAGCAGGGGTCATGTGGCATTTTCTGGGCAGGTGCATTCATGACTCACCAAGATTCAGTGCTTTTCCAGAAATCGGGAACCACCAGTCTTAGACCAGGGTCTCTGTCCTGTATCGACATCCTTTATCTTAGCTCTGGGGCACCTCCGGAGTTTCTTCCTTCCGGACTATCTCCTGCCTCATACATACAAAGGTATTTCCCAATGTTTACTGAAATAAATATGAAGCTGTTCTTTCAAATGTCCCGTGTACCACCTCTAATATTTCATCACAGGACACTTCTGGAATCTGTTACAGAAAAAGCTGGGAACTTTCATTTTTGTTCTCATCAAAGAATGCAAATGTCATCCCTGGTAATGAGAGGAAGTTAAGGAAGGGCTGACCGAAGACGGGAGGGAACCAGGTTGCTCACATCCTGAGGGCTTCAAGATGCCATGGATGTCAATGTGGGGAAAGGCCAGTGGTGACAATGTTCAAGGTCAGGAGCAAAGAGCTGTGCCACAATGGGGAGGGGGCCAAGGGAGACGACCTGAGTCACTGCACACAGGGATCCTGTTCAGCTGATCAGTCGAGGTCTAGGGACAGGTGTCTGCTCTAAAACTGCGAAGCCCTCAGGAAAGAGGTACTTGCAATGGAAGCAGTGACTGAAAGAGAAAGGTGTTTGGGAGGTGGGCCGGGGGAGGACCGCCGTGTACTTTGAACATCAGCCTCTGGCCTACTTTTCTGTCACTGTGTGTATATATTTGTAAGACATATTTTTATTTTTTTAAGTTTTGAAATGCTGCCTGGGGCTCTGGCTGGAGGCCTCTTGGTCCAGGGCCAGGGCGAAGGCAGAACTACAAGCCTCTGCTGGCCCCTGGTGGCTGTGGCTGCAGAGCCTCCCACTGGCCCAAGTTTCCAAGGAAAACTTTCAGGGACCTGGCAATCACCACCTTCCTCTGCTGCCGCCTCCTGGACCCCAGGACGGGGTGCCTCTCTGCCACAGCTCTGGACCCTGCATCTGGTCCCAAGTGCACCTGGGTGCACTGCAGTCCTGTCCTCTCTGATCCCTTTCTGAACTGAGTGGGTGGAGGTTGGGGCCCAGGGTCAGAGCCGAGTTTCCTCCAGCTCCACAGAGAACCCAGGGAGTTTTGAGGCTCAAACCCCTCTCCCTGGGAGTCAGATTCTCAGAGATTTAGGTCACCAGGACAGCTCTCCTGCACCCAGGGCAGAAGAAAGTAGGCACAGACAGGATTCCAATGAGCAGGGACAGGGCTGGCGGTGGGCCCTTTGGGGGAGGAAGCTGGGACAGAAACAAAAGCAGCGCCTTCTGCTGAGAAGGCACCTTCTTCCCTGGCCTGGGGAGCCGTGGATCTGTGGATCTAGATGGCCCAGGGCAGGGGTGGGTGGGGCTCAATGGCTCTTTTTAAAAATATTTTATTTACTTTTATAGAGAGGGGAAGAAAGGAAGAAAAACATCAATGTGGTAGAAATACATCGATTGGCTGCCTCTCACACCCCACCAACCGGAGACCTTTCAGTTACTGCGCTGGCCAACACTCAATCCACGCAGCCACACCAGCTGGGACCACGATGGTCCTTGAATTAGGTATGTGATCCAGGCTAAGTCACCTCACTTCTCTGAGACTCAATTTCCTCATCTGTAAAATGGGAAGCCTTGCTTGCAAGGGGCAGAAACCCTAACTGAAACCAGCTTAGCAAAAAGGACAGCAAAATAACTCATGTGACCCAAGATGAGATGAACAACTCAGCACAGGAGGGTGAGGGGTGCGGCCCGGAATGGATCTGGCTCTGCTACCTCCTTGTCCTCACTCTCCACTGGGTCCCTCCCTCAGAAGACCGGTCCAAACGTCTACCAGTGCTGAGCACTGGCCTGTGTGGATGTCCCAAGTGACGGAGCAAACACCCGGATTTTCCTGTGAAACAGTGGGCAGGTGAGAAACACTCTCACTTCCTTTCCACCCTCACTCCTGTGCCCTGGGATCGGCTCCCAACAAAGCCTCAGGGCAGAAGCTCTGCTGTTTTTAGGGACACCTGGGGCTGAACAGCTGCTTACAAGCCGAGTGACCTTCCTCAACCGCTCAGGGCTTCAATATTCTCATCTGTAAGACAGTAATTCTTACCTCCCAAGGTTGCAGTGAGTTAAATGCACAAAAAGCACTTGGAGCTGTGTGGACACTTTCAACAAGAGCTACTCTTGTTATTTTTATCACCGAGACCCTAGAAAGCTCCGAACTGTGACAGAGGCAGGCCACCACAAGGAAAACGGAGGTTTGGGTGACTCTCTCCAGGGCTCTCCTGGGGCAGAGGGTGCTGCCGCCGCCCCTGAAGCTGGGGAGTGGATGGCAGTGGGGGCAAAGCACCTGACTGACAGCCAGCAGGACCACAGCCATCATGGGCCAGACCCTCCAATTCCTTGGGTGCACCAACCATGTGGACATGGACCCCGAGGATATCCGTGCCCTTCTTCACAAACCTGGGAGCGTTTACTTGCAACTCAAAAAGGACTCTGTACATGTGATCAAGCCAAGGGTTTTGAGGTGTGACTATCCTGGATCATCCAGTTTCTCCAATGTGATCTCAGGGATCCGTCCCCATAAGAGGGAGGCAGGCGGGTCAGAGTGCGTGAAGATGTCATGACGGACACAACTCGAGGGAGATTTGAAGACACTGCTGCTGGCTTTGAAGATAAAGAGGCCATGAGCCCTCGAAGGCTGGAAGCTTCTAGAAGCTGGAAAAAGAGAAGAAATGCAATCTTTCTCTCCAGCCTGTAGGAGGCACGCAGTCCCACCACACCCTGATTTTAGCCCAGTGAAGCCCATTTTGGAGTTTTGACCTCCAGAACCGGAAGGGAATGAACATGTTGTCTGACAAAGCCACCGAGTTTGTGGCGTTTTGTGACAGTAGCACAGAAAACGAAGGCAGGGCTCTGGGTGAGGACACTGTAGGGCACTGGGGCTTTCAGCAGCCTCCTCACGCACATTTGATCCTCACCCGTGGGTTCTTTTATTATTATTGCTTTTTTAGAGAAAGAGGGAGGAGGAGAAAAAGAGGAGAGAGAGGAAACATCGACTGCTTGCCTTCCTGTACACGCCCGGACTGGGGATCGATCCTGCCACCCTTCTTTTCATGCGGTGGCGCTGCAGCCAAGTGAGCCACACTGCCCAGGGCTCACTGGCGTTTCAGAAAGGCGGATTAAATGCCACACATATTTACCAAGCACCTTCCATTTTTTAGGCACTGCGCCGGGCCTTGGGAAGAGTGGGAAAGGGAGACACAGCCCCCTGCCCTGGGTGGAGTGACAGTGTCATCCGAGGTCCCTCCACCCCATCCTGGGTCAGAGGCCAGGGCAAAGTGAGCTGATTATCTTTGACCAGCAGCCTAAGCAGAACCAGTCCCCACCTGGCAGTTACAGGCCTTCTGCTTATCCCAAGGGCTCTGAGGACTGCGCTTCCAAGCAGGGGGTGGGGGGTGGGGGCACGTGGCTGCAGCCCGTCTGTGCCCACTTCTGCCCACTGCCCTTTCTCCAAAGTGCAGCCTGGGGGTCTCAAGGCACAAGGGGTCCCCCAGGGAGTTTCTCAAAGCACTAAGTAGGCATGGGGGGTGGGATGGGGGGGAGCAGAGAGGGGCAAGTCACTCCCAACCCACCCAACAGCTGCACTTCTGGGAGTGTATCCAACAGAAAACTGTCACACCTGTGCACAGAGGATGCCCTAGAATGAGCATCACAGGTGCCCCCTGCAAACAACTTAAATGCTCCCCCCCAAGAGCAGCCAGACATCGAGGAAAAAAAGCCAAACGAAAAAAAAAAAAAAACCAAAACCCTAGTACGTGACCCCATTAATATAATGTGTACAAAGAGGCGCAGTGAATCTGTTTTAGAAGTCAGAACAGGGGTTCCCCTGGGGGTGCACAGGGTTGGGAGATGGGGCGGGTGGCTGCTGGATGCAGGTAACGGTCTGGTCCGGGCGGGGGGTCTCGGCGGACCCGGGTCTGGTGGCGCACGCGACAGCCCGCCCGGAGGCACCGGCGCGAGCCCCTTCCCCACGCCAGACCCGCTCCCGGGGGGTGACCGGCGCCCAGAACTGGGCGTAGCGGCGGCCGGCGCTATCGCGGCGCTGCAGTCGGCTCGGCGTCCTGAGGAGGCCCCGCAAGGCGTGGTCCCCGCACGCAGCCCGGCGCCCGTGACCGCACAGAGGCCCCCGCCGAGTCCCCGGCCCCGCCGACCCCGCACAGCCCGCGCCCGCGCGGGAGGTCCGAGGAGGCGGTCGTCGAACCCCCCGGAAAGTTCTGGGCGTTTGTGGCGTCATCGTCCACGCGGAAACTCCCGCCCGCGCCCAATAAAAGCCGCGGCGGAGGCGCCGGCGCCCGAGAGCGAGCGGGAGCGCGACTGACGGGACGGAGGCCGCGACGGGGTTGCGGCGAGACGCAGCCGTGACGTGGCCGTGACGCGCCCGGGGCGTACGGGCCGCGGACTGGCCGTGAGGTGACCGGGCCGGGCGGGCGGCGGGGCGCGGAGCGGCCTCCTGAGCGGCGTCGCCCGCCGGCGCCGCGGGGACAAGATGGTGAAGGAGACGGAGTACTACGACATCCTGGGGGTGAAGCCGAGCGCCCCGCCTGAGGAGATCAAGAAGGCCTACCGGAAGCTGGCGCTCAAGTACCACCCGGACAAGAACCCGGACGAGGGCGAGAAGGTGCGGCGGCGTGGGGGGCGTGGGCGGCGTGGGGGACGCCGCGGACGGGACGTGGGGGGCGGGCCAGGGGGCGTGCGGGGCCCGAGGGGCCTGCGGCCGGCGGGCGGGGGGCGGGGCTGGCGCGGGAACTGGCTTCGCCCCGCGTTGCCGGAGCCGGAAGTGGGGTCTGCGCCCCTCTCCCCGGCGGGTCAAGCCGGGTCAGCCTCCGCCGCGCGGCCCCGTTGCCCTTTTTAGACAGGGACCTCATCCGCCGCGAATGTTCCAGGCTCTCTGTGACAAATGAGTCACAGCCCAGCCTCAGTACCACGAACCCCTGGAACCTGCGTCCTGGAAACCTCCGATCACCCTTTTCACCCGGGTCCCAGCCTGCGTTTTGTCCCCAAAGGACCGGCCTCTGTCCCTGCTGAAGGCGGGTCGCCCGCCCTTCCCACTCCTTTCACGTCGTGTCATTTTCTTATAGAATGCTGCTGTCCTCAGCGGGGTTGGGGGGCGGGGGCGGTTTTTCTAGGAGCTGAGCCCAGGGACACCCGGCCGCTTTTGAAGTCTCCCATTATCCCCCCCCAGCGGTTAGTTAGGGCAACCGACGCTCATATCAAGCAACCTGTCTGCCAAGCTGGGGACAGCTGCTTCAGGACGGGTGGCCGGGTGGCGACAGTGATAAAATATTTATATTTAGCTACAGGTGCCGAATGGGGCTGCCACAAGTTAAAAAGCTTTCCTGCGGGACCATGTGTCTGAGGCCGGCTGGGTTCGAGCCGGGGTGTCAGTGACTCCTGGACACGCTCCCCTCGGTCCCTGGACCCCGTGTCTGAGAATCCTCGGGAAGAAGGGCGCCCCCAGGGTTAGGGTTAAAATGCGTTTCCGTGGGCGCGGCCCTGAGCACAGCTGTCCGGGCGCGCTGTTTGGTGTGTTAGCCCAATGTTTGTTCGCAGCACTGAATTAGTGTCACGTGAGTGAGGCCCTTGCAGGTCAAGTCTGGCAGGTCCCCCTCAGCAGGCGATGGGCCCACTTTCCAGAGAAGGGGGAAAGCCCTACACACCCATTCTCAGCCGGGACTTCCTCCCGGAGGCGGCCCCTGGCCCCTGGGCTGGGCTGCAGAGCCAGCCCTCACTCAGCCTACATTGAGTGCGACCCCGCAGGACACACCCGCGCTCCCCAGCGCCACGCCGGCAGGGCCCCCCGTGCCCACGCGTGCCTGTCGGCTGGCTGAATGAATGGAGACGGCGGCAGAGAACACAATGGAAAGAACTTCGCGTGGGAGGACGAGAGAGCCCCGTGGAGGGAAATTGTTGCAGTGCAGGCAGAAGCGGGATTGGAAATCGAAGGGGGACGGTGTCTCTGTTGTCATACGATGATCCCTAAAAGAGAACTCGTTGGTTCATTCACCAGCTAACCTCCCGTCTGGCCCTCCGTCCTCTGTGTGGGGCACACCGTGTCAATCTTTTCTTTTCGTGCAAGTCTGTATGTAGTGCTTGCTCGTCCACTTCAGCCGCCGTAGGTGGAACCTTCTTTCCTCCTGAGTTTCTCACTGTATTATTAATGTCTCTTCAAAAATAGATTAAGGCGGTCCTGTCCCCACCGGCTCCAGGATAACTGAGACGGCCGTTGGTGTGTCGGTCTTTGTTTTGTGCCCTGTTGTCCTGTGTTGCTTAGCACTGGTCGCGAGTGTTTGTTGTCAGGCACTCTGTCCTGGAGTCCGTGCTTCTTTCCTCCGCGGCTGGTTTCCGTGGGATACTCGGGAGGTGAGCTAATGAGCTCCTCCCTCTCTGGCAAGGACAGGGGTGTATTCTTGGCTATTACCTTAACCGGCTTTCCAGATGCCTTTGTTCTTATGGTCATTTTCACTGTAACTTTCAGTTTGAATAAGATTATCATGAAAGCTAAAAAAAATCATAAAGGAGCCATTTTTTTTTTCCTCCAGTGCAAGGTGCCTTCCAGGACCACACATTGCATTTAATTTTCCTGTATTTTAGTTTTGCAAAACGTGCTTCCATTTCAGTTTTCTGATTTTTTTTCTTTGCAACTGGATTCCAGTGATCACATTTTTGGTGGGAATGCAACATGTGGGGTATTTTGTCTGTCTCAGGGCACTGAAGAGGCATAGCTGAAGGTAGTGCCAAAAGGATTTGTTGGCAGCTGAGACAGGAGGGAGCCAGTAAACGAGGTTCTGGCCTTGCCAATAACTGGCACATCGGGGAAACTGCGGGAGGGGCGGGACAGTATAGGTTTGGGAAAGTATAGATTTGCACACAGTGCTCGCAGCCTGCGGCTCATAGACACTAACAAGACATCTGTAGTTGAATTTCATGCTAGTAACTCTGTAAAGCAATCCTCACCAGTCCCGGGCTGGCTCCAGTTATAGGTGAAGTCCTGGCTGGGCTTACTGCCTCCTGGTTCCACATGACTCCTGTTTGGTGCCACCTGAGTAGGAGACACTTTCCTTCCCACTGCTGTCCCTGTTCTCTGCAGGAGCCCTGCCTGCCACTGGTCCCTTAATAATGTTCACTCCATGTCTCCCACCTTACAAGAGGAGTAAATGGAAAAATCGAGTTCCAGATAACGAACAGACCAGTTAGCCTGGGGGGTTGGGTGCAGAATACCTCCAACATTGCATTCATATGGTGGGTTTGCTTAATAACACAATCCGAAGCTTACCTTGTTTAAAATTTTATTTATTGACTAATTCGAGAGAGAGAGGAGCAAAGGGGAGAGAAAGAGAGAGCGACAGAGAGAGAAACATCGACTCGTTGTTCCACTTACTGATGCATTCGCTGGCTGATTCTCATATGTGCCCTGACCTGAGGTCGAAACCGTAACCTTGGTGTATCAGAATGATGCTCTAACCTTATCTCCTAAGGTGCCAGAGCACCTTATCTCTTTTTAATTGCTCTTTTTTTTTCTTTTAAAGTTTAAGCTCATATCCCAGGCATATGAAGTGCTTTCAGATCCAAAGAAAAGGGAGATTTATGACCAGGGCGGCGAGCAGGCCATCAAGGAGGGAGGCTTGGGCAGCCCCAACTTCTCCTCCCCCATGGACATCTTCGACATGTTCTTCGGTGGCGGAGGGCGGATGGCTAGAGAGAGAAGAGGTAAATGCTGTTGAAGACCTCAAGCAGGTCCTATAGTTTCTAAATGGTTCATTATTGGGATCAGGACAGATCATGACTTAAGAGGGTATGAGTGTCATGATTTGGGAACTATTCGTTTTAACTACTTCACCCCTTGTCTAGTATCTAGGCTTTCTGGAATCTCTTAGCACATTTAGCAATAAGCTGCCACCCTCTAAACACCATGTATAAATGAGCAGATGGAGGGGTGCATAGAAAGGAGGAAGGTCAGGTTCATCTTGCCCTCTTTTCTCTGTCATTGGGGTCAAGCTCCTGAGTGTTCTCAGAGCACCTCTCTGCCTGCCTGCACCCTCTCCCTCCCCCACCTCTGCCCTGGGCTGGGCCCTGTGTTGGGCGGGTGCTCTGCTGTGTGCGGGTGGCCTCCTTTTCTCAGGCTGCTCAGGAGACTTTCTAGGCAACACAATCTACCCTTTTATGTTTAAACATCTCGGTAAAAGAATCTAGCTGCCTCCCTCTTCAGAATGCATTAAGATTAGCAGCCTGATCCCCAGGAAATGAATGAAGGATTTAGTCCTGAGCCGAATGGCCCCAGGCTGTAGTTTTTGAGTTCTGGGATTTGCTCTAATTTTTCTACCTCTTACCTCCTGCCAAACTACAGGCTGTCACCTGTGACTGTCACTGGTGATTTCTCATAGCCCCCATTGTCCTGCTCAGCATACTGTTGACAAAGTGCTTCGGACCTTGAAACTGGGTGGATAACCAATATCACGACCCTGGACAAAAACAGAACAAAAACTCTCTGCCTTGGGGTTGACAAAGGGTGGTGGGTAGTCAACAAGAGGCCCCTAAACAAGGCTGCACTGGTTCTCACATTATGGTTGACTTTGAGCTTCAAAAAGCTCGACTGTCAATTCTGTGAACTGTATGCTGAAAATCTCAGTGTTTTTGGGGGGAGAAGTCCTTGCCCTGTTTCCTGGGTATTGCCCGCTCATAGATTGGACGACGCAGATGTGATGAAAACCTTGGGTGTCTCTTGCCCAGCTCTCTCACTATCGGAGACGAACAATTTCTTGCCCTTAATTCAGTCATCTCTCCAAGCTGACAGCCAGTAAACAAGGACAGCTTGTCTCAGGGGCTGTGAGCAGCAGTGAGGGCCCTGATGCTCCGGATCCCGACAGGCGAGCACAGCACTAGCACAGACAGACTCCCCCACTGAAGACAAAAGGCCCACTGTCCTGCCCTCGCAGATGAAAGGGTTCCCACTTGGCCACAAATTACAGAAGGGCTCAAAGAGTCAAGTGCGTTAGGCTCAAGGAAGTTTCAGTGAAAGGTCCAGAGATGGGTTATCATACCCTCCCCTGTGGGCAAAGGGCTCCTTTCACGGGGAGAACCTAGGCAATCAATTTCATTGTAACATTGCTTTAGGTTCTCTCGATCGCTGTCCTCAGATTTGTTTTGGAAATAAAGATGGAAACTCTTTCTGTTGACATCTATAAATGATTAATTAGCTGCACGCTAGAAGGGGTGTTAGTTCTCATCATTGGCAGAGAGCCACAGGAATGAGCAGGGAGGGGACGGTGGCCCAGGCGCAGCTCTGAGTCTCTGGAGAGACTTCACACGAGAGTCCTATGGGTGGCATTTGATACAGTGGTGTATTCACTCATTTACTAATTGCTTTTTCTTTCCTCCCCCTTCGTAAGGCAAGAATGTTGTACATCAGTTGTCTGTAACTCTTGAAGATTTATATAATGGAGTCACAAAGAAATTGGCCCTGCAGAAAAATATAATTTGTGAGAAATGTGAAGGTAAAAATCAATTTTTTAATGATTCCCAAAGTTCTGATCCCTTAGATCTGGAAACAGTTCTAAGTGTTTTATAATTCAGAAAAAAAAATTAAAGGATCTTTTCAAAGGGAGGGTCAAACACAGATTGCCAGCAGGCAACCTGAGGAACAAATTTGTTTCATTTGTATATTTTTATGTCAGCTGCATATTTATTTAATATATGACTATTATTTTATTTATTTACTTTTTAATTTAAATTGTTTTATTGTTGTTCAATTACAGTTGTCTGTGTTTTCTCCCTACCCCCCACCCCTCCAAACCCACTAATATATGACAATTATTTTTAAAAATTTAAAAATAAGGCAGTTCACCCAACTTAGGAGTCAGCAAACTTTTTTGGCAAAGGGCCAGATAGCAGATATTTTAGGTTTCGTGGGTCACGTGGTCCCTGTCACAACTATTCAACTCATAGTGCAAACACAGCCACAGACAATACAAACAGACATGCCCGTGTTCCAGTAAATTTGACTTAAATGTACATGTGATCTATGTAACTTTTAAAATCTGATTTCTAAAGAACTCACTGTCCCCCAGAGAGTGGGCTGAGCTGGGTGGCTGCCCTGCCCCGTGACAGGGCTGTGTTCTCTGGTCTTCCACAGCCCACCCTACACGGTCACCTGTAGCTTGGGTGTTTTCCCCCCTGGAGTGGAAGCAACCACAGCTGATGGAGCTTTAGCACTGGGTTTGGTGTGGCATCACCAAAAACACAAATGGAGGAGATCCCATGTTACCATGTGGCTGTCATCTCAGCGAGAACCACCCGGCCACTTCCACCTTCCTCGTCCTGTTTAGAAATAGTCCAAGTGGCGGTTCACCCACCATGGTGGGCCCGCAGCAGCCGTGCCTCTCAGGGAAGAGCTCAGCTCTCGTCTGTCCACCCACCCTGTCCGCAGGCGTCGGCGGGAAGAAGGGCTCCGTGGAGAAGTGCCCGCTATGCAAGGGCCGAGGGATGCAGGTGCACATCCAGCAGATCGGGCCGGGCATGGTGCAGCAGATCCAGACCATGTGCATTGAGTGCAAGGGCCAGGGCGAGCGCATCAACCCCAAGGACCGCTGCGAGAGCTGCGAGGGTGCCAAGGTGGTCCGGGAGAAGAAGATTATCGAGGTGCACGTTGACAAAGGTGAGGCTGCGTAGGGGTGCCCCCCGGTGCTCCGAACGAAGTGTGGTTGCTGAGAGAAATGGCTCATCAGAAAGGGACAATGTTCCACAGGTATGAAAGACGGGCAGAAGATAGTATTCCACGGAGAAGGCGACCAGGAGCCCGAGCTGGAGCCTGGGGACGTCATCATCGTGCTGGACCAGAAGGATCACAGTGTCTTCCAGAGGCGAGGCCATGACTTGATCATGAAAATGAAGATCCAGCTTTCCGAAGCCCTTTGTGGCTTCAAGAAGACCATACAGACACTGGACGAACGAGTCCTCGTCATCACGTCCAAATCAGGTACCGGTTCACATGTGCTCCCGTCGTAAGTGTTCAGTACGTTTGGCCGGAAACTACTGGCCACGGAGCCTGGCCTCACCCGTAAGGCCGCGCTCTGTTACACACATTGGCAACTAGATTTTCTCTAGGTTTGAAGTCCCCGTTAATGGCTTGGAAAATTTAATAACTTTAAAATAATCTCCTAGAAAAAAATTTCACAGTGGGAGCGGGGGGAAGGGCCTCAAACAAGAATCTTGGGGGGTCTAAGAGTCTACCTGGAAACTGCCAATGGAACTAGAATTTTAAACTTAATTTTTGCATAAGAGGAAGACTTGGCGGATGAGAGGTGTTTTTCTGTCAGTGGTTATGTGTGATCCATCCACGCATTCCTCCAGCCTCAATGTTGGTGACTGCATGCAAGAGACATTTTAAAAACAGAATTTTCTTGAAGAAGGACCTCTCAGCGTTCCCTTGCAGGCACCCGTAGGACTGTCTGCACTCACCTGGGGGAGCTGGAGGGAGCTACTTGGGGAACCAAAAAGGTTCTTGAGTTTGGTCAGCCCGCCAGCTCTGGTAGACACCAGGCTCCCAGCTCTTGGGAGGGTGGGAGTTTGCAAGGGCACCAGCGCCCATGCCTGGGGGGGGCTGAGGGGATGGCAGGCATGTGGAAGTGGGGAGGCCAGGCCAGCACCTTGGCTTGAAGGTGCCTCAGAATACACTGAAGGTCCTTTATCCATGCCACAGAATGTCTGCACAGGTGTGGTGGAGGCTAAGCCACCCATGTACCCTCGACCCCCTCCCTGGGGGCAACTTCTCCTGTGGCCATCTGAGCTGTGAGGCTGGAGGGCGGGAGTCTGACCGTTCAGGGCTCCCTCCGCCCCCGTCTTGTAACTGAACTTTCCCCGCGGCAGGCGAGGTGGTCAAGCACGGGGACCTGAAATGCGTGCGGAACGAGGGAATGCCCATCTACAAAGCGCCCCTGGAGAAGGGCATTCTGATCATCCAGTTCCTGGTGAGTTCACAGGTTTGTTTTCATGGGACAGAGCCAGTGGCTTCACTGGGAAGGGAACACACACCTCCTGCTCTCTCCCATCTCCTTTTACAGGTAATCTTCCCCGAAAAACACTGGCTTCCTCCAGACAGGCTTTCTCAGCTAGAAGCTTTGCTGCCTCCCCGGCAGAAAGTGAGGGTCACAGACGACATGGACCAAGTGGAGCTGCAGGAGTTTGACCCCAACGACCAGAGCTGGCGCCAGCACCGGGAGGCCTACGAGGAGGACGACGACGGGCCGAGGGCCGGGGTGCAGTGCCAGACAGCCTGACGGCCCTGCCGCAGGAGCACCCAGTGAGCATCAGGTTGGCACCCTGAAAACGGCATCGCTCCAACTGCCCGGTCAGGGTGTCCTGTGTATGTGTTCAGCATTCTCAATGGCTGAGTGTCTTTCGGGTTTTCTTTTGGTTGTAACCTGTTATAACTTAATTATATTTAAACGTTTTAAGTGTAAACCACCTCCAGTCTGCATACAGAATCAGTTTATTTCCACGTTCGGGATCCACAGCCAGGCCAGGGACCGCACTGATGTGAGCGCATCGAGGTTTTGCCTGACTTCGTTCCCCCACAGACCGGCAGTTCAGGCCGCAGCCCCTGGTCTGCAGCCCCGGGGCCAGCCCGCCCCCGGTCTGGGTGGCTTTCCTTCCCTCCCGGGCAGAGGCACCTCCTAGCGTGGTGCCTAGCAACCCCCTATCAGGGCTGCTAACGTGACATCCAAGTCTGGCTTCCAGCCAACCCTCCTCGAGAGCAGAAGCGTGTCTGTCTGTGGACCCACCTTGGCTGTGGCACCTGGTCCAGGTGGACTGGGCCTCGGCCACCATGGTTCCTAGTGCTCTGCACCCGAGTGAATGGAATGGAGTGTCAGTGTGTCTGACCACCTCTCCTGGAGGCTTCCTGAACCTTCCAAGCCTCGTGGTGAGGATGAACCTGTTTTCAGTGAAACATGGATGCAACTGTTTGTGCCTCCCGCACCTTGTTTTTGATGGTTTTAATGATTTTCTGTCGACAAATGTTGGAATGCTTGCCCACCAAAGTGCTTCCTTGTGAAGAAAATGAAACCTTCCGTGTCCCCAGCAGCCTCAGTGCAGCCACCAAATAATGCGGGTGGTCTGCCCCTGGCGCTTCCTGGACACCTGGGGGGCCTGGAGGGGCACACGCGTCTGTGTCCCACCTCACCCACCCAGACTCCGCGCCTTCCGAAGCATGGCGCCTCCCGCCACACAGCCATAGAGACGGGCTTCCTGCTCGGGACGTGTCCTTTCACTCCTGGCAGGCAGGCCACAAATGGGGGGTTACCTCAACTTGGAGCCATGACTCCTCTCCGTCCCAAAACAGTCACAAAGAAAAACTACCTTCTAAGCTGCTAGGCTAAAGCAGAGGCCACTCGTCACGTACGCTCACTAGGTCACACGGCACCTGCGAGTGTGGTGCAGACCAGGGGCTTCCCCTGGGAGCGCCAGGGAGGCCGAGCAGTTTGCTTGATGTGGGCATGGAAGAGCCTGCGGTGCCACTGTGACCCCTGGTCAGGACAGACATAAAGCCTGTGCTTCCGACGGAGCCCACGTGGAAGTCAGTGTACAGACGGACTGCACCTGCAGGGCGCCCTGCTCCTGTGCTGTGACTTCCTCACAAATGATCAGCAGAGAGCTGTTTAGTGGGCGACCAGGCAAAGTTACATTTGGTTCCTTCCTTCTCACGTGAATGGAATCTGGAGGGTATTGCTTCAAATTTATTCCGCCTGTACATTTGTCACTTTAAGATTAAAGTTGAGCTGGTATGAGAGACAAAGGGCTTTGGTGTTTTATTTTCCAGACCTCAGACGAACAGCGTTTTGTGCCAGCTTGTCAATATAACGGAATGAAGTCTCCACACACGGAGCTTCATCTGGGGGAGACGCAGCCAGCAAGCAGTGACAGCGGCTGTGAAGAATGAGAGTAATGGGAGAGGGCGGCAGGGTGCGGGGGAGCCTCGTCGCCGAGCAGCTCCCCGAGCGGTCTATGGGAGGACCATGCCAGGCTGAGGACGTGGCCAGGCCTGTATGGACGGTCACAGCGGGGTGAGCAGGGCAAGGAGGCAGGAGAGAGAAGCAGGGGCACAGGGCCTGACTTACAGGCGTGTGCCGTTACGAATGAGAGTGTCAAGCCCCAGCGTCAGCTGTGCACACCTCCCATTCACACACAGACCAGTCTCAGGCACAGGTGCTGCGGCCAACGGGCGGGAGCCTGTACACTGCTAAGGCAGCCATGTCCACCAGCGAGCTGGAGACTTGTCTGAAATTAGCAGAGTAAAGCAGAGAGAGTGTGGCGGGGCCATTACTAGTACGTCAAATAGAAGGACGTCCAGACAGGAAGGACTGAGGGACGTACCCAGCCAGTCTGGTGTTTCCTGCAGTACATCCTCTTCCTCGTCACAGCTTCTGCATGACTCAACCTCCTGGCACCCCAGGGTGAGCCTGTATTTCTAAGCTGTACCTGGATCAGTGGGTCCCTGGATCTCCATGGGAGACTGACAGTCACTTTCCCGTCACGACGCCGACTCTACTCACCGTGAGCCAGTAAAACGGCGCAAGGAAAAGGAACATGTTCGAGAATCTGGTGTTTGCACTAAGAACCAATGTTATGAGCAGCATTTCCAATAAAACATGAAAAGGTTTATATTGTATCTACAAAATTTATGTTTCTGCTATAATAAATGCTGTATTTCTTTGAAACAAGCTACAAAGATAGGGAATGGTATGTTCGATCTGTACATTCTGCAGCATCAGAGTGGAAAACCTTGACGTTTAAATTGGACAATCGTAGATGTGAATTTCCTGATCATCTCCGACAGACACAATTTTTGAGCCATTTCCATTGTATTTTACTCCCCAGACCTGTAAATAAAGTAAAATAAAAAAGTTCTGCTAATGCCTTTCTTTATTCTTTACGAACAAACATCCTTACTCTATTTTCATTACCATCCTGGCTGGTAGGGCTCAGTGGATTGAGTTCCAGCCTGGGAACCAAAAGGTCACAGGTTCAATTCCCAGTCAGGCCACATGCCTGGGTTATGGGCCAGGTCCTGAGAAGCATGCCAGCGAGAGGGAACCAATGGCATACGGACGCTTCTCTCCCTCTCTTTCTCCTTCCCTTCCCCCCCTCTATAAAAATAAACCTTTTTTAAAAAATTGAACAAATCATTTCCTCAGACAGCTCAGCTCCCACAATGACAAGTGATGACTGTTCAAGCAGCAGAAAATTCTGAACAGGAAGGCCCCTCCCCAGCTGCCCCAGCCGGGCTACCCCAGGTGAGGGCCCCAGACACCGCCACAGCGTTTTCCAAATGGCATGTAGAGGTCGTGCGACTAGCACCGTGCTCCCTGGCCTACACGTGCCCAGCGCCGCCCAGAGAGTGCGCACAGGACACAGGCTGCAGGACGCCTGAGCAGCAGCAGCTCGGCGCCGGGTCCACTGGCCCGACGACTCTGGCAGCGAGGAAAGGAGAGAGTTTAGCGCAGTGGTCAGTCAATGCAAGCAGGCCACAAAGAACTTCAATGTCAAGGACTTCCACCAAGATGGAGGCGTAGGTGGAAACATTGTGCCTTCTTGCACAACCAAGTTTAAAGGCAACAAAGTTTTAGTAACAAAATACGCAGCCAAAACGCAGACAATTGAACTATACAGAAGTCCGACAACAATGAACCTTTCAGCCAGACCAGTAAGAGGGGCGAAGCCAGTAGCGGAGCTGGTTGGGCAAAAAAGATCCACCGGACCGACCCAGGCGCTTGACCCAGGTGCGCAGGCAGCCGTGGGTGGATCCCAGGTGTGGAGTAGCGGGCAGCAGACTGATCACAGTCACACATTCGCACGCAGATAAACCAGTAAAGGAGCGAGCAGTGAAACAGACCTCGCAGGCCCCAGCAGCAGGAAGGAGCAGAGGGGAACGCTATTGTTCCCTCTTTGACCCCGCCCCCACATACAGCATCACAACCCAGCTACCTGGGCAGCCTGCCCTGGTGAATACCTAAGGCTCCGCTCCTCATACATAACAGGCGAGAACAGACCAAAACATGGTTCAAGAAGAACTCAAAGCCCCAGAGCCCATAATTTTAAGCGACCAAGAAATAGCAAAACTTTCAGATGCACAGTTCAAAACACTGGTGATCAGGATGCTCACAGAACTGGTTGATCTTAGTTACAAATTAGAGGAACAAATGAAGGCTAAACTAATTGAAATGACGGGAAATGCACAGGAAACCAATAGTGATGGAAAGGAAACTAGGACTCAAATCAAAGGAGTGGACCAGAAGGAAGAAAAAAATGACCAAACAGAAAAATATGAAGAAACAAGAATTCAAAAAAAGGAGGAGAGGCTTAGGAACCTCCAGGACATCTTTAAATGCTCCAACATCCAAATTATAGGGGTACGAGAAGGGGAAGAGGAACAGCCACAAGTGGAACACTTATTTGAACAAATAATAAAGGAGAATTTCCACAATCTGGCAAAGGCAACAGACTTCCAGAAAATCCAGGAAGCTCGGAGAATCCCAAAGAAGTTGGACCCAAGAAGGAACACACCAAGGCACATCATCATTACATTAGCCAAGATTAAAATGAAGGAGAGAATTCTAGAAGCAGCAAGAGATAAGGGGACAGTCATCTACAAAGGAGTTCCCATCAGACTGTTAGCAGATTTCTTAAAAGAGACCTAACAGGCAAGAAGGGGCTGGAAAGAAGTATTCCAAGTCATGAAATCCAAAGACCTATATTCAAGATTGCTCTACCCAACAAAGTTTTCATTTAGAATGGAAGGACAGATAATAATGGGCTTCTCAGATAAGATCAAATTCAAGAAGTTCATCATCACCAAGCCCTTATTATATGAAATGTTAAAGGGACTTACCTAAGAAAAAGAAGATAAAAAAGATGAACAGTGAAAGGACAGCAAACTCACAGTTATTAAGAACCACATGTAAAACAAAAGCAAACTAAGAGGACAGCTAGATCAGGAGTGAACCATAGAAATGAAGATCACATGGAGGGTTAGCAACAGGGGAGTGGGAGAAGGGGGGAGAAGGTACAGAGAATAAGTAGCATAGACAGTAGATAGAAAATAGATGGGGGGAGGGCAAGAATAGCATGGGAAATACAGAATCTAAAGAACTTGTGACACATGGTCATAAACTAAAGGGGGGATGGTGGGGAAGGGGGTGTGCAGGGCGGAGGGGAACGGAGGGGGGGAATAGAATTGTAATGGCATAATTAATAAAATATATTTTTAAAAAAAGGGGAAAAGGACTTGGATGTTGCCGATGCCATACCTGATCCTGGTGGTCAAAGAAGGTGTGCACGCAGGTCCTCGTCCCCACATCCCAGACCTTCACACTTTTGTCCGATGAACTATTCAAAAAAGGAAACGTTCGTATGAGAAAAGCTCTCCAACTGGTCTGAAGTTGGAAGGACTCCTGACTAAAAACCCCACACTCTCGCTCCGCTGCACCCTGCCCGTGTTCCCCCAGGAGCTGGCCGGGGTGTGGGCTCCGCAGGGGCGGCCGTCTGCTCCCGGGGCAGCCACCTCCCTGACGCTGTCACCCGCCGGGGCCCCAGCACCGGTGTTCTCATCCTGCAGTCTCACGTCCTTGACGCCCTGAAGGCAGAATCCTCAGTTTATGAGGAAAAACTAGGAGCTGAACTGTTCAAAAGAACCCATGTTTGTTCCAGCTAAGGGCAACTAACCTCACAACAGAAAAATAAAACACACTGCAGAGGACAAAGGCTACTGAATAAGAAACAGGTCATACCTTCTTCAAATTTTAAGGCAGTTCACACTTTTGAGGATGGGCTAAGGATCGTAAGTACCTGGAAACAAAGTGAGTGTCGTCAGGACAAAACGCCACGTTCAGCACCCAGGACGCGTGGCCACTCAGTGTGCCAGCTAAGTTGGCGTGTTGTCTGAAAGGAGCAAGTGTCAAAGAAAACGGAGAGGTCATTAGCTCCGGAGTAAGTCCCTGAAGGTACACCACTAACTCTGCATATTTAATTGGACCCAATCTGCTAACTTAATAGTCACAGTATCAGCAGATCTACAACCCCCATTTCAGGGAAGGAACATCACGCCTCACAGAAAGACAGTTTCACAGCAGTACTAACCCCAAATAGGTTAATGCTGCTGAGAGGAAGACCCATGACTAGCAGAGCACTTGGAAGTCAACACAGAGGAGGAGTCAACACAGAGGAGGACGGCAGCAGGTTCCAGGCGGGGCCAGCACCTCTGCGGCTCACCTACACAGACCATTTTTAACTTGGCCAGGGGCAGTGCAAGTGCAACTGCTACCGCCGTTTTCCCCTTCTAAAAAAGTGAAATCAAATGACCTACAACAGGAGAGCAACCCTAAGGCCTGACTGCGGTCAAGCAGTGTCACTCCTGTGAACACACCCCCGGGGTAGGTACAAGGATGCAGCGTCCGTGGGAAGCTCCGCATCTTCATTCAGTACCCCACCTCAGCCTGGTCCCACCCCCACAGTGTAGGGGCGCTACTCCGTGTGGCCACTGCACAGATTGCAGGAAGCAAGGATGGGACTCGGCTATGAAGGCCTATAGAAACGAGAGCTGGGTCCTCCAGGCCGCATGGGCTCTGCCCCCATGGGCGGCCCAGCCCGAGAGCCAACCCCCCTCCGGGCTGCATGTCCTGGTGCGGCTCCCCGGCAGCTGCAGCTCTGACTCCAGGTCTCCCAAAACCAGTGAGGAGGGGCGCTGCCCCGACTCCCACGGCTGTGACTGTGGCGCATGCGCCTCGTGGATCCCAATGCCAGGTTCGGGAGCCGGGAGCCAGAGGCATGCTGACCGCAGTGCTGAGTCAAAGCACCAGGACCCACATCTGCCACCTCAGAGGGAGACCTGGGGGAACGGCCGTGGGACTGAGGCTGATGGGAAATGCCAGGCTTCAGAGGAGAGCCATCGATCAAAGAGGATGATCGACTCCTGTCTGTGCCTGGATCAAACCCCAGTGACAAAGGGTTCCCTGGCCTGGACCTACTGCAACTGGGGCTGAGCGGTGCCAGCGGGAGCGGCCCACCCCTTGGGAACTCTCGACCATCACCCCGGCAGCCTCAGCCCAGGGCTCTGTCTTCCATCTTCACGCTGCTAACCTACCCCAAAGAATTTACAACCAGTGGGCCCTGCAAGAGACAGGACGCCTGAAACACAGCAGCGAGTCTCTGACCCCAGCGGGTAACCCATGCACACCTCCCTGCAGGACAATCTACACTCACAGGCGGGGAGGCCTGACGGGGAGGAGAGGCCCCCCGCAACCCGAGTACGAGTCTTGAACAATAACAACGAGAGACAAGCGGACACCGGTGTCAGGGAGAAGCCTGCATCTCAGCGGGTGACTCACACATCATAGATCTTGATGTAGCCATCGTCTGAGGCAGTGACGAGCAGCTGGGAGTCCGGGGAGAAGGTCAGGGAGCGAATGGGCATGGCATGGCCTGCAAGTCACAAGGGCCCTCGTTAATCTGGTGACCGCCGTTTCCCGTCCCCTTGCATGAGCTTCCAACCAGCTTTGTCCCTCCCAGTGACGCCGAGCTGCTTCCATCAGGGAGAAGGGTTCAGACTGGACCCCGCCTCCTCGTGTTCTGGGATCATCCATATGACCCAGGCCCCTCCTCCTGGAGCTGTATCTCCACAGCTGATGCTCTAGGTGACAACTGCGGTGACAGAACTGAAACTCAAAGGCACCCCAGGTTTCTGAGATCGCTATCTTGCAGACCTACTGCTCATCTGCCCTTCAGTGAAGCAGTACCGCTTCCTCTGGGGCCCGATATCCCCGTCTGGCCCACAAGGAAGCCACGAGCCGCACCTTCCAGCGTATGCAGCAGTTTTCCGGTTGCGATGTCGAAAATATTGATGATTCCGTCTATAGCTCCACTGGCCAGGTACTTCCCATCAGGGCTCTGCACACACAACACGTGGGGAACGCATGAGACCACGTCGAGCCAGCCCCGCCCAGCACATGCACATTGCTGGCTGTGAGGTTCCCCGGCCGGCAGGCAGCCCCCCCCCCCGGCCAGACGGCAGCGTCCGACGAGCCCCTGGGCCCTGCCCCGCGGAACACACACAGTGGGCTGGGAGGGCGGACACAGAGAAGCAGAGAGCAGAGCAGTGTTCCCTTACATATGCAATGCTGAGAATGAATTTTCCTCTGGTGTCCAAAGAGTATTCCTTTTTCCCACTTTCTACACCAAAAATGTTCACTTTGCCTACATGAGTCCCAGTGGCCAGATACTGGGAATCAGGAGAAAAGGCCAAAGTCCAGGCATCCACTGCATAGGAAACAAAGAAAAATACCACGAGAAAAGCTGTGACCTTAACTGTAATTTTAAAAACTTTTAAAACACTGATGGGAACATAAAATGGTACAGTGACTATGAAAAATACCGGGCGGCTTCTTAGGTGAAACCGCCTCCCTTAACACCAGACAACTGCACTGCCAGGAACCCACCCGAGAAGAAGGAAACCAGTTCTGTGCCGAGGCTTCCACGCGGGTGTGCACAGAAGCTTCACTCAGCGTCACAACCTGGGAGGTGGCCGGTGTCCCCTGATGGGGAACTGATGAACCGAGTGCGGGACCTCCACACAGGGGGACAGTCTGGACAACAAAGCGGAGTGGACGGCTGCTCCGTGCCACAGCAGGGACCCACCCGAACACATCACGCCTGAGGAGTGAGCTGTGCCAGACAGTGCGATTCCACCTACGTTTCAAAAACGCAACACTCCAGACACAGAAAGCAGGCAAGTGGCTGCCTGAGGCTGACAGTGTGACGGATGGACCATAAACAGGCACGAGGGGAGGGCAGGGCAGGGCACGGCACGGAGGGCCGGCTGCACAGGCACCGTGTGTCACTCACACTCGCTGAGCTGTGTACTGCAGAGTGAAATTAGAGAGGTGACATTTTACCTTCCTAAGACTGCAAATGAAGGAAGACGGACTAGAAATACTCTTTTAGAAAACCAGTGTGACCAAGTATCTTCCACAGATGTATAGGGAACGGGGGCTGGGAAGAGGCACTGTTAGAGGCAAATCAGCGAGTGTTCCGGGACAACTGAGCTGATTCCAACGGCCCCGTCCGTTGCCTGGATGGACAGGCTGCAGACTCCTGCCTGTGCGCCTTGTGCCTCCCCGTGGGCCACGGATGCTATGTTAGCCTGTCTCTGCTCAGGAGCACGGAACCCCTTTAGACACAGGTGCACGGGGCTCTGGGAGACAGTGTGGCCAGGGCCCAGATGCGGGAATGACCCAGCTGTCCACTTGCCACCCAGGCCTTGTCCCACGGGCCCTCAGCCCTGCCCTCCTACACCTGCCAGAACCAGGGCCGGCCGGGTCGGAGGGAAAGGAGAGAAAGGCTGCCTCCCAAGTCCCTTGCCTCAATCCTGGGGCTCAAGGACCAGGGACTTGATGCCCCGCTCAGCCCACAAGACAGTGAAGGAGAGGCCTGGACTCTTGGTGGACAGCGGCTCCCAGCACAGATGAGCCAGCTCCATACTCCAGGGGGAGTTTTAAAATAAATGTTTCTTAAAAATTTTAATGTACACCTTCAAAGTAATGATAAATCATTCAGCTCTATCACATACCTTATGAAATGTTTGTTTTAAAAAGCAAGTTAAAAATGCTCAATCAACAAAGAAGAACTATTCATCAAACAGCTCTCTTTAACAGCTAGCTTTACTCCTAAAGGATGATAGTGTTGATGCAAACAGTGTGGGGCACTGCCTCAGAGGGGCTGCACTTGGGCCTCAGAGGCCTGACCATGAACTCTTACCAGGTCCTGCATCGATGGACTTGATCTGTTTGCCGTTTTCCAAGTCCCAGAGACGAATGTGAGCATCGAGGGAACTGGACGCAGCAATGGGCAGGGTGTGGCTGATGTCCACGGACACCACGCCCAGCTGGTGTCCCTCCAGGCTCCACTGCAGGTCCAGCCTCTCATCACACCTTCGATGGGGGACAAGGAAATGGACTTCTTCACACACAACGGACCATGCCCAGCATCTGACCATGCCCCCCAGGGTCTGAGAAGTGGGGAAGCAGAGACGCACCAGGAGGCCCTGCACACCACCAGTGGCCACGGGCCTTTTCCTAAAATACCACTGGGCTCAGCTCCGAGTAACAGGAAGGCAAAGGACAGACGAGCTGCTCTGTCACACCCCACACTGCCACTGCTTTCTGGCCTAGATGGCAGCGAGTACTTTCCTGACTTCACTTGGAAGTCAAACCCCCAAGCCCCAACTTCCAAGGCTGTACGTTAGGGGCGAGGGTGCTCACCATTTCCAGACCTTCACCAGGTCGTCCAGGGACCCCGTGACCACTGTCTCAGAGTTTTCTTTCTTGTTTGTCCCCCAGGCCACGGACCAAATGGCATCGTCATGGGCTAGAATAGAAAACATTTAAAAAGTCATTAATCCACATGGTTGGATTAAAATTTACCACACACGCACACAAAAGTCATTTAGAAAGACTTCATGCAACTTCTAAACAGAATGTGCTAAATAAAATGGAGCTACATGCGGTTCCAACAATTCTCAGGCAAATCCACCACCTGTCTGCTTCCTGTTTCATGAAGTGCCCTTCCCAGAGCTTTTATTACAACTGCGGAGCCACACGTGAGAACTGGAGCTTCTGAAGGAGCCACCTGCCCAAGGCACGACTGCCAGGTGGGTGGCGGACCTGCAGAGGTCCAACTGGTCCACTCGGACACGCTGTCCAGCATGTGTCCGTCCGGAATGGCTACTACCACTGGACCAAAATGAGCAGAGCCAGCAGGGCGCCCTCCCCCCACCGCCCAGAAGAGAGACCTAAACCTGCTAACAGTGACCTGCCAGGTCTCTGGGAAGCAGCAGGCGGCTCGAGTGAGCAGCAGAGGTCTGCACACAAGCACCTGCTGCGGCCCCCACATGAGCTGTGTTATGCTCGATGCGCTGGTTCCAGCATCAGCCCCCCTGTGAGCATTTCCTCAATTAATCACCACCACGACCCTAGGAAGCACTGTTAACGTCACCCTCCTTTTACGGATGAGGAATCAAGAGGCCTGGAGAGGCCCAGTAGCTCAGCCAAGCTCAAACGCCAAGAAGGGCAGAGCTGGGAATCAAAGGCAATGTCTCTAATAACTGAAGTCCCCCTGGAGCTGCAAGTGTGGAGGCCACCCCTGTGGGCCCCACGTCGGGCCTGCAGCCCTGGCGGGAGCGTAAGTATGGTAGTGTGCGTGGAGGCTCTCTTCCTGCCTGGAAGCACTTCTGCGGGGACACCCCTGTGAGACATGCACGTGAGGGCACTGTGCCCAACAACTGTGAGTCACAGCGTCGAGGCTCTGCCGATCCCCACCCGGCAAGAGCTGGGTGGCACTGGCTGCGTCCGAGGCTGCAGACTAGAGGCCCGGTTAGCCCCGAGTTGCCCATTCCGGCTGGGGCAGACAAATGCTTTAGCCTGAACTTCAGACCACCTGCACGTCAGCCGCCTAGAGCGGAAGAGCGCTCGTCAGCCACCCCACACGTTCCTCAGGGCCTTTCCTAACTCGTCCTCGCTGTGCTAAGAGCTGAGATACCGCTACCCCCTTTCTAGGTGTGACGCCCACTGTCACTGACCAGCCACACTCCCGGCCAGGACTTGGACCTGCCCCTGCTACCATCCCCACTGCCACTGCCGAGGTTCTCGGTGCTTCCCACCTCAATGTCACATCCTCCGCTGTCATTAAGGTCAAAGGTTCTCTGTGGGCTGAGAGAAGACCTCCGAAGCAAGTTCTGAGTTCAGGGCCAGGCTCCAGTTCACCCTCCCAATGAGCCAACACTTGGCGCGTTTTTCTGCTTCACCTGGCAGCTGGGAAGCTCACAGCCTTGTCCTCAGCCCGGAGCTCTCCAGCCTGCCATCTGAATGCCTTTGATTTTTGTTGTTGTTGTTGTTTGTTTGTTTGTTTGTTTTTAAGTGTATTTGTCTTCATCTGCCTCTGCCAATTTTGCCACAGAGCAAGTATACTTGGGTGTCTGGTCAGCGTGACAAGAATCTTAAGAGGTGCGAGAGACACCACCATTTTCACGGGTGAATTTGCTCGAACGAGCCGGCTGCTTACCTTGCTCTTGTTTGAAGAGGATACTGTACTGAAAAGGAACAGAAGCCGCATTAAACCCATGGTCAGATCTCAGGTGTCTCACATCCTCTGCCTAAAACGCTTGCCCCAGCAGGCCCAGTCTCCAGGGTGTCGCCCTCCCCTCCTGCCAGCTCCTAGGCTCCTGCTCATGCAGGATTTGGAGCCACACCAGAAGAAAATTAGTTCTAAGGAAACAGACTAATAAATGTGCTCTGGCCACCAGGAAGCTCAGAGTCCACTTTGCAGCTTAATTTTTGCAATTGTATAAAACTGTACAGCCTACAGAATAACCTGTTAACTTTGTCCCTAATCTTATTAGGAAGATGTCTGCCCTTTCCTGGTCTTTCTTTTTTTTTTTGTTTTTTGTGTACAATTTCACTTCAGTTCCTCAATTCCTCTGTAACCTGGTGAGACTCAGATAACATAATCCCCCTCCAGGTGTGCGCACTCCGCTGGTGCCCCCGCACCCGCCCTTCAGAGGCAGAGCAGGCCTGGACCCTCGGTTCCCCACTGCAGCCGCACACCTGCCTAACAGACCCACCGGTGTCCTCTCCTCACCTCAGTCTTACCTGGTTGGTCATTTCCTTAGCCAAGGATGAAGGGCTGAAGGCCAGATAGCTCTGTGGAAAAAACACCAGGGTTTCAGTTAGGGGGTGTCACCAGGTCAGAGGGGGCTACAGGAGGTTCCCCCTGACTAAGAAAATCAGGCAACCTTTTGCCAGGGATATGCCCTGACCCTTTTCTATGGGTCAGTCCCAGGAGTTCCTGTTACAAGCCCCTTGGAACCCAGGGACTTGACTAACACCTTCCCTCTCCTGTGTTTTCTTCTCCCCAAGTCTGACCACAGAGGGACCAGTCTCTGTTCCTTCCTGTTCACCAGAGAAATAAAACCAAAGAACCTTTTAATCTTCTATTGCTCCCAGGGGGAATATCGGGTTAGGTCCTACAAGCTTCTGACAACATTTTTGTTAACCAATCAACATGTAGCTTTGTTGCATGTGAGTTTCTCTGTAAAGACACCCTACTTACTATGCATTGGTAATTCTTTCATACTGAGCTCCTGGCCCGCAGCACTCTGCACGCCTAAATGAAGCTCACCTCACACACGCATTTCCTCTGCAGGGCACAGCAGGGCCTTTCCACACTTAGAAACAATAGGACAGCACTTTGGCACTGTGCTTGGAGCCTAGTGTAAATAGTGAACACCAATAAAAAGCACAAATATACACAGATCATGGTGCTACAAAGACTGGAAAAGGGCACCTGCTTACAGTGTGAGCTGAACAAGAAGGCAGAGTGTGGTGAGCACCTCCTTGTTCACCGATGTCGCATGTGCAGCAGGTGACCTGAACTTCTCACCACCTCACATACATCCTCAGAAGAGCGCAAAAGCACTCTAAATCCTGGTTTGGGGGCTACAATAAATTTTCGCTCATAGGCAAGTTTGATACTGATCCTTAATATACAAACGCTATATAAACCATACAGACACGTTTAAATACAGACACTGAAAATAATGAGGGACTGTATGCTAAAGTAAGATTTTATCTAAAACGAACTTGTGAGAGTATAACATGTCACTTTTTAGTAATACATGATGTAGCCACACCCAGCAGCAAGCCCAGTAACTACCATAATTTCAAAGTTGTGATGTGCTTACACAATATCTTCATGTATGAAAATACTTGTGATTTCTTCTGGGGACAAAGCGGCACTGTTAATATTATGATTTATTGCCTACAATTATCATTGCAGAAAATGCTAAATTTCAATTAGGGGTTAGAGCACATGAGGATGCAATTTTTCCTCTCACTTATGTTCATGGCCCTCTCCATTCTATTCATGAGCAAAAGAAATCACACAGCTAAGGCATCCAGGTTCAGGTTACTTGCTTTAACTTTGCAAATCCCAAAAGGCTACTGTGAAGTTTTTCCAAGAATACAGAAACAAACAAACGAACAAAACCCAAACAATATCTAAATAACTCTTGCCTGTCAAGATCACATCCAAGCTGGTGGTGCCCAGAGTAGGAGCAACAGTTTTGCCAAAGTGACTGGCATTCGACCTCTGCTCAGGCCCAGCCCTCTCCCCTTCCAATCCCCTCCCCTCATACGCGGCAATAGAGGGAAACAGGAAAGGGTAGGGGACTTGCAGGAAGCCAGCCTCCAAGAAGCAGCCTCCTCACACAATGGCGTGATTCCATCAAGGAGTCACATTTGAGGACATACTGAGTCGGGCCCATACACTTGGATCAGCTCACTGAACCCTGGTTTTCAGTAAGAAAGCCCATTTGGTAAGTTTTCTTATTATCGTCTCCTTCCTGACACGGGAAGTGAGACTGACACCTGTGAAGGAAGCGCCCCCAAAGTCGGTCTGACAGTAGGTGATACACGCTACGTTAGAGGCCACCAAGCTACATCACCTCCTACACCAGTCTCTGGTAACAAGAACTTCAGAGCCCAGGGGACCCCAAAGCCCGCTTTTGCCCCCTTCTCTCTTTAGGCAATTTTCTCACAATTCCTTAAGCGGAATTCACGCTCGCACCTCTGCGTCTCCAAAAGGCACCCTTCGTGCCTGGGTGGGAGCGCTCTGGCATGAATGACCCACGACACCAAACGGGACTTGAAGCACGGTGAACCCGGCTGCGCTCGGACCTGTCCGGTGATGGGAGGCTCGCTATCTAGGGAGAGAGCGTGGCTCTTCTCGGGAAAAGTTCGGTTAGGATGGTCCTTCCATCTCCGGAGACAGGCACCTGTCCCGCAGAGCCACCGGCCCCCATCTCCGGGCTGCACCGAACATTCCCAGGATGCACCCCGAGAGGCAGCAGGGTAAACAGTCACAGAAGCCATCTCGGGCCTGCTGCCCGGAGCAGCTCCGTTTGGGGGCAGCCTCGGGTCCGCCCTGGCTGATCCGCCCTGCCGCCTGGGCCATCAGTGGCCCAGACGACCGGTACCCCTACCGGCCCGGAAGCCAGACTCACCAACTCAAGCCCAGTCGCACAGCCCGGGCGCACGTCGACGCGTTCGGGCGACCGCGACGCACGGTGATGAACTCACGAGGGGGTGGGGCACCTCGCCCGCTTGCTGGGCGCCGGCGCGCGCCGCAGCGCCCCCTGCTGACAGCCAGCTACCTTGGAGGGGGGCGTGGATGGGGACGGGCGAGGGAGACCACGCCCCGCCACGCCCATTTCCCCGAGGGGCGGAGCCGCGGGAACCGCTCCTGGGCGGTTCAGGTTCTTACGGCCGCAAGTGCGGTCTCGGGTTTCTCCGTTTCTGCTCTGCTATTGGACTAAACCTGATGACTTCCCAGGTTCTGATGTTTAAAAATTTTCAGAGAAATAGAGCTTTGTTCTAAAAAATCAAGTCACAACCCCTTAGTGTGACAAATATCAATGCAAGTGTACATACCCTTTCTCCAGATTATTGTAAAAGCACACCGGTCACGTTTATGCCTTTTATCTGTCGTCAGAAAACTTGAGGCTTTCACCCTCTGTTCCCCTGCTTCCAAATCCGCTACTGTTAATTTCTAGTTGGAGCAAATTGTTTTGGGTATTAAGTCAGTTTCTGTGAACCAAGACTTCAACTATGTAGCTCCCCCCAAAGAAATAGACTACATTTAAAAAAATAGATGTAACAGTGTATCACGAATAGTAAAGATGTTTTATTTTAAAAAAAACCCTGTTTCATATCTACATATATGGGAAAATGTCAGGGGACCCCCAAAACAGTGACCACACATACATGTTGTTAAATTTGTACATACATGCTGTATATTATTTATAAATCATGTGTATGTGCTATTCTGCTAATATATTTATATATAATAAAGCAAATACAAAAGGATTTTAAAAGGGTGAGATAATAAATATAATCAAAGGGTCTAGAATTTTCTTCCCATACCCCAGCGGATGGGCTTGTTCACCGTCTGGAGTACACAACCCCACTCGGGAGACCCGGGCATCTCCACAGTTTTGTGTTGGTTTTAAACATTTGAAGAGTTACAACAGTGAAGGTGCAGACACAGAGTACCCGTGATGATACCTCCCTCCACGTCGGGTTTCACCCTGTTTCACACAGAGGAGGAAGCTGACGCTAGGGGGCGCAGTGACTTCTCCAGGGTCACTCAGCCACCTGTTCCCATAAGGATGGGAACTCGGGCCCCACTGGGAGATGGATGGCTATTAGTTTTTTCATTCCCCATTCCACAGGGTTAGGAGAGGGGAAGGTGGGAAACAGGTCACAGGAAAGAAACAGGGGGCCAGAGACAGGAGTCAGGTTGAAATCCAAACACTCAGGATGCCCTTCGCGAGTCTTCTTCCAGTGGGTCCAGGGGTGCTGAGCCAGAGAGGTACCCGGAACCGGTTCTCCACTTGGACAGTCTAAAGCAATGGAGCTACCAGCCCAGGGCTTTACTACGGATGGCCACACAGTGGCAGTCTCTGCCTGCTCTTGGCCAATTGGCGGGGGTTGGCTGAAGGGGATGGGGAGTAAGTAGCAGGTACCTGCCGCCCTCCTCCGCACCTGCAGCCTGCAGACCGGAGGCTGGGACTAGCTGCTGCTGAGTCACTATGGGACCCCCAAGCAAATGCCTCCTGGGACTCCATTTCCTCATTCAGAAAATGGAGGCCAAAACACTCAGAAAATGGGCAGGAGCCCCCCTATGCCGGAAGACTGAGTCCTAAGTCCAGAGGAGTGAAGTGTAGCTAAAGGACCGGGCCCTGTGCATCGGAAAGGCAGGGGCTGGTCATGCCCAGCAGCTCACAGAATTCTGCTGCAGCCAGACCCACCATGACTTTGCAAGCCTCTTGGTCATTTACCTGCTGACCTAGGAAGCAGCAAAGTCAGGCAGGTAAGCCAGAGAGCCCAGCGTGGTGGGCCTGCCAGGGGAAGGCTGTGTCCCAGGAGGGTAGCAGAATTGGGTGCGGAAGCTGTGAGCCGGCACCATAGTCTGCAGAGAAGGAGACAGGGCAGGCTGGTGGGTGAGGGTGTGAGGAAGGTAGGGGGTGCCCACTTGGATGGAGGAGTACAGGGAGGAGGAGCAGGGCTCCAGGGGTGTGCTGGCCAACGTTTAACAGCAGGCTCCTGCGGAAGGAGCTAACCCTGCTTCGCAGCAAGTGCCAATGGCTGTGGTGGTCACAGCTCCCGTGGGTGGTTTCAAGTTACTGACATGCAGTAACTGACCCATATGAAGAACCTGCTGTAATAAGGTGTGCACCAGCCCTGGCTGATGTGGCTCAGTGGATTGAGCACAGACCTGTGAACCAAAGGGTTGCTGGTTTGATTCCCAGTCCGGGCACATGCCTGGGTTGCGGGCTAGGTCCCCAGTAGGGGGTGCGTGAGAGGCAACCACACAATGATGTTTTTTCTCCCTCTCTTTCTTCTTCCCTTCCTTTCTCTCTAAACAAGAATAAGTAAAACTAAAAAACAAAGAAGGTGTACACCTTCCTTGGGTGTCATGCTGGACCCCAGAGTACATGGGGTGTCTACCTTGCAGTGTCCACCCATAGGCCGTCCGATGCAGTGCCCTCTGGGGTGGAGCCAGTGAGCGCTGAGGCCTCCGATGCCCACTTCTGTGCACAGCCCCCTGCCCCTCTACTACAGATCCTTGGGATTTGGGGGAGCAGCCACCCAGGGCTGCTGGCACTCCTGCAAAACCCACCATGTCCCATTTGCTTTGTCACCTGCTAGGTCTTCAGCAAGGAAGGAGGCCAGGCCTGGTTCCACAGGGAAGGCCAGGCTGTGAAAGGACAGACCGCAGGTGGGGGCCTGGCCCTCCAGAATCCGGGGAAGCCCAGCAGCACTTGCGAGCCCCAGACAGCACGCACGAACGTCCCACAGAATGAGCAAAAGGGTGGGAGGGTGATCAGGAATCCTGGGTGCCAACTCATGGACCTGCTGTCACTTGGAGCCTGGGGTCCCTGGGACCCAGTTTCCCAGGCCACTCACACACTCACACTCACACACACACAGACACACTCACACACAGACACACGCCCTCAACAATGGCAAGCTCTGAGAGGGTACCAAGCTCCGGCCTGGCAGGGGATAATTCTGTCCTCACAGAGGATGAGGGCTCCTTGGGCCAGGCCTCCGAGGACAAAGTCCTGTTCTGCAGTAGCTGTCCCCGAAGATCCCCTGTCAATTAATGTGGCAGCTCAGTGTCCAGAGGCAAGCGGTGCTGGAGAGGCATAATGCACCCACGTCAGAAATGAGCGATGGGATTTGCCGTGGGGCCGCAGTCATGCCTCCCGCTCCACCCCCTCGCCCGAGAGGCTTGCTTTGTCACCGGGCCCATGCACTCGCCGGCGGCATTGCCCGGCCACCCCTGGTCAGCAGGTGGCCACGGGGGACTCATTGGAGGCCCATTATCGGTGCTGGTTGTGAGGGATGATGCGGGGCAGGCCCAGCTGCACACACATTAGGCCCTTTGTCTCTGGGCTGCTGGGGAAGATGAATGAGGGCTGTGGCCAGGCCGCTGCTGCCTGGGGGACATCCAGGCCGGGACAGACCCGGGCTGGGTGTGGGCTGTGAACTGGACAGAACCAGATCAGACGGGCTGACCCAGAGAGAGCCAGACGAGGAAGCAGGGCAGAGGAGCCCAAGGGAGCCGTGAGAGTCCAGTGGGGACTCTGTTGGCCTCGGGCCAGTGTCAGCCCCACGAGGGCTGGCGCCTGGTCTTACGGAGCTGGGGTTCCACTGGCACTGTGTTAAGTCCAGGCAGACAGAGTTCTGAGGGCCCCTGGGGAAACTGAGGCCTGAGGAAGCTGGGGACTTGCCCAACATCCCTTCAGGAATCAGCCACTGGGTCTGGACAAGAGCTGATGGAGGAACTTCCACAGACACCCCCTCACCCCCATTCAGGGTAGATCCAGTTACACGGTCCCTGGAGCAGGTTTGCCCACAGGAGGGTCTCTGGTGGGAGGTGGGGAGAAGAGATCCAGGCCAACCACACTGCGGAACACCGCTGAAGAACCCAAAGCCACCTCCGTGCAGGAGCAGGCAGAACCCGGGCCTGGACCACGGAGGACTGGGCGAAGGAAACAGCGCGGTGATGATCTCTTCCCTTCCCCTCCAGAGCCTGGACCCTGTGTCCAGAGACCCTTCCTAAACTGCACGTGAGGAACGTGGCCTGAGTTGTGAGCCCCTCGAAGGGGCGGCCAGCCTCTCTGTTCAGAGTGGGCCCAGCACAGGGAGAGCAGGAAGGAGTCATTTCTAGGTCAACACTCCTGGCATCTCCGAGGTGGGCAGGGCGGTAGTTCCCTCCCCTTGTCATACCTAAGCGGACCCCTCGTGGAGGGAGGGATGGGGAGGAGGATGCTGAGGGTCCTGGAGACAGGACACACAGGCCCCAGGCCGGTTTTGAAGAGGCTCAGACGATGACAGAATTTCCCAAACAGGCGTTCCCCCTCCCGCCTGACAGCCCCACCCCCACCCCCCAACAGGGAGGGTGATGCCCCAGGACAGCCCCGTGTCTGAGGGATGTGTCATGGCCAGGCAGGGATGGATAGGTCCCTTGTTAATGAGTTGGGGAGCCTCATCCCTGCCTCCTTCCGTGGGCCGGAGCCCCCGGCGGCTGCTGGGCCTGCTGTCCCAGGGCAGTCCTGCATGTACATCCCTCAGAATGACAGCAGCAGGGAACCCCCCACTTCCCTCATGAGATCCAGTCTCCTCCCTGTCTCTGAGGCGCCCACACCAGGTAGCAACAGAGGTGTCAGCAAAGGTTGAGAGGTCACCTGGGCCCCGAAGACCCTCCCACTGGTTGCAGCCAGGGCTTCCTGGGACCCTGTTTTGGCTTCTTTCCACCACGGGGAAGGTGGGGGCTATGGAGGAGTTCTGCCTTCTGGGGGGGGGGCGGTCATCCCCTGCTCCCCAGAACCACTTCTGGGGAGGGGGGTGAGGAGCTTCTCAAGGCCTTTTAACCAACTGTGGTCCGAGTTCCATGTGAATGAGGCCTCCGATTGCCACCCTG